GTTTCGACAGTGTCATGCATAAATTATGTCCACATACTCACGACTTATGACCTAAACATTTCAATTTTAATTTTCAAAGCAATGGGTACAACTCACTTATGGTTTGCCTTGTGAGTTTTATCAGAACGTTCAGATAATTGTCCGCTTTCCAATTCTCACTATTCTGACATTAAAGTTCTCATTTTAACCAACTAGATAGGTTATCTGTGAAATCATTGCTGTTGGTTCCAGAAAGACTCACACGTAATCAAAATATATTGACCATCTAAATAATTGTCAGATTTATTAGGAATCATTCAGTCAAATAGCTAGAATGCTTCACTCCACACTACCGATGGACTCAAGTTAAGCTCAAACGTCAAACTGATGAAACAGAGTAATCAGTTCATTCATACAAGCTTGCTACAAATATATTGGTCTTCTTGCACAGTTTTCACCACTAATTAACTTAGTAATTTACTTATTTAGTTTTTCAAACTGTTGTCTTCTCGTAGCATTCGAATTTTATGCATATTATTTTTCACATTGCAATCAGCCACCCCCTGCCTAGTACTGTGGTAGCTGATGGTATCAAGAAACCATGCTGCCCCACTCACAGTGTAAGATACACAAACCTATAGATAACTACGGGACTAACTAGAATTAGTGCGAAACAGGAGTTGGAATACCACCCCTTGCACATTAGCAAATACCCTGAACCTCACATAAACGACAAGAAGCTAGGTCAAAGAAATCAGTCGGCTTATACAAGCTCATTGCAATGATAATGGATATATTATGTATACAATCGTATAGAATCAATCGCATCGGAGGCGCATGTTTATGGTACATGTGAGGCAGCATGTTGTATTACTGAGTCTAGACACGAGTTAGTGACTTTAGGAGAAATATACCGTAATCTGTGTTGTCTTGCTGACTATTTTACCTTAAGATACATCTGTTTTTTGAGTAAGGTCAAACACTGTCTAATCATTGGAGATTTCAACGCATCGTGTATCAACTGGATGGGGCTTACAACTCCAGGTAGGAGTTTTGATAACCACCTTCTATCAACCATTTTTCAGTGTGCACTTTCACTGTGTGTCGCAAAGCTGACACACATTGAATTGGAACATGGTCTATCTTTTTGTGCTTTGTCTTCACACACCATTGTGACGATATCATCGATATTCAGCACTTTCCACCACCAGCTAATAGTGATAACGTTGTCCTTCACTTTGGGTTTCGGACACATAGTATACAATATTTATCTGTTCCATCCCGTCCCAATATCTCGCTAGCTAATATTCCGGTAATTAGAGACTGTTATGTCGACAAACTAATTGGTCTATAGGGATGGATCGAACGAAGACGAATGGAGTAAGTCTGTGGATACATCCGAGTTTGTAACCACTGTTTATCCTATGGTCAACACGCAAGCTATCACATTGTCCCTCATGGAGTAATAAGGAAACCCGGAAACACTTCTGGGAATTAGTCTTGTCGACAAGATACAAATCATTTAAATGTAAATACCGAAAAATCCGGAATACATGCGAAAACACCATAGATATATACCGTATTATTTACGGAAGACAGTAGGTATATAATAACCGTACTTGTCCGAAGAGACTGTTTTCGTACGTTAAATGGAGGACAAAACGTAGTGATGGTGTTCCCCGCATTACTGTTGCGCGAATATTTAGATTTACTAGCTGAATCAGATCTGGGAAAGGCTGAGATTATCAAACTATTTCGTCGAAATTTACCCCACATGTATTTTTAAAAATACTTATCGTAGTCACACCACTGATATAACATCCATAGGACGTGTACATGTGACTGGGAAAACTGTTCTTCCATTGATTATTAACCTCGAACCTTGCAACATACCGGGCCTTGATGGGTTCCATCCACGATTGCTATCATCTCTCGCAGACATTATTTCCAGACCACTCGCGATGCTCTTCAACATATCCCTTTCCCTTACCCAACTCCCTAGAGATTTGAGAGATACTACTGTCAATCCTGTACTTAAAGATGGTCAGAGACAGATCGTATCTAGCTACCGGCCTGTCAGTCCAACCAACATAGTCGTTACGTTGCTTGAAAAGACAATTCGGGTTAAATTACTAGATCTCATAGAATTGTACAATCCGTCAACTCCCGAGCAACACGGGTTTCGAACACAAGCATTCATGTTTGACCTACTTACTCATTGTGTGAGAGGATTGGACAGTGACCCAGACAACATTCAGTCTTTCGATGTGATATTCATAGACTTTAGCAAAGTGTTTGACAAGGTTTCATACTTGGGTTTTATCTAGAAGCTCTTGAGTTTCGGAATGCTTTGACGAGGAAATGTTTCGAATTTTATATCTCACCTATGTAAAATCACACTTGGAGTACTGTATTCAAGCATCCAGCCCATGTCTGATAGAAGATACTAACTCAATTGAGCGTGTTCATAGTGTGGGAACAAAATTAGTGAATGGTCTTTCTAAAACTCTTTTTAAAACTCATAAACCTTCTCCCCTTGTCGTATCGTAGAACGCGAGGTGACCTTATACTGACATTTCGTATCCTTAATTACGATTTGAGTGTTAATATGTCTTATCTTCTTGCTCTCTCTAGCAGTAATAATCTTCGAGGTCATAGCAAGAGGGTTCACAAATCACGACATAGCAAACTTAAAGTACAGTTCCGATTTTCTCATCGAGTGGCCAATGATTCTAACGCTTTGCTCGAACAAGTGGTACTAGCCTCATCAGTGAACATTTTTAAGGAGAAAATGGACATTCAATACAAGGCAATCTGTCAAGAATAACGCAGATTCATCAACCAACTATCCTTATTATTGAAGAATGATATTGGATAGTGAGCAACAGAATGGTTACTAATGTAAATTGCGCGTCATTCCGTCTTTTATTTTTAATACCGTTACAATTTCATGATGCGCTTGAACATTTACGTCGTTTAGATTATCAAGTTGTTCTGATTTTTCATTTGAGTCATTGCCACTTGGTAACGACTGCTTTCGTGAACGGGTTGTTGAGTTGACTCACTTTTTCTCGTGAGAAAAAATATGTATATTTTTCGCCTCTGTTGGTCGTTATACATGGTACCTTGAATAGGGAATAATTGTAGCTCATTTACAACTTCATCCAGGGCTTCATGTTATGAATCGGTGTAGTTGAACCACGTTCACTAAATAGGTTGCTTAACCATTCCGTTACTTTGGCACAGCTGATTAGTAATGACTGATAAATCTCATAATGGCGTTTCTGATTACGACATGCTGTGAATCATTTGGCAAAACTAGATTCGTTTTTATGACTAGTTTTGCGTGTTTTGCGTAAGGATTCAAGTTATTTAAATTTGCTTTTAGTGGCTAATATTACCGTTTAATGCCAGTAAATATATACATATGCATACATATGTGTTAAATACTAAGTGGAAACGGAAATCAGACCTTATGATATGCGAAATTCAGCATAAATGGTGTGGGTGAAGCTATAATGTATAGACGGGCTTTGAGCGACTTTAGAGTGACTCTTAGAATGTCGACCTACTTACTGGGTCTAAATTAAGGTTACGAAGCAGTTTGAAGAATAAAGATTATGATTTACAGTTCACGGTTAAAGTTAGGAATTGTAGTTAGGGTCTCCTCCACGAACTGACATCAGCTAAATTGCTAAAAGGCTACTCGGCGAATTGATGAGTGGATTTTGCCAAAACCTGTTATCCCAAATCTGATTGGTTCGTACATAAATTATAACCTCACGTTTTTGTTAAAAATGTCGCTGGCTTTTATACTGGCGTCGGCATTTCCGGTCTCTTATTGGGTTTATAGGGTCACTTAAGTGTTACTCAGCACAGCGCTTTATCAGTTGCTAGTAAAAATTTTGTCGATGAAGATTTCACAATGTACTAAGTTTCATGAAATAGTTCAGTCTTTTAGGCTATTTAAGTTTTTATTGACATCCACAACCAGTTAACACTAATTAATCTCTCATGACACCATATGATGACAGTCAAAACATTTTTTTCAAGGTACTTATATATAATGACATGAAAAATTAGCACCTTATTTACAAGTGATAGAGATCCATCTTACAGCGTGTTAACATATGAATATTCCACGACGTTATAATCCGTCTGTGTATATATGACCTACTGTTCAACAAGATCGCTAACATTGGCGACCACCCTTATTTTATCTTTTCTAACAAACGGTTTGAATATTTGTAATCATTATCTTACCTCATACTTTTTCATGGCTAAATTATATCTATGGAGGCCACTAAATGTATATATAAGCTGTTAACGCTGCTAAAAGTCATAAGAAAATGAAATATTTTGTGCAATCACAATGTAATCTAACAATATAAATTTACATTTCATGAAACAAAAGTTGGTTTCTTAAACTATCTGATCGATCATTTTCTTTTATGCAGTGCTGCCCATTACTGTAAAAACGTGTTTGTAGTTTAGTTAGCTACTTAAATTTACCAAAACTTATTTACTCTCGGTGACTTGAGTCTGATCCAAAGGAGAACTTATTTGTAGAGGTATGATTTAAAACCCATAGGTATGACCACATGATAAGAGTGCACACTACCAGTAGCTCAAATAACTCAAATAAGTCACTATGGCAGTGAGGTTGAGACAACCTTAGATATTTTAGAAATTTGTGGCCCGAAATGGAAGGATTAACAGAGTAGGTGATGTAAAAAAATAAAAAGATGCTAATTTGATTTTATAAACAATATCCAAGCGATTATCAACAGTATCGCACTACAATTGGATCCAGAGAATTGTGGACAAAAACGGAAATATCACCTTACAATATTCAGTGGATTACCAGATTGCTTAAATGGTTGATCAATTGTATCCATTTACAACTGTAAATACATCTTATTTTGTCTCTCTTTTAGATTTCTACATGTATATTTTTACCACAATACCTCGATAACATACATTTAGAATAGACCAGAGAATTCAAATATTGGACATCATAGATGATACAAACTAAAAGTTCGTGGACTCCATTGGTGAACAAAGACGCAAATAAAACGGTATTGTTTTGTTTACTTCCTCCATTACTTGTCAGTTTTAGCTTTTTGAAGAACGAAAAAATCTTATTTTAGCTTGGGTATGAAATAAGATCGCGTTTTACATAATCTTTAGTTTGCAAAATGGTCAGAAAGTCAAAGAAAGGAGTTAATGACGAAACTTTTCGAGTTATGCACTCAGAAACAACTTGAGTCACTTTTTCACAATATAGAAAATAAAATTCCTTTATACCAAATAGATTTTACTAGAATACTACCAAGAGTTCTATGCATTTATCTGTTTTCTTTTCTGGATCCTAGAAGTCTCTGTCGCTGTGCACAGGTAAGTATTAGCTATTCATTGGATGTCTTCTAGTTTTTTTTTAACAAAGACATTCAATTTCATAAACCAGTTAACAACAATAATATTGTTCATATACTTATATAGTGTCAATTACTTTCTTTACATTTCATCTAAACATTGTAGAGAAACATTTCTTAAAGGTTTATAGAAAAGGAAATTAATAGCTCAGTAAATACACGCTATTGATGTTATATCCATTGTTATAATACAAAAACTCATGGTCGTGAATAACATTTGTATATAACGTGAGTTCCTAGTCGCATAACTGGTCTATAGTATAAATCAGAACAGTGGAAGCACGTTCAAAATAAAATGTTACCAATATTTTCCGTGTAGTCATTATGAACTTGGAAAATCTGCTCACAACTAGAGAAAGGTAACAAATTCAATTGCATATTCTGTATTTAGGTATAAGAATATTGATCACTCTAGTTAACTCCAATCATTTGAATAAGTTTGTATGCGGTGATTTTGTTCTGGGTTTGGACTTCGCGTGCGGTGGGATCGTCAATGCACACTGCTGAGGAGTCACATAATAGAACGAAACGGCCGTCCAGTGCTCCCAGATTTACCATGGTGGTCTAGCTTCAATTGACTCATGATTCCAACCAGTGAAATCCATACATTCTCTAAATTGACCTCTTTATTTAATCCGATTAACTAGACTAATCGATATTATAAGGTTAATAGAGAATGTCTTGAGAATGAATATTATTCAAATAAACTAGTTCACTAGACCACGTGCATAAAAAGTACAGGGAATTTATGAAGTGTCTTTTGTATATGAATTGGTGTAGTGATCAATCATTGTGTTAGGTTGTTAAATATAAAAAACCAAGCATATTTTGAATGAATTTCTGCGTCAGTCAGTCGTCAATTAAACTATTGAATCAACTCGTGAAACCACATATTCAGTACAGTAAGTAAATAAATAGGAAAACTGATAGTCATATATATATGACATTAGACATGGATAAAATTTGATAAATAATCATATGAATAAGTAGTATCAAAAGTGTCATATTGATATCTTGCTTTATACTTAGTTAAACAGAAATAGATTTGAGTAGGTCTATGGTTTGAGTGAATAGCATGAAGCTGACTTAAAGACAAACTTATTTCTCTGATGGGTACTCATCAATAACATGATCATTGACTGTTGCAAACATTTTGACTTGTTATATCAGTTATTTATAATTAGTTCAAAGAACAGTCCAGTAGCAAATATTTATCGGTAGTTAAATTGGTTATTAAACTAATCAACTGAAATATGAACCATTTTTGAGTGAACCTCTTCGTGAAGTATAGATGGCGGTATCTTTGTCGAAAATACTGCGTCATACCGCCAGAAATTACAGTAAATAGTAAAGACTTAGTATTTCATCTTTACAACCTTTACAATAAATAATGAATAGACTAGTTTGCTTTCTAACGGTTTAAATGATCCTGTTGTGCGGGTGAGTAGCTATTTAAACTCAGTAGCCAGGTGGATAACCCATTAGCGTTTGAAGCAAAAGAGATTGAGTTTGAATCCTGAAGTGAGCATCAATCCCAGGATGCAAGAAAATTTAGCTGAAGAGACCTAAATGAGAAAAAACTTGCGTCTTGTATTCTACTGCTAGCTACACTCAAATTATTCTATGTGGATATGGTTTAATTTATCATGATTTCAAAATCAAGAGTTTAAACCTCATCACATGTTACTTCCTCTGTTTCTTAATCTTATATACTACTGATAACCATTTAGATATATCTCATACACATCTCGCTTGACTAAAAATTCACTGCTTATCAGAAATCGAACCTAAGTTTCAGTCAAAAGTCTCTAATTACACGTTGTTTGAAGAGAAAGCAGAGTTACTTTGTCATAATGTTAGAAAATGATAGTTAACATTAATCAGTGTTTATAAAATACCATGAATGAAACGTTTTGGTGCTTTGTATTCTCTAATGGTTCTCTGTTTGTAACTTATTTTTTAAAATCATTTTCTACACTAATCTATCAATGAATTTGTTTGCGACACTTTTCTCTCGTTCTAAATTCAGAATGTTGCTTTAGAACTGGTCTATGTTGATATTTAAATTGGCTGGACAGAATACATTATTCACTGAGTTGATCACTTTATTTTTCATGAAAGTCTCATTACCCCAGTGAATAGAAATCAGCAAAATCTCGATTGGAACTCAAAACACTCGGTTGATATTTATCAAATTACGTTACTTGTAGCAAGATGTCCATTGAACAACTAAGAGCCGACTATACTGCATAGTAGCCCCCTTTGTATTACTCTACAACTATGAAATATAACCTATGAAAGTGGAGAATCTACTCAGACTGTAGGCTTTTAATTATGGATGTCTTTAAAGAACTTCTCGAGTATTATAGAACGACTAATTGGGAAATGTTTAAGTGAGATAATGGAGTATCAGGCAAAAGTGTCAAACTAATGGATCAGGTTATAAATCTGTTATATCCGCATCAATTCTTACTTATTCTTAAAACAATTCCGACAGCGTGAATTGTGAACAAGGAAGATTGGTACAAATGGCGATTTACTCATCCCGAAAATACGACGACGACTGCGACGACGACTACTGTAGAAAATACAGTTATTTACATATTGATTTGTATACAATTTTAGTTATCAATCAGGAAAAAGTGACATATATGGAAAACGGCCAAACTAATAACAAATCACATGCTGTATATTATGCTGAACATGATTTATGTTAACTTAACACAAGAGTATCTTATTTTTAATAAACATCACACTAAATAATTATTATATTGAATTAGAATATGGAAGTAATTTTGGACAAGAATCATAATCAATTAAAAATGTAATATTGTATAAAAGCCTTCAAAGACGTATACTAAGGTTTATTGAAGCCTTGACTATAAGGAAACTAAAACCCCCTTTATGTGATGATGAAGAAGATTTGAAAGCTCCACGACTAAACCATCTAGCTCAGAGAGCAGACCTCCATCAAAACTCCTTTTGTGGGTTCAAAAACAATTTGTCCTTACATTTAATTTACCCTGGTAATACTGATTTATTATCCAGAATGATTATCACATTGTCTTTGAGTACTTTATTTATTTCTTTCTTTGTTACGGCTTACCTTTAACTTGTACAGTTGACCTTTTCATGTTCATATAAAAATGTCTTAACAAGTATATACTGTATGATCAGATTGTTCGAAATGTATTGCGCAAATCTACCATTACATAATTCTGATAAACTTAGACTTCTCATTGTATTATCGAAATTGAAGATGTAATTTTGCCTCTTCATCTTGTCATATTCTTAATCTTTGTCAGCTTAGGCCGTTAGATTGTGTGTTCCATATTTCTAATCACTGTTTACCCTAAAACGTTTTCTCTAGGTATCATGGTATTGGAGATATCTAGCTGAATCAAATGAATTATGGGCATCGAAGTGTTTAAGATATGGATGGGATTTAATCGCTTCACATAGTCAATGGGAACCTGGAATTTGGAAGAAGCATTATATTCAAAACATACGTTATCTTCAGTTTCATATTTCAGAGAAGGTGAGCATATTTATTATAATGATAATAATAATAATGACGTCTTATGATTTGATATATATTGACCATAGTCAAACACAATACTCTTACATCATTCAATGAGAAAAGTTTTTTTAGTTTACACTACATTGTGACCATACTTAGTTGAACATCTGTTTCATCCTACCATGGGGTTTCCCGAAAAAATGTATCACCTCCTCTCACAAGTGAATGACTTCGAGAAGTGATTCCTGAGATTCTGATGAGATGTGTCCTGTGGAGTCCAACCAGTTAACCAACGAGTTTATTGAAAGGTGGCCACGTAATATTATGAATTAATTGAGATCGGACGTGTAAATCAATGGTCTAAAGGTTTAGTGTTTCCAGGGAAACTTGGAGATTCTGAGTTCGAACCCCTTGATGGGATCGTTATAACGTACTATTGAAGAATTCTTTGGTAAGAAAAAAATAGCTGTTCGGTGCTTTCTGATCTTTCGATTGTTGTTTAAATGACTCATACATTTCTACAATTCCGTAGATCCTATAAACTGAGAAAATTTTTTTCTCTTACCATAACTCGTAATTTACTCCCTTTATTGATTTATTGGAGAAACATTTCTGCCTTTTTGATAAGTTATGGTAAAGTACATTCATGTTTTCTTTAACTCGGTGCAATATTTTATGATATAAGCTTCATTCCAAATGTAGCACTGAACACCAGTTTTCTTCTCAATATAAAGTTTTAGTAAGTCAGTCAGTCAGTAACAACGTAGAAATTCGTACGTACGTACATCAGTTCGAGTTGCCACACCACATTAACACAGAGATGCAGTTGTCGGTTCAAATCCCATAGTGGTAGAGATAGTAAGAGTATAAGCAGTAATCGGAAAGATTAGGGTTAAGATATGTTACTTAAAGAGTATAATACAGTGAAATAAATTTGAGAGGAGAAAAAAGAGACAGGAAGGAATCAGGAGATTAGAACTTGGGAGAACACAAAGAGTGGATGCACCTGCGCCATTTCAAACGATTTTGAGCCATATCATTCACGGTCTCTAACCATCGGTTGCTATCATCGCGCGGTCCCCAACCAGGTAGTCTACACCTACCAATATGACTCAGTCCACTTGTCAGTGACTTCATGCACTTGTGCTATGTTTCGGTCTGGCCGCCTCTAGCTTTCTTCCAACCTACTCCTATACCACTGAACATCGCACGTCGAGGCCGTCGGTCGTTGGGCATACGTAACACGTGTCCCAGCCATCTCAACTGATGAAGTTTCACTACTTCATCAATTGATTTGCCATCCTTACCTAGTACCCGTTTCCTGACAACTGCGTTACTTACTCGATGGTCTCATGATATACGAGCAATGTTTCGAAGACACCTATGATCAAATACTAGTAGCCTACGGATATCCTCTACTCTTACCGGCCATGTTTCACTGCCATAAAATAGGATGGAACGAACTACTGCGCAGTAAACACGTCCTTTGGTTGATAGACGGATATCTCGCCTACGGCATAAATGACGCAAGTTGGCAAAAGCAAGGTAGTTGAGCCTTCTGTATCTGTGCTGAGATTTCGTCACACACCAGACCACAAGGGCTGATGAGACGTCCAAGATAAGTGAATTGATCGACACGCTCAACTACTTCACTCCCTATCATTAGTTCGGGTGTCAATCCAACCTAATCCTGAAGCAGCATTTTGCATTTTGAGGGGAGAATCGCATCCCGAACATGCTTGCATTGTTGGTAAGAGTGGTTAGAAGACTCTGCATTTTGTCAGCGTCTTCACTAAATAAAACTATGTCATCAGCATATTCTAAGTCAACAAGTGAACCTCCCGGTGGAAGTTCAACTCCTGGAAATCTAGACGAGGAAGTGTTATCTCTGAAAGTACGTCAACGACAAAGTTGAACAAGAATGGAAAGAGTGGACAGCCCTGACGATCACCACTTGAGGCAATCAATTCTGATGACAGTTCGCCATAAGCTCTCACTCGACCAGTTGTGTTCGAGTAGAGAGTCTTTACAAGGTTAATGCACTTCTTTGGTGCTCCTTTCAGTGAAAAACACTGCCACAAAACCTCACGATCAACAGAGTTGAATGCTGCCTTAAGTCGAGAAATACTACGATTGTGGGTATCTGAATGTGTGTTTGTGTTCCAGAACCTGACGTGGTGTGAATACCTGGTCTATACAACCACGTCCAGGTCGAAAATCAGCCTGGTTTTCTCTGGTCTGCTCTTCACGAGCTTTAGTTAGGCTTTTGATTGAGATCATGAACCGATTGATGTTAGACCACCACAATTGAAAACCTGGAAGCACTGGACGGCCGTTTCGTCCTATCGTGGGACTCCTCAGCAGTGCGCATCCACAATTCCGCTCACGGGATTCGAGCCCAGGGCCTCCGGTCTCGCGCGCGAACGCTTAACCAACTGGATCACTGAGCCGGCATCCAATGGTGATAGTTTCTAACATCAACCAATCCACGAAATTTCACGACCAACTTCCATTGTACTGAGGTAGATACCTGTCTCTACCCGACATGGATTAGCTCCACTGGTCAATCTCAATCAAAAACTTGATAATCTCCACAACCCCTATACTAGTAATCAAGATGTGCTCACTAGTGACTAGCTTCGTGAGGGAATTCTCGGAGTTCTAGTGAGAAGCCGTGACCAGTGGAGCTAATCCATGTCGGGTAGAGACAGGTATCTATCTCAGTACAATGGAAGTTGGTCGTGAAATTTCGTGGATTGGTTGATGTTAGAAACTATCACCATTGGATGCCGGCTCAGTGATCCAGTTGGTTAAGCGTTCGCGCGCGAGACCGGAGGCCCTGGGCTCGAATCCCGTGAGCGGAATTGTGGATGCGCACTGCTGAGGAGTCCCACGATAGGACGAAACGGCCGTCCAGTGCTTCCAGGTTTTCAATTGTGGTGGTCTAACATCAATCGGTTCATGATCTCAATCAAAAACTTAATAATCTCCACAACCCCTTTACTTGAGTTAGGCGTCGAAGAATTATTGAAGCTTATATTTTAGACACTATATTAGTCAAAATGATTCCTTTGTGATTGTCACAAGAGGACTTTTGTCCTTTCTTAAAAACTGGCACAATTAGTGATTGAGACCAGTCAGTTGGGATTACGTCCAGTTCCCGAATTCTACCTAAGACCTCAGTTAATCTCGCTGCTAATACTGAAGGTTATATTTTCCAATGTAACATTATCTCAGGTGAATAGGGTTTGTTTAAATGGTGAATTTTGATCGGTTTGATCGTTGCGAACGTTCGTCTAGCGTTATAACTATATTCTTTATAGTTTTTTATGTGAACTTCATATGTATTTTACAGTAAAACTGTGTATTTTTCATTTATATGATGTTCATTAACATCATCATCATCGTCGTCATCATCAAGTGTGTGTAGAATTAGCACATAAATAAGTGTATTCGGTTGAAAGGTATAATCTTTTACAACTTGTTTTGGGTAAGTGTTAATAGAGGGTCAATAAATCTTCATTTGTGCCAGTTCTTGTCTTTACTTTGCATAGTTGAATGTGCAACTGTTCCTCTTTCTAAGTATAAACAGTAGGACCGCGGATAGAACAGAGTTGATACATACAAAACAGAAGCAACACCAGATATAACACTTCCGTTAGGGTGTTATTAGCTTTGATGAATGAACGATGGCTGTTATAATTAAATAACCTTGATAGATAACCTTTGTTGAATTGACAAAGTCAATGAAATGCGTGCATTTCTTAAGGTGACTGATACAGAAGAAAATCTTTTATGTTCATAGGCAGTGTACTCTTTTGGAATTCTATGGATTCGACGAGAAAATAAATTTGAACAAACCAATCAGATTTGAGATAAGAGAACTTAGATTTTGGCACGAGATTCATCCACTCATTTGGCTAAATAGATTCTTGGCATTATAGCTGATGACAGTTCGCGATGAAAACCCGAAATCTAATTTTTAACTCTAACCATCAACTGTATATCATAAACCTTATCTTCCAAACTGCTTTATAACCTTAATTTAGCCCTAGTTAGTAGGTAGACACTCTCAAGGTCACTAGCGTCGTTCAAATGTCATCCATAAATTATAGTCTCATTATCTAGAATTCTCAGCACATAGTATTTCAACAAGTTTCCATTTCTTATTTCATGGTTGTTCGTGACGATTACATATTGAGTGACCGCCAGTTAGATGTTAACAGTTCAATCAATCGACATCTAAATAATGTACATTCTTTTCGTTGCATATTGCCAGCAACCACAATATCTTTGATTGACCTCTTGGTAATTTGTACAACGAAAGATTGTACACTTTTCAGAAACTTACCTGAATAGGAAGTTATGCAATGAATAGCTATAATGATGTATTAAAACAACCAATAGGGTTGAATTGCTCATTCTGTCTTTCGTTAACAGGTAAACAAGAAAAAAGAGACAATAGAAACAAACCCGATCATAATTGAAGATGTGAGTAAATAGTTTGGTACACAATCATATAACCTAATTAACCATTCACTTGGTATTGTTTGGCTTGTATCTTCCCATTGAGGTTTAAAACTGCAATTGATCAGTCTGTTATTGACATATGTGCATACTGTGCGCATGCCTCGATATTGCCTTAATTCACAAGCTTTTTGTAAGCAATGATGGATAGTGGCTAGCAGTAGAATCCAGTTGGACGCGCGTTTCGCCCTATTTGGCACTCGTCAGCTGGATGTACCTGCATCTCAGAGTTGATGTTCACTCTGGGACTCGAACCCAAACTGATCAATTGCAGTCTTAAACATCAATGGGAAGATACAAATCAAATAATACCAAGTGAATTTAAATTCACCTCATTGCACAAGCAAGTGGCTATCAGGACTCAGTAGCTGAGTCGATAACGCGATGGTGTCTGAAGCGAATGGTACTGAGTTCGATTCACAGAGTGAACATCCAGCCGACGAGTCCCAGATAGGACGAAACGCGTTTCCTGGATTCCACAGCTAGCCACTATCCATCATTGCTTACTAATTAACCATTATTTTAAAAAAAGGGTCTTATATTCAAATGAGAAATATATTCAATACTCACTTGATTTACATCTCTCCATAACTAATATCCTGTTTTCTATGATAAAACACTATTGTATTCAATAATGTTCAACTATTTTTTTTGTTAATTTGAATCAATTCCTTCTCATTTTCCTGAATTCTAGTCAATCAATAAAGAAAATGGTGATACAAGAGAAAGATGTTCAGAAGAACTATTCAATAAAAGATGTCATACATTGAATTTTGTAAATAATCATCAGGATCCTTATGAGAACAATAATATTGATACTACTATTAATACTACTACTACGGCTATTAGTAGTAGTAGTACCAGTAGTAACCATGGTGATTATGATAAAACACAGGATATAAATAGAAACTGTAAGTATATAATAGAATTAAATAATCATTATTTTATACATCATAAATGTATAGATAAAATGATTCAATTAACTGATACATCTAAATTAATACCATGGCGTGCACCAAGTCGTAAACCATCGGATACTCATCGTTTTAATTATTTTGATAATAATGAAACAATCAAGTTAAAATCTTCTAAAAATGAATTTCAATATCGGTAAGATTAATTTCTAATCAAATTTTTGTTCTTTCCTTTATTATTATCATTATTATCTGTTAATGACCTTGTTGATGGTGTATTTTATGAGTAACAATAGCTAAGATCATGAGTCGATTGAAGCTAGACTACCATAGAAAACCTGGAATCACTGGACGGCCATTCCGTCCTATTGTGGGACTCTTCAGCAGAGTGCATCCACGACCCTGCTACGTGGGATTCGAACCCAAGACCTCTTAGTCTTGCGTGCAAGCGCTTAATCATTAAACCACTGAGCTGGCATCCAACGGTGTTAATATCTAACTTCAACTAATCCACGAAATTGAGCGACACATCCACCATTGTTATCAGTGAGTTACTATCTCACAACTGACCCGGTTGAATTCAACTGGTCACTGCTTTTCACTAGAACTCCAGGATATACATCATGAAGCCAGTCGTGGATGCACACTGCTGAGGTGTCATACAGTAAGACGAAACAGCTGTCCAGTGCTTCCAGGTTTTCTATGGTGGTCTAGCTTCAATTGACTCATGATCTCAATTATTAAAACAACATATTATCGTTGACTTAGTTTCTTAAGTATATTATTTCGTTCAAAATCGTGCCCATGTTTATACTTGAGCCATCTAATATTTTTATGACGAATTAACATGGAACCATTTAAATGACTTAGACTTTCTTCATGGTTTTATTGAAAAAAGATATAGTTATATACATTTAAGAGTGTCCAGTACAGTTATTCTGACCCGTTTTACAGTGATATATCTCAGGGAATGGATGAAACTCATGTACGGTAAACCAATTTACTATTATTACGATTACTGCTGCTAAGCATTCTACACGCAATTTATGCTAAATGCTATTTATTTCTGTCCGCATAAGTAGTGAATGTCACACTAGTAGATCCAAAATAATAATTGAAGACTGTTATATTTAAGGGGAGTTGAATTAGTATATCTCAGGTATATTTAGTTACTGGGATTAACTGTTGTTATGTCATCAGGTAATTGTTTGGTTATATTTATTTATTTACCTAATTAATTGCGCCTGTTACCCCTCATGGAGGAGCATGGGCTGCCCACCACGCTTTCTCCATCCAATCCTGTTCTGAGCAATCATTTATAGTTTCTACTCATCCTTTTCATATCTGCTTCCGATTCCCGACACAATGTGTTGTTTAGCCTTCCTCTTTTCCGTTTCCCTTCATGATTCCAAGTAAGAGCGTGTGTAAATAAGAAACAATATAAAGTGTCAGGCTGTATATTGGTTGTGACTACTTAAGTAATGAAATTGTTTAACTTCTCAAAGCTATCTGCTACAGAGTTTATGGTTAATTCAGTTGATGAAGTATTTCACATTGTACATGTCATTAACACAGAAAATTGTGACCTTATATGGATGTTTACTTCTTGATTTGTGATCCTGCAAGTTTCTTCATGAATTTCCACAGTAATCATCAGATAAATTTGTTGTGCTTAAATGAACTAAACTAATCTCTTATAAATTGTAGCTAATAGTCTGTCGTTCTTTTGTAGTTGAGCAGGACTTGATTGTCCTTTCGTCTCCCCCACCAAACATTCTTTGTTCTCGTTCTCTTTTCTTTGATCTTTTTAACTTTCTACCCCCACGCATTTCACTTTCGACTGACGATACATACTACTTATATCTGTCAACATAAGTAGCACACATCGCAGCATTATTATGTTGATTTATTTGCTTCTAAAAATGTTAGTTTGTCTCCTAATTTGTACGATATTGTGAACGTATTTATACATTCATGGTTATTGCTTAAATCAATCTTTCCTGATCTGATTGAAATATTTTATAAAGAAGATCTATATTTCGGATTTTTCGGGGAGTGCCCTCTATGTACTCAACTACTTCACTCTCTATGGTTTGAATCAACGTGAAAAAAACTCTCAAACGTACTTGCATTGTTAGTCAAGTTGTTCTGGAAACCCTGAATAATATCAGCGTCCTCATCTAACAGAAATATGTGATCTGCTTATTTCAGGGAGTTTTCAGAAATGAGTGAAATAATTCGATTCTCTGGTTGGAAATGATTAAATCAATTTAACATACGGATACTATGAAGACATGAGGAACATCACTTGAGATTGCTTTTTGTGATTAAACTTAATTTGATAAATACTGTAAACAAAATTTACCTTAAACTATTTTTTATCTAAAACTTCGCATGTAGCTCTTCTAGAGTTACTGCCGATCTCAAGCCAGGGTAAAGGAGGAAGGTTGGGCATAGGGTTAACGACCCCATACCGTATAAAAGTAACTCGCTATAAAACACTAACAAGAAAAAAATAATTCAAATCATTTAAACTTTGCCCTGATAGTTAGATAGTCTTCATTTAGAAGAGTTATTACGCCTCATGGTCAAAGCCAAGTTCCTTCGGATGTCACGAGGCTGATGCCCCTTCTAACAACCAGCGCAACAATTTTTATGGTTACATGGAAACTCCGGACCAGTCAAATAGCAACGGAAATAAGGAGATACAAATTGGCAGTACTGGAAATTTTTTATCTAATGTGTTTTTCTTTATTTTGTGTTTACAAAAGGTTCAGTAATAGTGCTGGGTCAACAAGAAAGAAGTACTCATTATCATCATCATCACCACCGCAAATTGATGGTATTTACAGTAATGGTATTAATGGTAATGTTCATAATCTGTTTAAGCATGAAACAATACAGAAATCAACATGTCCTAATATTTCAATGTTCACAAGTCATCATAATTCAATCACATTACCTTGGAAACCCACATCTACATATCCGTCTGGAGCATATTATCTTAATACAGAAAAAACGCAACCACTACAATATAGTATGATTAAAAAATATTTTAATCCTAATTCTAACTTTAAAAATAGTTCAAAATATAATAAAATTGAGAATAATGAACCGCCAAATCATAAACTACATTTGAACAACTCAAAATTGAATGGATCAAATAAACAACTGGATCATGAAATCGACATGATCAGTTTTTCAGATGTATGTTTTTTTCTAGTTATTTATTTATTTTAACACATAGATATTGGTACAAGCAGGCACCAAATAGATATGCGCCACAATTCGCCATTCGATTTGTGGAACGGCTCGGATATTGCCCGGGTCCCCAAACCGAAGCAGGTTGTTTTCTGAGGGGGCTACACCCGGAGCCTTCGACCTACGGGTCTGATCCATAAGGCAGTGGAGTAACGTCAGCAGATGCCGTCTCATGTTAGTCAGTGACCAACGATTAGTTCATACACCGTTTGTTCACTCAGGATACTGGAGCCCATGTGCACGGTTGGTTTGGAATCAGGATTTTCCAACTCCCTTAAGTAAATCCTCAATGTCCACCAGGCCGTTCGAAGCTACGGACATTCTCTTTTCGTCCTCTCAATTTCTTAAACAACACCCTCATTGAGAGAAGTCAGTGAGTAGGACTTCCCTTGTAGAGGCTGTATACACGTGGCCATGTGAGAGCATTTGGAGAGGGGTAGCTGACTTTCCCTACTTTGAGCAGTACCAGGGCATTTGGAGGCTTGATATTGATTTCACTCTTTTTCGTAGTTATCAACTAGAAAATTGCAAATCGAATTATTTTTAGGTCTAGTCAAAACTATTTAATCCTAAGCTATTTAATTCGATAACAGATAACTCTCCTTTAATTTAAAGATACACTTTGCCGATGAGCACTAAATGTATGAAACCACTGTCATGTAAAGTTTCTTGTCAATTGATTCAACATATCTGAGATCTAAACAAAATCCACTACAACTATGTATTACTTAGCTATGTAGTGTAGTTTACTCCGCATTACCTTGGTGAATATTCAGAAATTGGGTATCGCAGTGTCTGATATCCGCTAATCGAATTGTCAATTTTAACGGTGAAAAAAGTTTGGACTCAAAACGTTGTATCCCAACAGCGAGAAGCATGTTACGCTTGTATGATACAATTGATATGATGGAGACTAATTGTAGCATAGGATTAGGGTTTCAAGGGTATATTTTTGTCTGAGCTGGGTAATTTAGTCGTGAGGTATTTTGCAGTCTTTCTTGACGACATTATCAGCGAAAAATTCAATAAGAAGCATATTATTAGAACATCTTCACAACCGACTAACTACTTGATCTATTGTCCTAGAATTAGGTTGATTGTTATTCTTAGATCTGTAGCGGTTGTTCGTATGTGTGCATTGATTTATTTCATCACAGACTTACACACATCTATGGACAACAACTAACCGAATTCTAGGTCAACAGAAAAAGTAGTTAGTCGTTTGTGGAGAAGTTCTAATAACTCACTTCTTATAAATTTTTTGATGATGATGCTATCAAGAACGATCATGAAAGCCACCATGACTAAATGCTCCAGCTCAGTAAATAAAACCATATTTAAAATCTTGTATCTGCATTTCATTCCCATCGATGCACATTAAAATACCACATATTTACTCTCAGTTAAACTGTAAATTACAATAAACTTTTGACCCCTATCAATTCAGCTACATCATATTCAAAACAAAGCGGTTATTTCAAGTACCTTCGTAAAGTATGATGACACGTCAACTGTATCACATTTTTTATACCTTATATCTGAGTAGTCTGAATGGAATCCTTTGTCGTCGGACATATGATTGGTTATATTCCTTAGCAGAAGGATGGTGGCTAGCAGTTTAATCTAGGAGGCGTGTTTCAACCTATTTGAGACTTGTTAGCTGGATGTACCTGCATCATAGAGTTGATGTTCATTCCGGGACTCGAACCCTGTACTATTCTCCATCGGTTTATTCACTTAGCTACTGAGTCCAGATAGCCACTGTTTCATGCAAATAGAGTGAGTTTTAATTCATATACACTGATTGCTCGGTTCTTTTCATTGAATAAAATGCTTGTGAGTTAGTAGCAATATCGAGGCAATCGGCATAGGATGCACATATGCCAAAAGAAACAGTTCAGTTGCAGTACTAAATATATATGGGAAGATTCGAACAATCAATATATAAAAATTGGTTGTACTCTTTATTCTATACTTATTCATATTGTTCTACTGATCTATCCTTGAAACCTATCCGGTTTTCTCACATTTCCGAATTGGTTTGTGTGGGTACATAGTTGTTTATCGAAATATTGAAGCCTAAAATGATTTCCTGTAGTCCTTAATTTAAGTTTTTCAGTGATAAAATGCATATATCTACATTCTTCACTAATTGCAAGTGAGTCCTATTGTAGATTGTTTAAATGTCTTCAAGAAGGCCATTCCAGAGCAACCCATTTGACCAAATAGCGTCTTGGCACTATAGCTGATGACAGTTCGCGATGAAAACCCGAAATCTAATTTTTAACTCTAACCATCAACTGTATATCATAAACCTTATTCCCCAAACTGCTTTATAACCTTAATTTAGCCCTAGTTAGTAGGTAGACACTCTCAAGGTCACTTTAGCGTCGTTCAAATGTCGACCATAAATTAGTCTCAACAGTCATATTTTAATTCAAGTTAATTTAACTCTGGCAATGTTAGTTGTTATCGTAATATCAGATATATGATTATTGTTGATTATTGAGCCATAATCTTTCTGGTAAGATCTTTCATCGCCAGTGGTGATAGTGTCTAACATCAACCCATCCACGAAATTGTGCACTGTTGAGGAGTCCCACAATAGAACGAAACGGCCGTCCAGTGCTTCCAGGTTTCCAAAGGTGGTCTAGCATCAATCGGTTCATGATCTCAATCAAAAACTTAATAATCTCCACAACCCCTATACTAAGAGACTGATCAACTGCAGTCCTAAACATCAATGGGAAGATTCAAGTAAAACAATAGTACTAAATGAAGCTAATACATTGATTTCAAATTTTCCACATTCATATAAGTGAAATCTCATATCATTTAGTATACTCATATATGTTTAATAATAAGTCCTTTTTCTATAATTTTGTTTAAATTAAAACAGAATAAACAAACCTGTGGAAAATCAACGGTTTTGGAAGAATTGAATTCTCAATAGTAAACATTGTAATAATAATAATAATTCTCCACATATGAATATACTACTACTCTACAATAATGAGTAGTTTAAATTAATTTGTAAACTGTAAAATCAATCTTGTCCACTTTCCATATTGAATGAAAAATATATTTCCTTGTTTGTTTTTTTAAAAAAAAGTTTGTTTCTTCATCTGGGAATGTGATTGATGATTAAGATTGTGATGATATAATCTTTTTTTCGAAAACCATTTACATTGAGTTAATTTAGAGAATATCATAGTCGTTCATGTTATATTTCTTTGTTAGATATTAACACCGTTAGATGCCGACTCAGTGGTCTAGAGGTTAAACGTTCACGCGCGAGATTCGAAGTCCTGGGTTCGAATCTCGTGAGCTAGATTGTGGATGCGCACTGTTGACGAGTCTGATACTAGTAAGAAATGACCGTCTAGTAGTCTGAGGTTTTCCATGGTAGTCCAGCTTCAACTGACTCATGAATTAAACCACTAAATTCCTTTGTATTAATAAATTTATTTCTGAACATGGTAAAGAAGAATTACAAAACAACGTAAATATACACAAAATATATTGATAATTGTGCTAAAAATCATACATTTCTGGATTATGGAAATTAGACTACACGAGAAAATGCCCGTAGTGATTATTACTATTCACTCATTTATCAGATATAGATACATATGCTTCTCCTTCAGGTTAGTGATAAAAACTGGTTCATCTAACTATAGTAGGTGACATTTGAACATGCTACTTAGTGACTAAATATCGAACGCTTTTACAATTGACTCACCTCTTCATAAGGAATATTAGAAAGACGAAATACAAAGATATTAATTTGAACCATAGTTAAAGGTATTTTGTAAGTAACACCTTTTTCCATGAAGTTATAACTGGCCTACTTTACGGAATAGAAGGTATTAACAAACTTTATAAATTATATTGCAAACCGACGTTAATTAGATACCTGCTAAAAAGCAGGATGCACTGGACAGCTGTTTCATCCTAGTGAGGGACTCGTGGGCAGTGTGCACATCGACATGTCTACCACAGGGTGTAGAGTTGTGGACTTTCACCAGGTTTTAAAGCAAGTGCTTCACATTTAGATCACAGAGCTGTAAAATTTCAATCAATTTGCTACATCGAGCAAATATCTTACAATATCACTAGTAAGTAATTACCCTATGTTTGAACTTCGTGATGTAAAATATAAATTTCAATAAGCTCCACAGATCTCGCTAAGGTACTAATAGCTTGGGATGCAATCGTCCGCACAAACATGTGATCGTTTTCACGACTAAAGTTTATTTCAAGCTAAAGTTTTTTTCAGTCTGGAGATTTGTATTATTTTCATTGTCGAATTCACGATTCGATCTAAGCTAGAGCACTATTGAAAACCAGGAAGTACTGAATAGCCGTCCCGTTCTAGCATGGGACTTCTCAGTAGTGCGGACCCACATCTTCGCACGCGGGAATCAGACTCAGGACCTTCGGTCTCGCGCACGAACGCTTAACCTTTAAACTACTGAGCCAGTATCCAGCGGTGTTAATGCATAACTTCAGTCGATCCATGATCTTGAACAACCCTTCATCCATTTTCTAAGATGGATAACTGTTTCACACCCGACAAATATCAAGTGAATTATCCTGATAATTTTTTCATATTTAATCATGATGAAATGAAGCTAGATGGTCAAATACAATAAAATAAGCCATTGAAAAGTGAACTTTTTTCTTCATTCTCTGTAAAGAATTTCAGTATAATTACCAAGTTTGTTCATCAGAGTGTTGAAAAAAAAACCCAGTTAATTAAATAGGTTTTACAATATCAAGGTTAGACTGCATTATTTGAAGGTTATTCTTCCATTTGCGTTATAACTAATTGGCAATAGCAGATATACTTACTGAGTTTCAGTGATAACTGAATTGATAAAATAAGACAAGATTAAATCGTTTTTATGTAAATAATTTCAATGTTTGTAAGTCTTATGTTAAATGCCAAGAAAATGTGCAATCATGAGGCTTGTTGGCATGAAATTCAAACCAACTTATCTAACCGTTAACAAGCTAATCAGTCTTCTAATTTGAAATCTCGTTGATCCTGTGTCAGATCATAATTCGTTCCTTAGTCAGAGGAAGCCTCATTAATTGTTTCTATCTTTTGTTCCTCTTCACTACATACCTGATTAAATTGATAATTGGTGTTGAAGTTGGGCAATAATTCTGGGATGATTGGCATATGGATTATGAAATTAAGAGCTATTATTTGGCCTGATACAAGACTTCTGTCCGTTAGAAGAATTACTTTGTTGGTTGACAAATTAATTCTTGATGGAACTTGAGCTTTTGAATTTAATGGAGACCATTTAAGTTTGATGGGACGTTTAAATCGGTTCTTCAATCTAAGTGGAAGTGTCAGTATTGGGAGATTTTCTATAGTTTAGAGAAAATGAGAACTCATTGGTATGAGCCTGAAATTAATAGTTTTATTACTCAACACAGTATCGGGAATACCCTAATTTTCTTGCACACTTTTAGCATAAAATTCATTAAAAATGATTGATTTAGGCGGTTTGTTTACGGATAGCATAGAACATCAGCTAACTTCCTAGAACAAAGGTTCGTAATGTCACCAGGTTTTAGACAGTGTTTAGTTAAGGACATTTTAATGAATCTTGATAGATAACTATATCTCTGACTTGGAAAAACAACAAGAAATATCAGATTCTTGAAGCATACAAGACTATTTTAAGACACAGGCTTCCATGTACGTACCATCCGTAGTATGTTTTGTAGATGTAAGCTCTTTAATTAGTTTCAAACCACTATAATTTCTACAAGAGATTTTTAAGAAAATTAAATATACCAAGGTGAGTCTGAATCTTAGTTTAAGTTAATTTTAGTCGTATTTCAATACCTTAGCAATATGTTGGATATTCAGAAACAGTCTTTTTTATACTTAAACAATAAAAAATTAATAAATGATTCAAACGACAGTTTACAATGAACACACAATATAATTGCTAAACGGAAACAAGATCTGAAATAAATCTGAGTTTAAATCTAGAAACAGGTTAGACTATCATTCAACAGAAATTTAGTCTTTACTAGATTTTTAGTATGAGGTCGTGGAGATTGTCGAATTTTCATGAAACTAAGTTAGACAACCACTAAATAATCTGGGAACACTAGACTGGTATTTCGTCTTAGTACTAGATTTATCACAGATAGTATTATGTTTTGTAAATTTTCAGTAAACAACAAAATTCTGTGAATCATTGATAGGCTAGTTGAATTTATTACACATATCATGTACTTATGACCAAATACCATCTCAATGCATTTTATTAGGTAGAAACAAGGCACACAATGATATAAAGCCGATTATTCCACAATACATCTAATCAACATCTCACTCCACATACCTTCCGATCTCAGTCAGTCAGCAACAACGTAGAACTTCGTACGTTGTTGGGGACGGTATATCTCCAAAATTCATATTTATAATTTATCATATCGATTAAATGTTTAAATATTTGAATGGAAGTCAATTGATGAACTTATCGATTAAATGCTTGTCGATTGATGAACTTCATGAGTAATGTTTAAAAACATTTCACTATGACAATATTGATTAAAGTATATTTGTATATATACGTTTTAAATTGTGTTTGTGGGCTCGCTCGTTTTTGACTGTTCACAGAATATATTTTCCATACCAAGCTTGGACTTCTCCTTCTAGATAGCGGGGCTGGAACACATCAATAGCTAGATTACTGGTCTTTGGTCATTGAGTCTTGTTATCGTTCGCAGATTTAAGTGTACTCGTAAAGCTTTCAAACCTAACATACGTGCGTACATCAGTTCGAGTTGCCACACCACATTAGCACACAGATGCAGTGGTCGATTCAAATCCCATAGTGGTAAAGATAGTAAAAGTATAAGCAGTGATCGGAAAGATTAAGTTTTGAAAATGTTATTCAAGGAGTATAATCCAGTGAAATACATTTGAAAAGAGAAAAAACGGACACGAGTAATTCAGAAGATTAGAATTTGGGAGAACACAAAGAGTGTATGCACCTGCGCCATTGCAGACAATTTTGAGCCATATCATTCAAGGTCTCTAACCATCGCGTGCTATTATCATCATCATCGTTCAATCTAGGTTAGAAATATCTTCCATGTGTACTTATCTAATTCAAAACTGATAAGTTTACACCTTCCTACTAATATTCATCTACCCATTTTATATAATCAATTTAGATTATTATAAACAATGAAACAATAAAAGATAAAATCACATCATCAACTAAAACAATAACAATGAGAGAAAGTAAAAAAGAAGCTATTGTAGTTATAAAAAGTTTTTTTTTTATAATGAAATCAACACAACTTGATAAATGCCTGTAGTAATAAATTAATCTTTCTCAATAAAAAAAAACAACAACAACAAACAAGAAACGTTCTTATTGAAAGATGCGATAAGACAGCATATGTATATATATATATATGAATATACTAGGGGAATAGCATGACGATACGTTAGTAGGTTACTACTACTTAAAACGAATGAGTAATACATGAATAGAAATATAAAGATAAATGAAACTTGAAAGTGTTATACACAAAGAATATCGAACGGAATGTTGTTCCATTGAGAAAGAGGAAAAGAAAAGTGAAAATTCGTAAAGGAAAAAAAGGATTAAACAACAAGATAATTGTGTGTATAAATTCAAAATTATGTAAGAATAAGTGAACACAAGAGAATTGTAAACAAACAAACAAACAAATAGATATTTGAAAGTCAATAATAAATGATGACATAATATCATGCATTTTATTTAACTCCCAATACTTTCGATATTTCTATTCGACCATACATTCGAAATTGTATAAGAATAGTTATGATATATTAAACAAGAGTGAGGAGAGGGGAGTTAGAGGTGACGACAACGACGAAGACTGGCAGATTATTATTATTATTATCCCCAGTTAATTATATAGGCAATGAAGTAACTATTAGCAATATGTATAATGGTATAAATCTACCAATACAGTGTATATATATTCTCTATCTAGACGTTTTATTGAATAGTACTATACGAATTAGATAGATATATGAATGTAATTATAATTAGTAATGATAATGACAGTAGTGAATGAATAAGACAACTGAATGAATAATGACAATGAATAAAGAGAAAGGATCAAGAAATTTGTTTACAAAGTATCATAATGATCATCATTGCACAATAAGCTAGTTTTAGCTAAGTGGTCAATAATAATAATAATAACGTACAGTGTTTATGTTCATTTGTAATACAAGTAATATTTAACAGTAATAGAGATGATATATAACCACAAAATAAGTTCTCATCTTAACAACAAAACTAAGAATGAGTTGCACAAAAATAAATAAGAAAGAAAAAAAAAGAATCAACAAGTAAGAATAATGAAATTAGATGAATGTAAATCAATTTAGTAACATGATTATATTTCCTTTTCACAGCCAATAACTGAGGTGTACACACGTTCATCATCCATCTATTCATTCATCCGCACACACACACACACACACACACCGACAATACATGATTGACAAATGAACAAAATACATATACATAAATAGATCATAGATAATTATGACGATGTAAGTAGGAAACATATGAATAATTCATTGATTGACTGATGCATAATGAGATAGAATGGTTCATCATATCATGGAGTCTTCCAGTCATTCATATTGATCATGTGGACAAAGAGAAGAAGGAAGAGGAAGGAAAAACAAACAAACTGGAAAGGTTTCAATATAGTAATTTCGGCCTAAAACGATACACAGCTGATTAATGATAGTTTATGGTCTCAATGTTAACGGGCGTAGCATTTGACGACAAATTGAAGCTAACAGGGTTGGTGATTGGTCAAAATCAGTTAGAAATGTACAACCAGAGTTTCTGAATGATCGATAAACTATATCATATTTTTCGTCGAATGACACTAGATTAAAAGAGATTAGAGAGTGACACAAAAGTGATGTGATCAGGAAAATATTTAAATAAATACACAGTGTAAATAATAATGTAATGAAGCAAAGAGAACTACACATTATAAACTAATATAATAAGGATCTCAAACAGTCCGATCACAGCTGCTATCTTGATTCGGCGGTCGGGTTCGCATATCATGATGATCTCGTCAAGCTAGACTGACTGGGATACCTGTTGTTTTTTGTGCTACGACGTCATAAAGTTCGGTTGAAGAACCGTATGACTAAAATCAGAGACTAGAAGTTCGAGAGCGAAGTCACTGCTCACTGTACATATGTATGACGGCGATAAAATATTCCCCTCAGCCAACCGGAGTTTTCGGAGATGCTACCTTTCCGAAACGGAAGGAGCTAGAAAAGGATGATCCAAGCTTTTCCCATGGATTTCCATTGACAGTGACAGGGCCTCAAAAGTATGAAGTTAACTAATATACAACCACTTACCAAAAGATTGGGTTCGACCGGCCAATGGTATGAGATTAATTTCAAGCAATGAAGAAATACTATAGTGAACGAAAACTTGATGGGAAAAAGCAATTTATTGTTGGGTGCAAAATTACACAGTTGCTTAGCAAAATAGAAAATCACACATTAAATACATTACTTGCACATATTCCAACAGCTGTCCTTTACCTACTACATTATTCCTCTAATTCTGTTGTTATATTGATTGCTCTCCAATTACCTTTATGCTTTTTAATATTCAATCTTCTGTTGCCTGACATTCCACTGCTGATTGCGGCTATAAACTAATTATATCTGCAAGCATAAGCAGCAGTACAACCTCTGTCTAGTGACTGAATTGTAGTGGATAACAATTATGATGCAATGTAACTTATAGAAATAGTAAAAAAACAGAGAGAGAGAGAGAGAGACAGCTGTCGTATAAAAGGTCATTGGTAAGCGCTATAACGGAAACCAAAGGATTTTGTGCATTCTACATCAGATCACTTGATACTAGGTTGAGGAGCTAGATCGATAGATTCAATAAATCAAAATACTTGACCTCACTAGACTCAACAGATAAGATCATCATACGGATCAAAATAATCAACCACAGATTTGAGAAGATTGAGATCAACTTTACATATAGAAGAGTCTCTAATTAACCAATCACAGTTTATTTGCATCCGACACAACAGTTGGGTATGTGATTTTCATTTCTGTCCTTCATTAATTATTTCTTATTTGATTTCAAATATTTTCTGTAAAAACAACAGTTTGAATTTGATATCGACACATTCATTCAGTTGAAAGTGAGGCTTAGTGAACAGTCTAATTAATTAACAAGTGATAGAATAAATAAGGTGAATAAAGTAAACAAACATACACCATGCGTCATTCATGAACAAGAAACTGTGGAACATTACTGTAATAACAAAATTTATTCAGAGCAATACAACTCATCAAGTAGAGATTCGTGTACTTAGCTTTGGATCACACTCAAAATGTAAGGACTAATGATATTATCTGGTTGCTCGAATTAAATTAGGGGGAGTAGGACGCGAACCTGAAACCTAGTGGTTAAAAGCTGAATAAATTTACAGCTCAGTTAGAGCTCCACTATTTCAGATTGGAATGACAACAGAATGGTCAAATGTATAACGTCAATTAGTTATCAACTGAAAAAATGATACAAAAGTACAAGTATTTATAAACAATTGTCTACATAAGATACTCAATGTCTGTTGACCGAATATCATCAGCAACAGCCCACTATGGGAGAGAACAAACCAGATTTCAGATGAAGAGGAAATTAAGAAAAGGTGCTGGAAGCAGATAAGGCATACATTATGGAAATCATCAAACTGCATCACGAGCCAAGTGCTAACTTGGAATTCCGAAAGCTCAAATAACACACTACAACGAGAATCGGAAGCAGACATGAAAAGGATCAATAGCGACTGGAAGCAACCGGAAATTATTTTCCCGGATAGAGATGGATGGAGAATGCTTGTGGGCGGCCTATGTTCATCTATGAGGGGTAACAGGTATAAGTAAGTGAGAAGACGATACGTACATATAATGTTTTATAAAATGACAAGTAATAATAGAGAAGCAAGATACTTACACGTATATATAAATAAATAAATAAACACAACTAACAAACATCTGAAGAGGGTGACAAAAAAAACCTACTTAGATCCAACGATGTTCGAGATAATGCTTGTACAATTAGAAATAATAATTCACGATAAAGTGAATTTTCCAAACATGCTGCATAACATTCAATATCACCACATCGAATTTGTTGATTTAATTTATTTCGTCTCATTTTAAAATCGTCTATCTCTACTGTAGATTGTAATTGAACATGATTTGTATTGTTTGAATTCAATTGGTTTTTATTTATTTCAGATGATAATTCTGATGTTTGTGTTTGTATTGATGATGGTGAAGTTGTTGCTCCGATTGTTGTTAATGGTGATGATAATGGTGGTGGCGGTGAAAATGTTGTACGTGATTGTGTAATAGTTAATGGTAATGAAGAATTAAATTGTAGATGTGCACGTATTTGTACGAGATATTCTACAGCAAATCGCATATTATCATTTTTAATAGCATTAATCAACTGATCAATAGTTGCATGAATTGAACAACAACTATTCCCATTACTATTTATAGTTTGTGGATTCAAGTATCTTGTGAACTGGTCACTCTAACCAAAGACCAAGGTGAATTTTGATCTATAATATACATATATATGTATGCAGGAGATGAAATGATAAATAAAATATTGAATATAACTTTCAGAGATACAATCAAATCAATGCTATACATCGGAACAAAGAATCATAATAATATTTTTGTTATATCTCACTGAGTAAACAAATTGTATTTCTGATGTTTCGTAATTCAATGTAAGCTACTTCTTCGGAGTAAGTAAATAACTGACATTGTATTGACACAAGTTTAAATAGTCTACTTCTATCCGACACATCTCAAATGAACACTCAATGGCTTCATAAACTCATGTTTCATCCTAGTTTGACAACCCTTCCCCCCCTTACAAGGTTATGTTGAGTTGAGTTCCATTTTATTTTAAATAGAGAATGAAAAAGTATAAAAGTAATCAATTTTAGTATAAAAAAAACATACTGATACTGAATTAATCTGGTAACAAGTAGTCAGTTCAAATGTTAACTAGAACTTTCAACAGACATTAATCAGTGAATATTACTACTGTAAAACAAAACTTGAATAATATGAAATATCTATGAGGCACTTAATCCTTAATGATTACTTGGTGATTTTCATATGTTTTCTGTTAAATATGTATCATTCAAGTGAATTCTCAAACTTGTTTATGTATTTAACAGATATTTATGTACCTTCATACTCAGGCATTTGACATTAAATATTCTAATTACCTTCGATCAGATACCCTTATATAAACTAGAATGCCTGAAGATTTTTTTGTTAATAAAACTACAGTTGATTGTCAAACTCATTGATTCTACTAACATACATGGTCTACCTATGCAAATGAATCTATTGACTATTCTTACATTGACATAAAACTAATAAGGCTAGAAATCAATGAAGGAAGTTCACTATACTTGTAGACAAGACTACGAGGAGGAGGGGTACTTTTTAGAGCCCGCCCTATGAGATCCGGAAACAAAAATGGACTAGTAGTGTGGTGCGTGCTACTTATATTGATATAAGTAGTACATTATGCGAGTCAGGAATGTAATGTCTGGCAGCAGAAGATGAAGGAAGATCAAGAAAGCAAGAGTGGGAATAGGATTCAATTTGTATAGAAATGCAAGGACAATGAAGTCTGAGGCATTTTGAGACAATTGGTGGACATTTTGCAAATTAGCGATTTGATGTATGGTTCTCAGATTTTATTGAGATGCTCAGTAATTTTGTGTCAAAAACATTCGATTGTCCCCATCCGTGTTCTGTTCATTACAGTAGTGACAACTATACCCATTTCAACAACTGAATCATGAGTTAATCTGGGCTACACCATTATTTAAAACCTGAAAGCACTGCACGGCCGTTTGTCCTAGTATGGGACTACTCATTACTGTGCGCCCACGATCACTCACATGGGATTCGAAACTAGGACCTTCGGTCTACACGTGCAAACTCTTAAACTCCAGACCACTGATCCAGCATCTAACGGTGTTAATATCTAACTTCAATCGATCCATGATCTTGCGCAACCCTTAATCTATTGTCTGAGGTGGATAACTGTCAAAGGTGTGTCAACCGAATAACGTGACTGCAAAGTCCAAGAACCGAGTTCAATTATACCTACTCGAGAATGGTTTTTAGTGGACTGCCTACATTTTAAACTTTTCAGTTGGCACCACGAATCCATGGGGACTTTGTAGGCTGACATTTTAAGATCGACCTCCTGTCGGTGGAAGGAAAGTATCTTTAAAAATGTGGGTTAACCAACACAAACATCAAAATAATGAGACATTGTAAGAAAGTTCGCAGTATGAATTCCCCTTCGGACCAAGCCATATTATTTGCTTGTGACGGTAGAGCATTAATGAAGCGTTTAAGCCGAAATAAGTCAAATTCCATCAAATTGACAGGCATGAACAATAATCACCAAACTAAGGTTGGGGGCACAGTTGGGAAGATGTATAACAGATCCAAGTTTAATATGCTGTCTTGTCATATTTCTTTTAATTCTATATCATGAATTGTAGTTAACTATCTGTTTCAAGCCATAAAGGTGCTTATATCACCAGGAGTTTTGTAGAGATGGTCAAGTTTTTACACTTTACATCAGGAACTGATTTTAGTTAGGGAACCATTCAAAATGAGGATGTACTAGACAGCGGTTTCGGCCCGGCATTAGATACCTCAATAGCGCAACATTGCTCACTATACCACCGAGGAAAGAATCCAGAACCTCTAGGTTTTATTAAGAGCGCTCAACCTTCACACTGCTGAGTAAGAATGAGATAGTCTTCATGTCTAACATCAATCTCCCCCAAATACCCTGGTACGGCTCAAAGTGGGGAGAGTCATCTACCCCTCTCCAAATGCTCTCACATGGCCACGTGTATACAGCCTCTACAAGGAAGTCCTACTCACTGATTTCTCTCAATGAAGGTGTTGTTTAAGATATTGAGAGGACGAAAAGAGAATGTCCGTAGCTTCGAACGGCCTGGTGGACATTGAGGATTTACTTAGGGGAGTTGGAAAATCCTGATTCCAAACCAACCGTGCACATGGGCTCCAGTATCCTGAGTGAACAAACGGTGTATGAACTAATCGTTGGTCACTGACTAACATGAGACGGCATCTGCTGACGTTACTCCACTGCCTTATGGATCAGACCCGTAGGTCGAAGGCTCCGGGTGTGGCCCCCTCAGAAAACCACCTGCTTCGGTTTGGGGACCCGGGCAATATCCGAGCCGCCACACAAATCGAATGACGAATTGTGGCGCATATCTATTTGGTGCCTACTTGTACCAATATCTATGTGTTAAAATAAATAAATAACAAATTCATCAATCACTTAAACATATAGAGCGATAAATAATTGTCTCGCAAGGGGCATGAGTGAACTGCACTAATTACGGCTGACAACTAGAGATTCTGGAATTACCCATCAAAGTTAATCACTAGTGAACGCATGACTACTATTACTAGAAGAGATTTGTGGAGATTGTCAAGTTTTTATAGTTTTTACATCAGAGACTTACCTTAATTACACAACCGATGCAAATCAAGAAGCACTGTATAAAAGACCAATGCTTACCTGAATTTCTAAAATTGGACCAATATTTATACAATGAATTTCTCATAACGCTTCGTACAGGATGTGTTGCATTCCAACGTAATGATATATATACAGGTAAATTGGGGGATAAATGAACTTGCTATTATTTTTAAAACAATGAAAGATAGAAAAAACAAATAATTATACTTTCAATGTCATTTATGAAAATTGACAATTTAAGAACATGACAAGTACAATACATTATCCGGCTTTCCTGAAAAGAGAAATCCAATAATCGAACACATTGTAAACAAAGGTTACTCAATCAAAGAGAATTCTGCGTTTAAAGTTATCTACAAGTTAATTAAAAAGCTCCAAAGGTAATTATTAAATTTTACATCTACTTAGCATTGCTGAATCACTAGCTATACATCTGGGAAAACCGGAATGTATTCAAAAGAAAGTGGCACAACCTCTTCTTCGACCATGGTCTTAATCTCTCGCAGGCGACGTTAACCTTGTAGTTGAGATCAAAAATAATCCTAATCCTTATTGGTTTAGAACGTATGCCTTTCTTCTGGTCTAATCTTCAATCCGATAGTAGAACATGGCAAACTATGGTATAATAGTATATACATCTCAAACACCTTAAGTTTATATGAATTTGACCATCAGAATGTAACGAACTTCAAATAAGACATTATATTTCAAAACACAATCATACGATAAGTATCAGAGAACGGAACAAACGATACATTATTCATTAGCGATCATTATAAAGATAATAAAAACCGACGAGTCCCAAATAGGATAAAAAACGCGTCCTGGATTTCACTGCTAGCCAACAAATATCTCTGCTTATAATGCTTGAAGGTTTAGGGCAATATCGAAGGGATCCACCTAGGATGCACATATGTCAATAAGAGACTTATCAAATACAGTCCTGAAAACATCAGTGGGGGGAAGATTAAAGCAACCAATACGAGAATAAAGTAGTTGATTGGTTTAAAGAAAGCTCACAATACTCGTCTCCTCCTTACGCCTTTTAACAACAATTATTTCACAAAACCTAAAAAAATTATTTCGAAAATAAGCTGTTGTATCCCGACAAGGATAATGAATGGTAATTTTTGGGATCCATTTATGGACCAACATTATGAGTATATTTTTATCGTATAATTGTTACGTAACTAAACTGTTCATATTCATATCCCTCTTATTATAAGTTTTGATTTGACCCATAGACTATTACTATACGATTTACCATTCATGAATTATTCCGTGTCCGCTAATCGCTACCTCCCTCATTCACAGCCACATCTGACTAATTCCTGTACAAATGTTGTTTCATATTTTATGGGTACTTTGTGGTCGTTTTGTTTGGTATATAAACTCAGTATGCTTGAAATATAATGATTCATATCTCAGAGGCTGAGACTTGCGTTTTGGACTCAACTAGCGGGGCTAGACAGGAAGCGAGACCAATCAGAACTCTAGGACGTTCTTACGTGTTTTACGCGTCTGGTCCGATCGATAATACACTGTTGTCTAATCTGCAATCACAAGATATAACATAAACAAAATTTATATAATAACAAAAGCATAACTTACATAAAGTGCATCAGTAAATATAATTGAATGGTTATTATGTATTTGCTTATTATTACAATTACACTGTTGTGAACAATGATGATGATGACGATGATGATGTTGAGTATGTGATGGATTTGTTTTAAATTTAATACGTTGTTCAATTTGATAATTCATTATCCATATTGGTAATGAATCTAATAAATATGTTGGTAAACCTAAACGATACATTAACCATACTAAATTCCATGTTAATTGAGTATGACGATGTAATAAAGAATATTGAATTGATTGACAATGTAAACATTCACCACCTTCATTTTGAATAATAGTTTCTAAAGATTTTCTAATGACAAATGGACTTAAATAAGAAAACTGAGTAAAAGAAAAACAAAAAGAAATATATGAGAATATACTAAATTGAAACTGTAATTTAACGATAAATAGATACATTCAGCTAAGTGACTGTATTGACGACGGATAAAACACTCGGATGGTGACGGCAATAGAAATCAACAGGGGCTATACAACAGTTTTTGTTCATATACTAAATGATACCCTATAAAAATGTCCTTAAACATCGTCGCTACCAGCAAAGACTGGGATTAAAACCCAATGAGGAGAAAATCTATCAACAAGTGAGAATCAAATTCAATCTATGTAATAACTTCAATATGATCGCCAACTCAAAACAAACTCCCAAGCATTGATATATAATTATCGGAATCACCAGCCAATAAAGAATTGTTACCAAGATGATGACTGGATAGAGGATGATACAATCGGCAATTACAGAATGATATGGGTTAACTTAATTATTAAATAGTGGACTTTAAAAAAAAGGGGTAACTTGGTATTCTCCCAAACATATTGATCATTGTGACCTTTGCAACGATGCAATGTTGCACAGTCCTCGTCTAATCTTACTGGTTACCTTGTTTTGTAAAATACTAGACATACCGATGTTACTTATCATTTGATTGTTTTTTTTCTAGGAAACAAAAGGTATCTTATAAAGTCTGAATTAGGGAATTAAGTTACAGAGTTCAGGATTTACCATAAGGAAACATAATAGACAAACTACAAATACGATTCCAATTGTACATGTAAAATTATAACGACAAATTCCAAGTCGTAATTCTAAATGTAATCCAAATCCTAAGGTTTACATCTTGACCCAAATTCTGACCTTAGTATAATTACTGTTCTGTGATTGACTGAATAGGGTCTCGGTTTTGAAAATCTTATTCTTCTAAGTCGACGTGATAGTTAAATCATGGTAACTAGTTCACTGAAATTTGCAAGTTTTGTTTGGAAAAGTGTATATTTGTCAATCAGACGTAAAGTAGAATCTGGCATATCTGTATATAGGTTCAAGTTACCATACCCCATTAGCACAAAGAAATGAAATTGTCAAAATAAATCCCAGAGTAGTAAAGATAGTAATAGTATTAATGATAATGGAAAAGGTCTGGGATTTAATAATAAAAGATGAAATAAAAATTTTTTTAAGGCAATTTAGAAACTTGTGATCTGAGTGAGGACATAGAATGAATACATCAGCGTTACGTATTACAATTTGTAGTCATACCAACACACATAATTTCTAAACATTTTTTATAACAATCAGATGAACCCAAATCTTATAATCTGCATCTGCCTATATCATCCCATCCAATAATCAATATCTTTATGGGGACAAAGGTCATGTTTTGATTTGGTCACCTTGAACTTTCTTCAAAAAGGTATTGTATTTTATAGGAGATAGTTACATAAAATAGAATCAATCACAACTATACATAATACAAATAACAACAATAGTAATGATTAAAATAATTAATCTTACAATTAAAACTTACGGTCATTTCCATTAGACCCATACTGAATGGTAGTGAACAGTGTGTATATGTTGGTAGAACCATGTTTAAGTTGTATAGAAACAGGGAATAAATGAATTTATCCAATTTGTTTTAGGGATTAAAAAACAAACAAACAAACAATCAAACAGAAATAAGACAAGGAGAGAAATTTAAACAGAAGAAAAGTTTAAACTAATGAATGCTTTTATAATTCACAATGAATTCCCTTACAGAAAATGAACTTCATTTCAACTTAGTACATACATTCAATGTAGTCAATCAGCTACAACGTAGGACCAGGCATATATATATATATATATATATATATATATATATATATATATATACTGTCCAAGATACCATATACCTCATCAGCACAACAACATGGTCACCAAATTCATAGAAGCAGTTACTTCAATGGTAACACTCAATGCAGATATTTCTTTGTCTGTTATTGAATAATAATGAAAATTGGAGGTAACAAAAAAGAGTACCTATCGATCTTTAATAGTGTTAAAGATCATTTTGTTGAATTACAGCTAGTAGAGAAACACTTTCACGTACTTGGCTTTCCTCTAAATATTAAATATAAAGGCTGGTGATATTATCCAGTAAACCAAACTGGAGTGGTACGAGGTTCGAGACTACAACTTAGTAGTTGAAAATCGAGTGTTTTGACCAATGAGCTGCCTATTTATCTACCATAAAAACACATCCAAGTAGCCATATACATAAGAAAACGCATTAACAGATCTAGTTTAATTATCAATATTGCTTAGTAAGTACTTTGATCGACGTTTATGAATTATTGTATTTGAACTAGTGTTAGATAGGTGATACAAAAGTTGGCTCATATGATTCAAAGAAACTGAACAAAATCATTCAACGTCTAACAATTCATAGCGGGTACCTCAATGATGTAGTCTCCATCTAATAATATAGCATAGACCAACAATTATTGATTTCATACATATATATCTAAACAACTTACGAAGTACTTTGCACTGGTGCTGAGGTGCATGATTTAGATTGAATTGATTCAGTTGAATCATTTCTATCACACTGGAGATTGGACGGATTATTCGACGATTGAGAAAAAGTTGTACGTAAGTGTTGTTCTCTTGACTGTTGACGTTGTTGTAATTTTGCTGACTGATTATAAACACCACCTCCAACACCTCCACATGTATCACCAAATATACGTATTGACAATTGTGGTATAAAGTAAGTTTTACAAAATGGACAAAATGTTCTATAGTCATTTTCATCTGTAGACCAACCAGCCATTATCTCTTCATCATAAACATAATGTTTACACTTTGGACATGTGGAACAAGTTGTGATGAATACATTCAAATGAGTAATAATATTATTATTATTGTTTCCATTAACGTTAGGAAGTTGGCTACCATCTGATATTGTTGTCGATGTGGAGGAAAAAGATGGTGATGATTCTTTATTACTACTGTTATCACTATGGCTAAGAAGCGGGGATTGTGACTGAACAGTTGGTGTTGTGATTTTTGAAAATAAACAAGAATCACTAACTACTGAAGTTGTTTGATGATCATCTGGATTCGAAGTCAGCTGTTGTGAAGCAGTATTTGGAGTTGTTATTGTCGCTACTGTAACTGGTATTGAAGTGGTTGAATTATCTGAAAAAAGGTAAATAGTGTTATTTTGACTGAGTTTCGATCCGTCTTAACCGGCATAAGTGTACCCTGTGCAAGTTGCCTCGATATAGTCATTATGACAAAAGGTTATATAGAATAGATAAAACGTGGCTAGTGACAGAATCCAGGAGGCACATTTCGTCGCATTTAAGACACATCAGCCGAGTATACGTAGGTTCCATGACTGATGTTCTCAGCAGGACTCGAACCCAGTACTATTCGCCTCAAACGCTAATGCGCGATCCACCTAGACACTGATATCAGATAGCCATTCACTTGTGCAATGTATATTGTGAGGGGTATCGGAATGCTGGATCTGACTGATCCTAAAGAATGAATGAATCTGAGCCATTGTGATTGATTCTGAGCCGTCCCAGTATTTGTTGAAAAACTAAGGATTGTTAAGTTTGTCTTACATTGTTCCACCCGATCCCTTTCCACTCTTTTGTATATTGTTTTGTACTACTTATTTACATTCAGTAAGCAGTTGTATTCCCAACAATTTTACACCTACGTTGTAAAGCAAGTTGTAGTGTGATATTCTAAAATGTTCACATATACTTATTACGTTTATTGTACGTATCATAGTATTTATTATTTTAATTACTGTGCCTTAATCACTGCAGCGGTTATCCACAGTTTCGTGTGGTTGTTTAAACGCAACAGTTTCCATATTGTTTTGCACTTGGTTCTGGTTTCGGTTGTTCATAAACTGTTGTCAAATATAGACACAGTTATTAGCTGTCCTTTGTACTATCGTATGTTGTAATTATTCTTTATGGTACTGTTACAGGACGCGTTTAAACGCCCCAGACACCTCACAGGTTGAGGTTTGTAACTAAATTTAGTGTATTATTGAATAAAGAACCACTATTATGGACAAATCGTTGTTTTGGAACTTCGGTTTCGCGTGTATCTCAATCGAGTGACCTAGACGCTTCGAAAGATCTAGCGAGGATTGAGTGTTATCACATGGATCTCAGAAACTTCTTGGTAATTTATGTACTAAATTGTTAACCGAACCAACTTTGTGATGTAGCACTCGCATCCCGCTAGCTGTGCGAATAGACCTTAAATGAGTGAAGCAATTATCTAAAACTTGTGCTTCAACTAACATTACTTCCTATAATTTCGAAAGGTCATAATGGAAATTATTTGCGGGAAGACTCCATCAATTGTCGATATAAAAACTGAAATAAAGTTGCAATATTTCAACATGGAAGTACTTGAACGATCGGTTGAACAATAGGAGATTAATAAATGAAATTTACTATAAACAGTCGTAGACTTTAATGAAGCATTCAATTTAATTAAACTAGACCATAATAGCAAATTACCTGAAGAACAATTACCATGCTTTGGTGTTGTTAATCCATAATAAGTATTATTCAGTGTTGGGATAACATGAGATGATTCATTTTGATTGACATAAAATGATGGAGCTGGTACCGATAATGGTGATGTACTATTGTACATATATTGTTGGTATAAACACTGTTGCAAATGTATTGTACGTGTATTGGCAGGTGATATACGCCGATTAACATCGCCAACCAGTAATGGACCAGCGACATTGATCCACATATCATTCAGCGAGTTTGAATCATCAACGTGATTAGCTAGATGAAAAAAAGACAAGCATCTATATCAACATTTTAGCTTCTTTTTTTCCAAAATATATTGAAAATATTATGTCATCTATATTGAGTAGTGATACGTTTGCTACTGCAAGGCTTATTACTGATTTCATAGCCATGTCCTACAACCCCAAACTAATTCCACACTTCAACTCGGATCATAGAGAAGATTAAGAGCTCATATGACACTTGACTTCTAGATTTATCTAGCAACATACCAAATTTAGCAACGGAAGAGGCAATCGTTTAGTCACGTGATTCTTCATTTTTCTAGATATTTTTGAGTAGCTTCTATTTGGTGCTGGTTGGATAAAACATTTCCTGGCATATTTTGTGTTTCTAGAGACTTTATCGAAAGATAATTTGTGACTTCTTAACTAATAATTTAAGAAACTATCATCCTACAACGTTGATTGTAATCTTTTCATATGTCGATACTGATTTTATGAAGCACTGTCGATTGAAAGAGGGTTTTTAGTGCATTAGTTCTAGATGATCTCATATACCTGTGTGTACGTAACCTATTTATCGTCTTGAAATGACGAATATCATCATAAAAATGAGAGAACGAAAACGGACATCAAGTGATTACCTGCTTTAGCTTGGATACCCAGGGCAGTATTAAAGCTTTCATATTATTGATGATTACTCTCATGAAAGAAACGAAAATCCTGTATCGCTCTCCTTACATGTAAACATTTATCAATTATGAAACTTAAAATCTAAAGTAATTGAATTCAAACCAATAATAAAAAAATTAATAGATCGATTGAACTACAATTCTGGGTTCGACATCTTGAGGAATTTTGTAAAACAGGAATATATTGTTGAAGGAATTCAAAAAATAAACCGGAATACGAGTATATAATATATAGTATATTGCCATTAACACACTACTAATCGTAAATTAGTTAGACTAATGAGCAGTTATGGGTATTTACACTGACACCATCTATCTTAAGTTGTATCAGCTAATATTTTGAAGAATACATTATCAACAAGTTAAAACAACAACACTTCATACTTGAATGAACATTATTTCTTGTATTGATTGTATTCGATATATGTGCAACTCTTGGGCAACTTTACTTCGAGCCTTGATCCACAATAGAATGATTATACATGTTGACAATCACATTAACAAGTATATACATACACACACACACTGTCACATACTTTCGCCATAATATTACACACGTCTGAACTAAATATTTTTTTGTTCCATAGAGTTCTCATGAATTATTACCAACAACGAAAATAATAAACTTTTAATTACTAAATAAAGTCAAAATTCAACAATGTAATCTTGTAATACTAATTGTCTTACCTGAAGAATGATACTCACATTCATAATGATTTGACGAAACACTATTTAAAGCATTATTAACCTGTGGAAATTGTCTAGTTAATTGATAATTACCATTACTATTGATATAATAATTGTCATAATAATGATAATTCATATCCAACAATTTACTATTCATTGGATTTACAAGATATCCAGAGTCGGATAGTTTATGTGTATTAGTATATGGGATATTATCAGAAGATTGATTACAAGTTGAATCAGTATTCTTCATTTCTATACATGATGGTTTAGACCATGAAACACGTGAAATACGTTCACTTTGTGGTTGATATTGTGGTGGTAAAGGATAATATTGATTTTGTGGTTGAACATGACAACCTCCATGTTGATTAGTTAAATTTGAACCTGTAAAACAATTTGAAGTAGTTGCACGTCTTCCTGATTGTGGAGTTGGATTTGTGGATAAACTTGGAATAAGAGAACGCCAATCTAATAAAGATCGATTCATATTGATACGATTGATAAAATCCGATGTAGATCTATTTCATGATAAAATGGTATAATTTGATTTTAAGATTATTATTGAATTAATAAATTAATTAAACACTCGTATAAAAACAAATTACAGTAGGCTGCCCTGTCCAGGAACAACTATTTCTGAACTCGAAAAATATTGATGGATAACTGTTATGTAACCACTGATCATGTGAAAGTATTACTTGGATTCAAAGTACTAAGAGGGAGAAAATCAGTTCATGGAATTGAGAATATCTGGCTAGGGTTAAATATATTTTAGCAACTACTGTCTTTTTCAACTATCCAATCAGTCATCTCAATTGTGCCTAGTGAATGAATAACCATATCATGCAACCAAGTGCAGATTTGTGTATAAGGTTCTAAGATCTGTTTATTTTGTTAAGGATAGAAATACATTGGTCAGATGCACCGATTACAGGACAACATATTAACGCGACTATTATGGAGTAGTATCGTGTTTTCGTAAGTCTAGTGCAATGGTAAATCAAACAAAATGTAAGGATAAGAGGAGTGTAATTGATGAGAACGAAGTGAAAAGTATGTGCTCTATTGGCGACTACATAGAGAATCAAGTATTAAACTATGAATAACAGACTTTTGGGAAGCTAACAATACTATCAATTTTGTAGGAAGAAGCCGTGATCAGTGGGGCTAATCCTTATAGGATGTGACTCAGTTACCCACCACAAACAATTGAAGTTCGTCGCGCAGTATATCGTGGATTGATTATTGTCAAACATTAACACTGTTGTGTGGCGACTCAGTGGTCTAGAATTTAAGCATTTGCGAGCGAGACTAAAAGTCACAGGTTTGCTTCTTACGTTCATGAAATTGAATGTTCACTGCTGAGGAGTCCCATACTAGGACGATTATATTTTTATTGTGCGATTATCAAATACTTGGACAGTTGCATTTTTATATTCTTGTACTTGAAAGCTTTAGTTTGATTCATAAATTGTTTCCATATGTGTTCCACTGTTCCGGAATCATCATTGATTAATTACTCCTCCACACTACTTCGCTCTGCACCATTTTTGACTCACTTGTGTACACAATGATTTTCTATGTGTAGTACTTTGTGATCAAGTATTTAGTATATATTATCATAAGAGTTTTTGAGTTATATTGATAATGAACAATAGAGTTAGAATCTGTTTCCCAAAATCATCTAATTCAGAAACTGGGCTACAAGTAGCATGTAGACCAATAGGTGTTAAAATTTTGGTCGTTTCTTTTTCATTAGTCTAGAGTAAGTCATTGATTTGATAGATATAAAGCGAACAATCACAACAAACCAACACTAAAATACATCTGTTCCTATAATAAATCTATTTGATTAAAGACGTCTCGACAATGATAAAAAGATTTGTCTTTTTAAAAAGAGTTAATATTGAACAGAACAATTACTATCGATAACTTCGTCAGGTTCTCTACACTAGAATATGTAAAAGAAGAAGTCTTTGAAAACGATTGTTTAATCTAGCAATTCTTTTAAAAAAAAATTTTTTTAGATCTTTATTTCCTGGAGGAATTTTAAATAATGTCATGTTTTTTATGACACTTACCTATTAAAAAAGTTCAATGCATTATGAACAACTGAAACTTTGGTCTGTGCGTTAGCATCTTCATTGTCTTCGTCGTTGTCTTCAACATCATCATCACTATCAACATTATTATTATTATTATCCACAAGTGTAGCTGTCAAATTTGAATGATCATTAGTAGTAGTAACAGAAGTGGTAGTAGTGGTAGTCGGACTATTAGTCATAATATTTTGATGATGCGCTGATTGTCTCATAACATTAATTGACGAAGAATTATCATCAAATGATTGTCTAGATGATTTTGAAAATAATAAATGTTTACTATCTCGAGTCACATCTATACTACTATGATGTGAATAAGGAGTACGATGATACGATGACGGATTATGAGTGGTAGTAGTAGTAGTATTATAATGTTGAAGGAATGGACGTTTGATTTTTGATAGCGCTGATGATAGTAAATTATATCCGTAATGAATGTGTTCATTTTCAGAATCTTCATCATCATCTGCGCATGAATCATCATCACTGAGATTGGTACCATTACTACTGCTACTACTATTGTTGTGATCATTAATAACGTCAGCTGAGACAGAGACAGACTTGACAGTGTCAGGAGCACTAATATGATTCTCCACTATTGATGAAGGGTTTTCCCTTACGTGTGTTACATTATTTTCATCATCATTACCAATAACTATAGTTGGATCTGATTGTTCAACATTACTCAAGCTTGATGTTTGAAGACAATTTAAACTGGAAGAAGGCATAGATTGGCTGATAGTATTTGAACTGCAACCTGTAAAAGATGATTAATTACCAGATAGAATATATATATATATATACGGATAGAAAGATAGCAAGAAAGAAAGAAAAATCCCGACTACTAGTCAGTTCCATGACATCAACTTGATTTTAGTAAAATGAGTTTAACTAAGTTGGAATTCAAATCACAATGAGTACTGTATCGATATAAAAGACGATATAAACACGGTAAGATATCTGTCTCAAGAAATAGTTGACAGTGAATATGTAATATAACACTTCTTAATGAATCTTAGCGTAAAACTTTATTTAATTCAAAAATTTTTAGTAAGCCATTTTGTTCTGAACTGCCCAGATACGCCAAAGTGCAAAGAGAATCCAATATTTTTTTCGAAATGCTCTTAAAGGCCCGTGCATTTTGAGCCTATGACAGAGAAGTGCTACTAACTAACTTCACTCGTCCAGAAGTGTTACTTATGAAAGTGAGAGGACAAAAAAGCTGACGTTTGACATGTAAACCGGACTAGATATGGTGGATTTATTTACGAGAGTTAGGAAATCCTGATACTAAGTAGTCCGTATACATGGTCTCTGTGATTCCGAGGTAACGATTAGTGCATGAACATATTCCTTGTCATTGGTAATCATAGAACAACATCACCATGCGTTGCTCCGTCGCAAGTGGATTAAACTTTTTGGGTTAAAGGCTCGAGGAGTGGCTCCTTAAGGAAATCATCTGCTTTGGTTTAAGACCCCTGGCAATATACCTATATGTGACGCACACTATTTCAGAACCCCAGGTGTATCTGATCCTATATCAATTAGGAAAACAAAATGATCAACTGTACACTTTGACAGAATAAATCATATAAATAATATGTTTGTATACTAGAAAAACACCGTACTAGTTATGTGTTCTTTTGACTGTGAACTGTGATGACATAAAGTGTCGTCACCGTTACCAATAACAGATGATTCTTGAATTCGTTGATGTTGTTCCATTGGAAGTGGATGATTATCATCGGTCGAAACAACACATGACATTGAATCATTGTTGATATTTGTAGATTGGTCAACAACAGGTGACCAGTCTTGATCTGAACTTGTCTTATCCTCATGTATATTCAATGTTGAATATCCTTGATCAGTAAGATCATCAGATGAATTAAACGGTTGAGGTACTATGACGCCAGCTACATTCAATAAAAAAAACACTTTATAGCACAACAAGATTAACACCGGATTCATAGAACTAGTTAATTCAGTGGTGGTAATATATAAAAGAAAGATTGCATATAACGATATAGCACAGGAAGAAAGAATTAGTTCGCAGAAAGAAAGATATGAAGCAAATTTAATCTCTTAGTTTAAGTGAAGACAAAGAGGATCGATTCTGAGCCATGTCACCCACAGTCTCCAAACATTGTTTACGATAGTCACGCGGACCCCAACCAAGTAGTCTGCATCTACCAACATGGCTCATACCAGAAGTTAGTGACTTCAAGCACTGATGCAACGTTTTGGTTTGGCCGCCCCTAAATGTCTTCCAACCATCCACAACACTAGTCAGCATTGAGCGTCGTGGTAATCGGTGTCCGGCATACGTAACACGTGGCCCAACCATCTCAGTCGATGAAGATTCACAACCTCATCAACTGATTTACCATCATAACCTAATACCCAGCGTCTAACCTCACCATTAATTACCCGGTGATCCCAACAGACGCCAGCAATATTTCTAAGGCATCTGTGGTCAAATACTAGTAGCTTACGAGTGTCTTCTACTCTTAATGGCCATGTTTCGCTGCCGTAAATTAAAACAGAATGGACTGCCCAGCAGTATACTCGCCGTTTTATTAATAGATGGATATTTCGCCTTTGCCATAGGTGACGTAAGGTGGCATAAGTCAAACGAGCTTTTCGAATCCGTGCTGAAATTTTTACCGACATCAACCCATTACAGTAAAACTGTGTTGATGTTCGTATTGAAGATTCTGACTCTGATGTTGTCTGACGGTTGTTTTGAGTTCCATATGTTCTTCAACTGTAGGAATATAGTCCTTGCTTTGCCGATTTTCGCCCTTACATCTGCATCAGATCCTCCTTGTTCATCGATGATGTTGTCCAGGTACATGAAAGTTTCCACCTCTTTCAGAGTTTCTCCATCAAATGTGATTGTGTTGGTGTTCTTCGTGTTATATTTCAGGATCTTGGTTTTTCTTATATGTATGCTGGGGCACATTGATGTAGCAGAAGCTGCTGTTACACTAGTTGGCTTCATCTGCATTTGTTGGTGTGTATGCGATAGAAGGGTCCGACCGCCTGGGAAGTCCTAATTGATTCCAAGCTGTCCATTGTATTCCGTGCTTCCCCTCAGATGTGGAGGTCTTCATAATCCAGTCAACCAGAAGAAAAAGTAAGGGTGATAGAAATCTAACTGATATGTATTAGTTATTTATAAACCAAGAAGGAACTAGTATAAATATGCACTTGTTCAAGTTAGGATAAAATTATATATATATATATCCACAAAGGACGCACATGTATAATAAAGACTGGTCGAAATTTAATCTTAACTATCGACAACGGGATAATCCCGTTCATTTTTAATAATGATATAAACATTACACATGTTGAACATGTTACTAGCTATCTGAACTCAGTATCTCAGTTGATAACACATTAGATATTTGAAGCGAAAATTACTCGTTCCACGTTTCAATATAAGTATCATACTAGGATACAGGTATATGCAGTTGACGAGTCCGTAATAGAACGAAACGAACACGATGAATTCTATTGCTAACCACAATCCATCTATTTAAGTTTATTAAAACCACAACAATTCAGAAACAACCTGACAATAAAATGGTTTTTTATATATGTATAAACGAACTTGTATTTTCAGAACTATTCATTTGTGTAGATGGATTCAGTTCAGTATCGGCAGAAGCCGAACGACGATGACTATGATGTTTAGATGTGGACATCAAACGTTCGTTTTCCAATCTTTCGTGTTCTCTCAGCTCTTTCTCAAATGCTTTGTAAATCTAAAAAAAATGTTGAAATATTGAATTACTATCTGTGATAAGAGAGAGAGCATAGTTTAACAAACCTTAAAATAGAATTAGACTTATAGTTACGGAAAAAAACTTATTTTTCTACACTTCAACTTTAAAAGTGAAGAAATTACAGGGTTAACCAACTGTAAAATGTATTATGATTAAAAGTGACCATTTTTCTCAACATTGCAGAAACTTGACAATGGATCAACAGAGGTCACGTTGTCGACATTTTAAATTCAAGTTTACAGAAATGAAAAATTCTAGAAAAAAAATTATGCAACTTGCATCTATATGCTACGTGAGAGTAGCTAATTAAAGATTCAAATAAAAACTTGTGGACTAAAAAGGAAACAGCTATCAATTTATCACTGATACAATTAAGCTGAAAAATTCGGTAATCTTGTTTCTAATAACTATTATTATTATTTATATTATCTAATTTTTAATTCATTCGCCCTAATCGTACTTCAGATGGAGACCAAGTCTCAATATCAGTCAGTCAGTAGTTAGTCAGTAACAACGTAGAACTTCTCACGTACGTACATCAGTTCAAGTTGCCATACCACATTTGCACAGAGATGCAGTTGTCGATTCAAATCCCGTAGTGGTAGAGGTAGTAAGAGTATAAGCAGTAATCGGAAACATTAGGGTTTGAAGGTGTTATTCAAGGAGTATAATCTAGTGAAATAAATTTGGAAAGAGAAAAAAAAGGGACATGAAAAATTCAGGAGATTAGAATTTGGGAGAACACCAAGAGTAAATGCACCTGCGCTAAGTCTCAATGGTTGTATGATGGTACGGTATTTTTCAAAAACACATGGACAAATTCATTGAGTAAACTAGACTAACTAAGTAAACATGTACTTTATAAGAATCAACATTTTAAACAATATGATATTGAAACAACATATGGATTACATAAGAACAGATATTAGACTGGACCAAATATTGCACATGTATATTCTCAGTAATGAATAGTGGAAATAGTTGAATTTCATTAAAGTTATGGACTAATATAAGTTAGACCACCAGTAAATCCCGAGAACACTGGATGCCTGGTTCGTCCTAGTATGGGATTCTTCAGTAATTTTCAGCAACGATCCTGAACGCGGATACCGAACTCACAACCTCCGATCTCACGCATGAACGTTCAAACTCTAGATCACTGAGTTGGCATTCAACGGTGTTAATGTCTAACACCAATCAATACACGATAGTGTGCATCCACCTTCGATTATTTGCGGTAGGTAACTGAGTAACACGCAACACGGATTAGCTCCACTGGTCACGGATCCTTAATAGTACTCTGGAAATTTCCTCTTGAAGCTAGTCATTAGTGAGACGACAGTCCAATGCTTCCAGGTTTTCAATGATGTAACCTAGGTTAGCTCATGATTACAATGACTTACGAATTCATCTACTGATATTCAAATTGAGTAGTGTATGACGAAGCGTCTAAAATGATTAGATAGAGAATACTCGGACATAAACGTAGTCTAGTGGAAAACAACAAAGGATGAAATGACTGCTACAACACTGGCATTAGTAGTCTCTGTCAGAGTATTAGAGTCATCAAATAAACTGATAAATACTAGCATATTTATCGAAAAAGAAACAAAGCTTACATGATTCGCAATTCCAGATGACGATGATGACCAGTCTACTGAATTAATGAACTTCAGTAAATCGAAATCTTCAATACGATTTTGATACAATAACACTAACAATATTCGTAAAGCAACCTGAAACAATCAAGTAATAATGTTAGAGATAAAATACTACACCACAAGCAAAAAACAGATATCACTGTTTTATTAATATTAATAGCATATTTGTTAATATTCGAATGAGTAGAAAAAAAAATAAGTTTTCTGACGTTTCTTGACTCAGTGTAAGCCATTTCTTCAGAGAATAAGTAAGCAGATTAGGTTAACCCTAGGTTAAATATTACAAAGAAACGAAGCAAAAATAGTTGGCACCATCAATTATGAAGCAAGTCCGGCCAAGTCAATGTCATATCACTCCGGTAAGATGATTTATATAAGACATGTTTGTGAATGTGTGCGTGCGTGTGTGCTAGCAGATAAAAATTGTAATGTTTGTAATGTGAAAGGAGAGTTGAGTTTGTATATATGATATTAGTATGAGATGTGGACAGAATCAGACACAGTAGCTCGAAAAGATGTTTTAAGTCGGATGGATAGTAAAGGCCTTCTTTTCTATTTAACGCAGAAGGATTCAGCAATATATGGAAAGCTTAAGCTATTCGTCAAATTAGAACCTGACACGTACGTGCATCAGTTCAAGTTTCTGTACCACATAAACACATTGAAATAAAATAGTGGGAGTAGTAACAGTAACAATAGTGGAAAAGATTAAGGGTAGAAGCCAGAAGAAAAGGCACAAGGAGACTTTGGGACTCAGGCTCTAATGAAAGGCAAGGAGTAAGTGCATCTAAGCCATCGCAGATGATTTTGATTTATGTTACCGAAATTCGATAACCATAGAGTTACGATAATCACGTGGATTCCAACTAAAATATCTGCATTTATCCACATGACTTATTCCAAGAGTTAGTATCTTCAGAGACTGATGGCGTATCTTGGTTTGATCACTATTAGCTTTGTACCAATTTATTCCTACATCAGCATTCATCGCGTGTCCAGTTAGTTCGTGCTTTGGCATGAATAACATATACCCTAACCATCTCAGTCAACAAATATTCACTATAATTGATCAGTTTCTTCTGGCATATCCATATCCTGAGCAGATTGCTTCGATACAGTCATATATATATATATATATATATATATATATATATATATATATACAGAGAATAGGTTAAAAGGTTGGTAAATGAGATTGTATATTGATTAATAATTCAAAATCTAACCTGATCAGGAACTTCAAGTTCATAGTCGTGTATTCTCTTGTATACACCAAACGATTGTATTATAATTTGTTTAATTACATTCATTACTTCAAGATAATTACCATTATTATTATCGTTATTGTTGTTACTAATAATAGAATTGAAAAATTTACACCCTGTACTTCCACTCTGTTGTTGTGCATTATGATATTCATTAACAATTTCAGTTTTATTCACACAATGATTTATATTGTCAATTTCATCTGTATAGTATTTATACACAGAAGATAGATAACCTGGTAATAACATAAACCAAATTGAATAGGCAGATCCTGCTAAATACTTGACTTTAGTATAATCATCAGTTTCTGAAATGCTAATACCTAGAAGAGTGAAAATGTCAAAAAAACAAACATAATTACATAATGAAAAGAATTGAAGGGAATTATAACTTTTTAGGCGATTATATGAAAGACCATTTATCTATATCTTTAGTGTACAAATGGTACATCCTTAGATTGTTCCATGATGAAATCGTCCTTTTTTTCTAAACTTTTGTTTGATAAATAAATCATTGTTATATCTTATTAGTCGAGATTTACCATTATATAAATATTTATTTATTACTCCTATTTCGTATTAGTTATAACTAAGTTACGTATATATTGTAATTCCTAAATTCTGGTGCTGTGTGGTCAGCTATTTTAGGAATATTACTGTGTAAGTTAAAAATCATGATTGAAATGATCACAACTGAAAGTTGATCTGCATTCTATCTTCGTCTTTTGATTGGTTATTGAGTTAGAAGGGGCATGAGAACCAATAAACATTAACATCTTTGTTGTTATTTATTGGTTGATGTGTCAATTAGTGAATAGGACACAGGTGCATACTGGGAGTAGAATTGAACTAATAGACAATATTACTTCTGTGTTTTTTTTAAAGTCACATTATTGACGAGTTTAGTGAATTTTTAAAGAAACGAGCACGTAACAAGAAAACGTCACATTAACAAAAAATGGTCTTTTCTTTGAAAAAGGTGAATGTATTGCTGTATTAACAGAAGTTGTGTCAGGAAAAATGTTTATTTTGCAGTAATATGTTGATCCTTTATCAGGTAAACAAATAGATCTCTATATTTGTTGCATTCAATCTTGTATCTTAGTGAATGTCAATTAACTTACTAAGACTGCTTAGAGTAACTAATAGAAAATCAGTGTAAACCCAGTGGGTTTTTTTAACCTATCTGTCTCCTCTAGAAAAGATGTGAAAAAATAATTATTAGAACTTATTACATGGAAAAAAACTATTTTCCATTCAACTCACAATAATTTAGCGTATATCGTAATTCTTGCGATGTACGCTTTAAAATAGTTGCATTATTCACTGGTAAACAATATTTTGTACTCAAACCAATTAAACTCGTATTCTCTGGACGATTTGAACGAATAATTAGTGGAGATGGACTGTTTACTAACATTAATGAACCAAATCTTTGAGTAGTGTTAAGTTGTAGTTTTGTCATCATCAATATTGACATTCCAGTCGGTGTTCGAGAATCTGGATTATGGTCTAATATATTGGTATTTACTGGGGATTTTGACCAACAGTGGACAGGAGTTGGTGATAAAAGCATATCACTACAGGTGATAGAATTAAAAGAAATGCAATTCTCTTTATTTTTAACCTCTTCTGGTACTGATGTTATCAATGTAGTAATTAGATTGGAATTATCAGGGTTATCATTAACATTAAACATTGGTGTGATTATAGAATTATTTGACAAAGTAGCTTTTAAAAGAAATGCTCTTGAAGCTAATAAGTCTAATAATGCAGAATTAATATTAGTTGGAAAAAAACCGAGTGAATGTTCTTTTGTCCATAATAAGTGTTGCAGTTGAGGTGTGTCGACGAATTCAGGAACTGGCCAACATGGAGGACTAATAACTGTTATACACAGACTAAAAAATGGATAGGAAAAGAATAAAAATAAACTAATTGAAACAAGGAAAACAACCAGTTAAAAAAAAATTGCATTTGACTAAAGCTAGATCGACTAGATTGTGATTCGTTGGTGAGAGGTCAATTCATATCATTAGCTCATTGTCATTTTGTCGGACTAATGAACCGATAAATATAATTATGAATTGAACTAAAGCATTTAATGATATTTCTGTACTAAAATCCTAGCCCAATTATACAAACCTCATGATTATTTGACTTCGTTTGTTATTCGTATGTAACTGCTTCGGTCTGGGCACACGGGCAGTATCACAGCCCTCACATAAATCGAATGATTTATGTGGCGCATATCTATTTGGTGCCTCCTTGTACCAATGTTTATGTGTTTAAATAAATAAACAAGTAGTGACAATTTTCTAGTACCGATTCGCTTAAGATAACAATTGGTTGTATTCCAGAAATGTATAAGAGCAACTAAGCAATCAAATGCATATAGAAATGTGATCAATTTGATTCGCGACTTCAGTTGTAGAAGGAGAATGACAGGTAACGCATATCGAGGTTAGATGTCGTGGAAGTTGATGATGAGAAACAGTTTGTGACATGCGCAAAATTAGACAATGCAGCATGTTTCATTTAACCTTCAACCACTAAGTGTCTATTGTCCATCTAAACAATACTCTATTATTTCTAGACCTTAAACTTGTATATTTCAGCCATTAGCTAATACTTTAATATACGTGAAACACAATTTATTGAAGATATTATTTAAATAACCATAGAACCTAACTTTTATTGGATTGAAATTAAAATACAATCAACTCATTCACCAGGTACCTGTGTATGAACCACACTCAAAGTGTGAGAGCTAATAATAATCACCAGATTGTATGAACCAGGCAAGTAGATAAGGTGGGGTTGGCTACAACTCATTAACTCGACAGTTTAGTTATCGTATAGTTATTATCTGTACATCTGAACAAAATGTGTAATCTAATTGAATTATTAATATAATCACATACTATATGCAACATATGCTATAGAAGAGGGCCATTATTTGGAGTGAATTTTAAGGTTAACATATTTTTCAAGTTAGAAAGAAAAATGTCGTGCCTAAAATAGTTTTAGAGACTAGCTGATAAGAAAACTACTTGCGATATACTGATAACAGAGTGAATGTTGTACGTTCCTGTCTACATGATGCATATATATATCAATGAAGTCAGCGAAGAAAATCTTTTTATTGTTTCTAAAAAGTTGCTAACATTCAATAACAAAACCATATTAGTAATGCTGATCTTTGGCAATGTATGTTCGGCCCCTGTAATGATAGTTTATTTATTACCATCATCTTTGAGCTCTAGCTTTAATCGTTTAGATATATTTTAGAAAATTCAACGCAGGCGCTTTCATTTCGTGGATTAATTACCGAGACTGTGATTAGGAGGGAAGGTGGAGAGTGATCAATTTGTGATATAATGTCGTGGTATGAAATGAAGCTGTATAAGACCAGTATCTATCAGTCCATCAGTACCTTGTAGTTAAAATCCTATAGAGGACGTGCCTTCGAGGATTGACATACCACCAAACACGACTCAGTATGGAAACTATTAGTTATTCAATTTTTCTTATATTCTTGACAAAACTGACAAGAAATTTCTTCGACTGAAGGGATCCATTCTGTTTGTATTTCAAAACTAAACTGTATCTTCTCTCGTGGTAATATCTTTATTTATTTACACTGATATCGTTTTTCTTGTAACATGCACTGTATTTCCTTCCTTCATTTCTTCATAACGTTATCTCTTTTTGTGCGACATATACAACTACCCGATCGTATTAGATTTTATGCAAATAAAATAACTGATTAAACAAAAAAGAAATCAAGGATGAGAAAAACACTCACTTCTTATTATTAGGTAAAAGCCCTAAATCACTTGAAAGCTGTGAATCCGTCGATTCATCCGATCTATCTTTGATCGATGTGTTACTTGACACTGATCGATCTTCTGAATGATTATTATGATCCGCATAGCTTAAATGATTATTACTACTACTATTATGATTATTTGTAATGCTCAGTTGTTCATGAGACGATGATGCCGATCGTTTAATTGTGAATATATTACTCATAGTTGTTAAACTAATATTATTACGAGAACGATGAAGATGTTGATGGGGATGTAGTCGAGATTTCGATTCACTTTCCAGCAATAATTCAATACGATTATCGAAATAATCTAATTCTTCATCACGTGATGAAGCGTAAATTCGATCACGAACAAAATTATTCCATTGTTGTGTTTCAAATAAAGCACGATAAAATGGTATTGTATGCTTATCAGCGCATTCTCGTAAGAAATCTGATTGAAAAATAAATGGAAAGAGATAGGATTAAAGTGTAATAAGTATGAAAAACAATTCAGATGATATATATAGCACTGAGTTCATCTGATAACTGACAAATGTTATAACGAGAAGTTTTATTTGCTTATTTGAACATATAAATATTGATACACAGGGGCACCGAATACATATGCGCCACACAAGTCACTTCATTTCTGTGAGGGCAGGGATACTGTCCAGGTGCTCAGGACGAAGTAGGTGGTCTTCTTAAGGGACTACACCCGGAGCCTTAGACCCTAAGGTTTGATCCGCAAGGCAATGAAGCAACGTAAACAGATGCAGTCCCATGATAGTCGGTGACCAATAAGTGGTTCATATGCCACTTGTTTCGGTAGGATCCTGGAGCTTATGTGCACCTTTGGTTTAGAATCAGGGTTCCCCAACTCGTCTAGGTGGATCCTCCATATCTAATAACCCGGCTAAAGCACCGGACATTCTCTTTTCGTTCCCTCAATTTCGTAAACAACACCCGTGGTGTGCGAAGGCAGTGAGTAGAACTTTCCTAGCAGTGATTGAATACATATAGCTTCAACGGTGTGGGCAGCCGGGAAGTGACATCAGCCCTCATACCCGTAACAGCACACGAGACCAAGTTGGTCACATTCAAATCCTTCCTACACCTCCTAATACGTCTCTTATCTCCATGACTAACCCTCCTCACGTCTCTTTATCACCTCGCACCGCTAGGGCAAACGATTCGAGTACGTGTAACGCCATTCCTGGTCTCCTGAAACCACGCTCTAAACTACACGTAGGAGCTTTTAACGTACGAACACTTTGCCAAATAGGACAGCAGGCTTCCTTAGCTAAAACTTTAGAATCTCGCGCCATCGATGTGTGCTGCGTCTCCGAAACGCGCATACAGGATCCGAATAGCGTCATTCATTTGACCTCACCATGCCAAAATAAAGAACCGACTCGATTTACGCTTCGTGTATCTGGAAGCCCTGATTCTGCTTCCCGTGGCCTCGCCGGCGTAGGTATAGCATTGAGTCCTAGGGCAGAACTAGCTCTCTTAGAGTGGATCCCAGTAGACAGTCGTTTGTGCGCTGTCCGACTGAACGGAACAGTAAGAATCCGGAAAGATAGGGACACTCGTCGTTGCCTCTTCGTCGTCTCTGCCTATTCTCCCACTGACTGCAGCTCAGATGATGTAAAAGATGAGTTTTACAGAAAGCTTTCGGACCTTCTCCGAAAAGCTAGCGCTCGGATGTAGTAATAGTGGCCGGTGACTTTAATGCTCAAGTAGGTAAACTAAGCGATAAGGAAAGACACCTAGGTGGATCTTATGGTGTCGTGGCTCAAAGAACAGATAATGGCGACCGTCTGTTGCAGCTATGCTCAGATAACCGCCTGTTCCTTGCAAATACTAACTTTAAGCATAAGGAAAAACATCTTTTAACATGGCGACCCCCGAATTCGTCCCAACGTTGGACCCAAATAGATCACATCGCTATCAGCCACCGATGGAGGGGCTCGATAGAAGACTGTCGCTCATTCTGGAGCACATGCCTAGATTCAGATCATGCTCTAGTGCGAGCGCGTATTTGCTTGCGTCTTACTGGACGTAGGAAAGACGCTGCAAGGAAACCTCTTAGGGCCTACTTAATGATAGTCAAGCTAAGAGTATATTTCAGGAACAACTAGGAAAACAGTTAGGCAGCCATGTATGTGATGCCCACCCCGATGCAGCATGGAATGATATCCGAAAAGCTGTGGAAACAGCAGTGATATCTGCTAGTAAGGTAAACCAGAAGGTTAGGGAGCAACACTGGATCTCAGCAGCATCTATCGCACTGATAGATGCTCGGAAACTCATTCCACCTGGCTCTGAACATAATGAAGAGCGGAGTCAGCTTAAGCGCAAGCTGACAAGAAGTCTACGCAATGATCGCGAACAGTGGTGGGTAGCGAAAGCAAGAGAGATGGAAAAGGCAGCGGCAATAGGTAATAGCAGACAATTGTTCAGACTCGTTAAGGAAACCGGAATTAGGAACCCGACCGTTAGCGAAACAATCTCAGAGAAAGATGGACATATTATTCATTCTCAATCCAGGAGATTGGATCGATGGGCAGAACACTTTAGGGATCAGTTCAACTGGCCTTCAGCCACACTTCGGTTTCCCACGATCTCTAGTCAACCTGAATGGCAAGTTAATGTAGGTCCTCCGTCTCTTTACGAAGTTGAAAAAGCCATAGGAAATCTGAAGCGAGGGAGAGCAGCAGGCCCTGACAGGTTTACTCCTGAGATTTTTAAGGATGGTGGTCCTAGGTAAAGGAAGAATTTGGGAACTGGACGTAATCCCATCTGACTGGTCTCAATCACTGATTGTGCCAGTCTATAAGAAAGGACAAAAGTCCTCTTGTGACAATCACAGAGGAATCAGTTTGACTAATATAGTGTCTAAAATATTAGCTTCAATAATACTTCGACGCCTAACAAAGCTCGTGAAGAGCAGACTAGAGAAAACCAGGCTGGTTTTCGACCTGGACGTGGTTGTATAGATCAGATATTCACACTACGTCAGGTTCTAGAACACAGACACACATTCAGACGCCCCACAATGGTAGTATTTCTCGACCTTAAGGCGGCATTCGACTCTGTTGATCGTGAGGTTCTATGGCAGTGTTTGTCACTGAAAGGAGTACCAAAGAAGTACATTAACCTTATAAAGGCTCTCTACTCGAACACAACTGGTAGAGTGAGAGCTTATGGCGAACTGTCATCAGAATTGATTACCTCAAGTGGTGTTCGTCAGGGCTGTCCACTCTCCCCATTCTTGTTCAACTTTGTGGTCGACGTACTTTTAGAGATAACACTCTCCTCATCTAAATTTACAGGGGTTGAACTTCTACCGGGAGGTTCACTTGTTGACTTAGAATATGCTGATGACATAGTTTTATTTGGTGAAGACGCTGACAAAATGCAGAGTCTTCTGACCACTCTAAGCAACAATGCAAGCATGTTCGGGATGCGATTCTCTCCCTCGAAATGCAAAATGTTGCTTCAGGATTGGGTTACATCGACACCCGAACTAGTGATAGGGAGTGAAGTAGTTGAGTGTGTCGACCGCTTCACTTATCTTGGAAGTCTCATCAGCCCTTGTGGTTTGGTGTGTGACGAAATCTCAGCACGGATACAGAAGGCTCGACTAGCTTTTGCCAACTTGCGTCATTTATGGCGTAGGCGAGATATCCGTCTATCAACCAAAGGACGTGTTTACTGCGCAGCAGTTCGTTCCGTCCTACTTTATGGCAGTGAAACATGGCCGGTAAGAGTAGAGGATATCCGTAGGTTACTAGTATTTGATCATAGGTGTCTTCGAAACATTGCTCGTATATCATGGGACCATCGAGTAAGTAACAGTTGTTAGGAAACGGGTACTAGGTAAGGATGGCAAATCAATTGATGAAGTAGTGAAACTTCATCAGTTGAGATGGCTGGGACACGTGTTACGTATGCCCAACGACCGACTGCCTCGACGTGCTATGTTCAGTGGTATAGGAGTAGGTTGGAAGAAAGCTAGGGGCGGCCAAACCAAAACATGGCACAAGTCCATGAAGTCACTGACAAGTGGACTGAGTCATGTTGGTAGGTGTAGACTACCTGGTTGGGGACCGCGAGATGACAGCAACCGATGGTTAGAGACCCTGAATGACATGGCTCAAAATCGTTTGCAATGGCGCAGGTGCATCCACTCTCTGTGTTCTCCCAAATTCTAATCTTCTGAATCCTTCATGTCCCTTTTTTCCTCTTTCCAAATTTATTTCACTGGATTATACTCTTTAAATAACATCTCCAAACCCTAATCTTCCCGATTACTGCTTATACTCTTATTACCTCTACCACTACGGGATTTGAATCGACAACTGCATCTCTGTGCTAATGTGGTGTGGCAACTCGAACTGATGTACGTACGTACGAAGTTCTACGTTGTTACTGACTGACTGACAATATATAGAAAGCCTTCGGGTATTGAGTGTTAAACACTGATATCTACATCTCAATATCCCAAAGATTACTGTTAGAGGGACATAGACTGGATTAAAGCAAGTTCAATGCACGATTGCTTTGGTGCACGCTGATTGGCTAATTCTTATGCAATCAGCACTAGTCGATAGTTGGAGAATACTCGGGAATCTTCTCATGTAAAAACTATAAATATACTAACGTTTCCGCTATTGTGCTTCTTACTTCCATCTAACCTTGTTATTTGGAATATAATCTCTTCCTGTTCAACCGTGTTCTGATTTGGGGACTTGTCGAGTGAATCGGTGTCCGAGAATACTAAGCAATAGGAATAGCTGGGTCATAACCGTAAGAAAGAGATTATAATAACTACAATCAAATTTTTTAAGATTAATAACTATCAACCACCTATTATGGTGACATCGAAAAGCTAGACATCAATACCTCAGCAGATGGAAAATACTGCAAGTATAAATTCATGTTTATTACATGTTACAACTGTGAAATTTTACTTACGTTCAATATTAAACATAACATCCGTTTGAGAATTACGAACAGGTTCAAGACATAAACGATAGTCTTTCAATAAATGTACCATAAATTGCAGAAATGCCTCTTTAATACATGAACCAATTTGTGTCTAGATTAAATGAAGCAAAGAAAATAAAAAGATTTTAAATTTTGAAAATGACAATACACAACGAAATAAGTGAGATGATAATGAACTACTTATCTATTATATAAGTAGTAAGAAATCGTAATCACCAAGAAATAGACAGTTTATGAAGAATATCCGTAAGAAACCAGAAAAAAATTTAGAAATGAAATTATTATACATAGACAAAAAGATTGTTTTAATGATGAATAGAGTGTAACAACTTTCCAACTAACTAATTGGCTACCAAGGAAGGAATGATCATACAGACAACTTTCATAATAATCTTACAAATATGAAAATAATAATTACAGTGAATGTTGACATAAACACAGAAATAGACGACACTCAGAATGATTATATGTAGAAAATACATTGTTCCAAGAAATCTAGCGAACCCGCAAATTTTGTTGAAGAAAATGAAGGATGAATCTTATAATTAAATAATCTAGTTTGGATAAAGACATAATATATCAAGGTTTGAGAAGGAAGTATAAAGATAATGATCACCTGATTTATCTATAGTGCTAATTAAAAGTATTGACCTAATCAATGAGTGAAAATCACACTTTTTTTCTTGACGTAGTTCATTCAACCCAATTCAATAATTGAGTTGTACCACATTTATGTACTAGTTATATTTTTTTCTTTGATTAAGTGAATTGTTACTATTATTAGTAAAGTAATTTTATAAAGGAACAATACTGTGACAGTTGAGACTAAGTTTACCAAAGTTACTATTATTAATTTATTCTATTAGTAATGATTAACTGGACTAATATGTCTATACTATCTATTTATCGTAATCTTTCGTTTAACCCATTAACTACTGTTACACAATTCACCATTCCTGCTTTGTTATCAGTCGATTTCTTACAGTTTAACACTTTAACAGTAAGTTATGGCTTGTTCGTGAATAATTGTAATTTTTCATTTTATGATGCGTTGTGGTCCGGTATATCTGTTGAAAAGTCCGTTGAAAACAGGAATTGGAGGCTGGTTGCTACTCCTAGACTCGAGGTAGAGAGTAACTTGCGTATAACAGATCAATACGAAATTAGCTACAACGACTCAAGGTCAGTAGTGCGGTGCAATTGATCGAATTGGGGACACTAGACTATCGAGGAAACAGTAGATATGAAATGGACCAAATTACAATTAGGCTTTTGGTTGGTGACTTGGTACATGATATTGGCCAGCGGTCACAAGCGATAAAATGCAACTCACATAATATTTGAATAGGTTATTCCTGATGACGATTATCAAAGAAATATGTAATTTACTAAACTAAATACTCTGATAAACAACTTGTCACTATTTAAAATCCGAACAGATAAAAAAATTCATTCGTATTACTACAAAAGATCTGTGAAAACCTGCTGAATTTCACAGATGGAAACAATAAGAACTACTGACCCTAGTTAAATAACCATTAAGAAGCCAGAAAGGATTGAACAGAGATTTCTGAAAAGTATGGCACTTTATAACAGTGGGTACTCACGACTTGATTATTATGTTTTCGTATTAGGCCTCGAACCTTTAAAACTACGGGTCAGAATACATAGGTTTATAATTCTAAAGTCCATCAATTTGTAAAATCGAGAAGCCATCGTCTAGTATCATTAGTAAATGACTGCCTCCGATTTGACATAATTATACTCCGTTTGTCACGGCTTCTTACTAGAAACCTAGGAATTATCTGTCACTGCTGATGAGTCCCACACTAAAACGAGACAGAAGAGTACATGACATTGATCGTAAAAGTAATCTGATAAATTACAATGCATCATAATGATTGACGTTCTCTACAATAAGAACTTAAAACTGAAATGTGTGAAATTAATCGAAGTATTCAGTTATCAATAGTTTCATGTATTATCATTCGTTTAACGAAAATAATCCTCTTAAAAACTCTGGGTGATCTTGAAAACACATTCTTAAAAATGCATGCATATTTGTGTGACAACATTAACAGTAAAAACGTTGCGCACCAGTACTGAGTAGCTAATAATAATAATAATAATAATAATAATAATAATAATAATAATAATAATAATAATAATAATAATAATAATAATAATAATAATAATAAATGTTTTTGATTGAGATCATGAACCGATTGATGTTAGACCACCTTTGGAAACCTGGAATCACTGGACGCCCGTTTCGTCCTATTGTGGGACTCCTCAGCAGTGCGCATCCACGATCCCGCTCACGGGATTCCAACACAGGGCCTTCAGTCTTGCGCGCGAACGCTTAACATACTGGACCACTGAGCCGGCATCTAATGGTGTTAATGTCTAACATCAATCAATCCAATCCACCAAGATACGCGACCATCTTCCATTGTACTGAGGTAGACACCTATTTCTACCCGACACTGATTAGCTCCACCGGTCACGGCTTCTCACTAGAACTCCGAGAATTCCCTCACGAAGCTAGTCACTAGCAAGCACATGGTATTTTACAGTATAGGGGATTAATATTATATACTGGTCATATGCAGTACAGTGATAAAGATCTGATCAGATATCATAAGATCTTGTCGGATCAAATAAAATATCTGACATATACCAAAGCGTATAGATTAATTATATATTTCTCTAAAAAATAGTTCCTCGCTCGATGAAGTATAATAGTTTATATTAGTCTTAGATTCAATCAAACAGTGTGAAAGTGACGAGTTTTACACACAAAAACGATGTTGAATGGCTGCTTTGTGTAAAAAAAAACTACCACAAACCGACCTGAAATTCTTGAAGTTCAATCAATAATTCTGTCATATAAAACGTTCACATTAGATCATTAATACTAGCACTAATTCATTGTTAAGTAAAGTAACAAAGTTAAATATTGGATATAGATCTTGGATCTAAATGAGCACAGTAAAGCCGGTTTATATATTCAAATAATTAAGAATATTTTTCTTGAAGTTTCTAAACAAGCACAAAATAGATCGAATAGGAAGACCTTATGATAATTAATTCAAGATATAGTAATGAACCATATTATTTATTAAAGTTTTAACACTTTTTAGGTTGGAGATATCATTCTCTATCCAATGAATGATTGTACAGTAGGAAGTACAGTTATTAAACTAGGTTATATGTGTACATTCACATCAATAATAGATTGCCTCCAAATGCCCTAGTACGACCAAGAGTGGAAAGAGTCAGCTCTCCCTCTCGAAATGCTCTCATATGGCCACGCATATACAACCATTGTCAGGGAAGTCCTACTCACTGATTTCTCTCAATGAGGGTGTTGCTTACGAGATTGAGAGGATGAAAAGTGAATGTCCGGTGGAGGCTTTAACCGAGTTGGTGGACACGGTGGATCAATCTAAAGGAGTTGGAAAACCCTGATTCCAAACCAATGGTGCACATGGGCTCCCGGATCCTAACGAAACAAGTGGGATATGAACCATTTATTGGTCACCGACTACCATGGAACTACATCTGCTGACGTTGCTCCACTGCCTTGTGGATCAGACCCGTAAGTCGAAGGCTCGGGGTGTGGCCCCCTAAGATAACCACCTTCTTAGGTTTGGGCACCTGGACAGTATCACAGCCCTCATACATATCAAATGAGATCTGTGCGGCGCATATGTATTTGGTGCCTCCTTGTACCAATATCTATGTGTTAAAATAAATAAATAAATAATGCATTAATAGATTACACATTACTAGGAAGCTTTAATTATTCTAGTTTCAATAATCCATCTAAGTAATTAACATTACTAAACAATCTTTTATAATAATATTCGTAAACTACTAACTACAATTATTAACAGATATATTTTAAAGTCTGTAATAAACACAATAAGTTTATGAAATCTAATGAATAATATTAATAATTGGTTCAAAATCAAATGAAATAGAGAAATTTATTTCTAATCTATTTATACGATAAAAACAGATCATATAGAACATTAATAGTAATATTTAAAACAGAGGTCACCATAGTAACGAGTAAATAATAATACGCTAGAAAATGAATGTCGATACATTCAACCTTGACCATTCACATTTCATGTATAGTATGTATTGGATGTTTACATAACACCAAAAATAATTCGTAGTGTACAAATACACATGAGGATCCTACATTCCACAAAGACGAAGGAGTAAACATATTTTAAAAATGTAACTAACGTATTAAGTAAGATATAGTAGGAAATGAATAAAACATTATGTCTGTAAGCGATTGATATTCAACTAATTAGAATTGAGCCGATGAAGAAACTGGGGTTGGCACAGGAGGCGAGAACAAACTTAATATTGTTATATAAGAGATTATATTTTACAACCTGATTTCTCTGATTCAAAGAAATCAAAATGGTTGAGTTCAGAAGTAAACATGATAATGATTATGTATGTTGTTCAAAACCAAAGAATATTTAAGCGCACTGCTGAGGAGTCCCACAATAGGACGAAACGGCCGTCCAGTGCTTCCAGGTTTTCCATGGTGGTCTAGCTTCAAATGACTCATGACCTTAACCATTGAAATTACTATAATATCCACAAAACCCATCTGATACTAAATAAAACACTACAGTTATAAAGTGTATTACAGATAGGCAAAAAAGACATGCATTTCGTGATATCGTCCTATTACTATCGGTATCAAACAAATTAACAATAAATTTAGAATAAGTTAACATTTCGTGTTGTTGCCGTATGAAATGAAGCTGTCCGTCTATTAAGACTTCTTTGTTAAGATCCCAGAAATGGTGTAAAACAGTGGCTTGAGATGTTATTCGATATGATTCAGAATACAAGTGATTAACGATAAAGTTGTACATTCTTCATAAAAATGTGATGAACTTTCTTAACTGAAAGATAAGTATTCCTTTGTTATATTGTAACGTGAACATGATCTACCATAAAATACCACACTTCTCCTAACAATAATCCCTTTCCCATCTTGATGGAGTTATAACGTTACCTCTCCTAATGTTATCATTAAGTAATTCTAGTCTGATGGAGAATAAATAGTCTAAACAACAACAAAAATTGTGTATGACTAGTTATTGAACAAAGTGGACACAAGATATAACGGTTTACATCACTATAAACGTTTTTCATTATCACATCATCATGAATCTAAAAGTTGGGAATTTAGGTAAAAGCATACTTAAAGGATATATATTGTATAACTGATGATTTAAAATATTGTCCTCTTTCTACGGTACAACTACATTAATACAATAATAATAATAATAATAATGGGATAATAATTCTGATTTGAGTAACCGAGTTTATAATACCGCTAGATTGGATACTCAAAGGGTACACTATACAAAGACTAGTTCATGATATATCAGATAAACGATTAACAACCAATAACAAAAAACCAGAGTAACACTGATGTTAATTCGTGATCAAAACTATTAACTTCTAATCCAAACAGTAACTAGGACCAATATGAAAACTCTATAAACTATGTATGAATTCTTTGAAGGATTTGAAAAGATTAATTATGAACAACCATTAGGAACAGTTGATAAGTTGTTTTTTCCCATTTACATGATGTGTTACCTGTATAAGATATCAATAAATACATTAATTGTGTAATATCTATTTACACTTACCAATATCATTCAATTTCTTTTCTATAAACTATCTATTTATATAAAAGCTATTTTATGACTGATTAAACACTAGATGATAATTCATTTCAGTTATTTTCTAAGCCTATTCCTATACTATACTCTACCCATAGATTTATTTTCATTTAAAGCTTATTATCAGAATAAATTTGTGAGAGAATGAAAAGAAATTTAATCTGGTATGTGGACATGTGTTTATTTGTGGGTTTATTTTTCATAACTACATATTATGTAATTTAAAAGTATCAACATCTTACCATTAAATATATACTATTTATTATCAGATAGGAACGATAGTCACATGTGAATAGTCTAAACAATCAAAATTCAAACATGAGAGCACACTGGTTGGAAACTTGCTGTACGCGAACTGGATGAGGATTATTAGTTCATTCTAGAACAATTGAAAGTTTTGAGTACAACACGGCTGATAGTTAGCTATTAAATTGACATTATCTATAAGATAACACTTATGTAAGCTGAATGGTATTGCCATATAATTCTTCATGTGTAAAATGATGATCAGATAAATAAATATAGTTAATTTGATTGTTTTAAAATAATGTTCTATGTCAAACATTATATCAGTAGTTGAAACAATAGAACATTTTTCTCATCATAAACAGTTATGAAAATGCATATACTACGAAAAATCGAAAGCTTTTTAGTTGAGTGATCCAATAGAGGGGAACCTTTTGTGTCATAGTAGTAGTAGTAGTACTACTACTACTACTACTACGATGACGACTACTACTACTACTACTACTGGACATGCACATGTACATGAATGGAAACCACATGAAAAGTGATTTCTCAGATAAAATGTAACAAAAAATAGTACTGAGTACATCTTGCAAAACGAAAAAAAAATATTTAAGGATAAAAACATTTCACTATGACATACATTTCGATTGTATATATATAAATTGTACTACAAAAAGGCACACAGCCTATTCATAAGTGCAACACAGTACGTACATAACACACCAGAAGTGAATACAATCATTTGACAACAACAGGGTATCATAAAATAATAAAAAAGAAAGACACAGATGAACGAACACATACATGCACATTTATACATGCTACTATTATCATTAAACAACTCTTGTTGTACGAGTAAAACTATACTGTACCGACGACTCAATCAGATTTAAGTTGGTAACTTCTGGATATCCTGTGTGTATAACTTAAAACAGCATAACGAATAGTTAGTGACTTATTCAGAGCGCAGTACAGTTTACCTATATCTATTTTTTTAAATGCTTGAAATCGAAAAACTCATCTGTTGTGCAACTTACAGAGAGAATAATGGTAGGGTGTGAAGTTTTGAATAACAGCGAAAGGCTAACTGCTAATGCACACTATATATAGAAAGGGTAATTATAACAGATTGAGCATACTTGCCGAGATTCAAGGCATAGTAAAGAATGGTTGTGTAGTCTTTCAAGAACCCTATGTACATAAAATTTTAGCATAATCTATGACCTGTTCAAAGTATCTTCAAAGTTTTGCAGATTTAAATCCAAAAATTTATTTTACATAAATCTCCTTTCACAAGTATAGATAAAAAGTATTCTGATATATTGACCTCAACTCTTAATTCTACACTGATTGATAAATGTTAATTCAGCGATACTATAATCTATGGACGAACCAATCAGCTAACGAGTCACGATTTTTGGCGCCAAATCCATCTATACATTTGGCTAAATAGAGTTTCGGCATTATAGCTGATATCAGTTCGTGATGAAAACCTGAAATCGAATTGCTTTATAACCTTCATTTGGTCCTAATCAGTATGTGTCCACTCAAAGTCACTTCAGTGTCGCTCAGAGGTCGTCCATAAATTATAGTCTCACCGTTAATTCAATCAGACAATGTTATTATTTTAGTAATTTTCTGATTGGACAATGATAATTTGCCCAAGGTCGTCATAGTATAGTATAATTTTACTGATATAAATATACTTCGAAACAAACAAATTTATGTTTTTCATAAGAAGAAAAATTACACTGATAATGAATATAACAACGTTGACAACAGTAAAAAGAAAAATGAAACAAACACTGCAGCGCATGCTTGCATCAATAAAAAAGAAACAACATTAAAAAACACAGATCAAATAAAATAATCAATAATATTTAGTGTGGAGAACAAACCATTTCATTGAGTTCTTGTAACCACTGACGCCCAATAATATAAAAGAGGAAAGGAAGGGATAGTCAAGAAATCAATATAAATATGGATTAATTTTTCAACATTAGTAACTGATCAATAAAAATGCACAAAGATTATTGAGAATCATGGAATAACCAATCAGATAGAATACGACGACAATCAAATAAGTCAAAGGATAATGATAATTAAGAACTGAAAATATGAGATTATTCAATTAGATTGATGATAATTAGTGTATAATCGAATGATTGATTTAGGTAAAGTGATCTACAAGTTAAATCATTACCATGAAATATAAACACCAATAATTCGATCTCTCCTGTGATAGTGAGGTTATGGATTTACACTGCTACTGAAAGATTATATTATTAGGATGAAATAGATGTTCAGTGATTGTTTATTTTTAATTATAGATGATGGAAACTATGAAATTCGAATCGGGCGTCAGACATCAATGTCTGATGTACACAACTCAGCAAAAAAAATGCGAATCAATTTGGTACAAATATTTATAATTTATCATTTTTCATGGTTTCATCAACCATTCGGAGAAGTGTTAGTCAATAGTGTTTACTGAAAGATTTGAATCGTCAAAACTTATATCAATAGAAATTAATGTAATTTAGTCATTAAATAGAGTCCATAGGTTCAACACTGAACACTTTACATATGAGTGAAATAGAATAAACATGTGACTAAATAGTAAAACAACCAGTGATTATACTGTTGTGCTGGAGATTACAAGAGATTGATACTATGCAGAGATACACTTCTTCTCAATTGCATGTTTGTTTTTAAAACAATAAACAATAGGGTAGTGAAGATCGTTGGGTTTGACTGAAATCATGAACTGATCAATATTCGAATACCCCGAAGATCTGAAAGCATTAGACGGCCGTTTCGTCCACAACCTTGTAATGATAATGATTATATGCTCACTAAAGTCTAACTTAGCGATGCAATTCTCAGAGTTCTAGTGAGAAGCCGTGACCAGTACAACTAATCCGTGTCGATTGTGAGGAAGTTACCTACCAAAAACAATGGATGATGGTCGCACAATATCATGGATTGGTTGTAGTCAAACATTAGGACCTGTCGGATTCCGGCTTAGTGGTCTGGAAGTTAGGAGTTCGAGCGCGAAACTGAAGGTCTCGGTTTGAATCGCGCGTGCGGGATCGTTGGTGCGCACTACTGAGAAGCCCGTATTAGGAGAAAACGGCAGTCCTACAATGCTTTCAGGTTTGTAATAGTGATCTAACATTGATCAGTTCACGAAATCCATGTAATAGCAAGGTGTGTGTTTACCACGAACTCTATTCCACAAAACAAAACAGCTGAAATTGAGGAATATTCAATAAGTTAACCAAACTAACAATTTTAGTTACATTTTTCCTGATGTTGTCATCAGTTTAGCTGGCAATTTTCTCTACAATTACATTTCTATACAGCAAAAATATAACACGTAACAACAGATCGGAACAGTAGTGACAGAGTAATAATTGATATTGTTACATGTTTACGTAGTTTATCCTAACCATTGAACAGATGAATTATTCTAATCTTCGCAGTTGTTCTGTCATTTATATTATGTTGTGATGTTCAGTATGAGCATATAACAGTATATATGTATTAATATACTTGCTCGTATGCGTTTTCATGCTCATAGAAACTTAGTCATATTATAATTTCTTGAATCAATTTGTATAACCGGACTCTAATTCTTGATACTATCCTCTGGATCTACTGTTCAATATTGACATAGGCATACTGAATATAATTTGGAATCGACTTTTTGGATATCTATTTTGTTCTAAACGTGTGAAATCGATGGAAGATATATATATATATATATATATATATATATATATATATATATATATATATACAAGTTAAGTGGAATATGTCATTCACCAACATTATTAAAGATTCGAATACATTAAAGTTAGACAATGAACATCATTAACGAAAGTAGTACAAGTTAGTAATTGATAAACGGGAAGAAGAAGAAGAAATAAACGTTTTTTTTTCATCAACTTACACGTTTACGAACTTTAATTAATTCATCTTGAGCTAAATCTGAATTCGATGTTGAAAACATACAATCTAACATCATATTTCTAGGTATCATTTTAGATGATGTTTTACGAGTATTTTTCATTTGAAATATTTTCTCTTTTAATTCTAATAATCTTGTTTTTAACTGTTTCAATGGTTTCTAAAATATAAAAACAAAAAGGTTGATTGATTAATAAGGCAGTTAGGATATGTGTTGTTATGTATATACACAACCAACCACCTAACCCAATAGGCAATGTTGTCTAGTGTAAGAGTGGGTTGAAATAAAGCTAGAGCCGTCCAAACCAAGAAGTGAAATGAGACTAAGAAGTCATTTACAATTAAAATGAACCGTATTAGTGGATATATATGATATCTGGTTGGGGTTCGTGCCATGATAGTAACCAGTGGCTAGAGAATTTGAATGACATAGCTCAAAATCATATTGGGACGCTGCAGGTGAATCCAGTCTATTTCTTCCCCAAGATCCTAAGTCTCTAAACTACTCATAATTCTTTTATTACAAGGCTTAATATTTTCCAGAATCGTAAATTCGACGCCTGATCTTTTCTATCACCACTAACACTATAAGTATCTCTACCACTCTGGTATCGGTCTGGTGATTTCATCTCGCTTTGCTAATGGGTCAGGGCAACTTGGACCGATGTACACATGAACCAAGTTCTATGTTGAGTTTGGTTGACTGATTGACAAATGTCATATCTATTTGGTTTTTTGGTCCTGGTGGAATTTCATAGATCAGTTTGCAATTAATTTACCAAAGTTCTCAATCAGTTATATGCAATATGGAACATGGGACATGTATACATCGTTTCAGTTGTCAAGCCCGATCAACAAACTGAGATAAATTTTCGCAGCGAACTGCAGTTTAGTGAATATAGTCACATTATTAGTGGTAACAGAAAAGATTAGGCATCCAAGATACAGCTGAAGAAAATACAGGTTTGTGAAATAAAAAAGTAATTATAGCCAAACATGAAACTCGGGATCTAAAGGAAGATATAATTGATGCACCAACGCGATTGAGAACGACCCCAAGTCGCGTCACCCATCGTCTCTAACCGATGGCCACGGTAATCGTGAAAACCTCAGCCATGTAGTTTGCACATACCTTCATGGCTCAGTTCAATAGTCAGTGTCTTCATCGACTGATGTCACATATTGGTTTGCACCCCCCCCTCCCACCCCTATGTTGCTTAATGACTACTCACTTTATGGTTCCAATAATTCGATTATTATCTTGAAAAAACAGTGCTCAGATAACCGTAATATTGTGTAATGAATTAACAACAGTCATGCTGTGAGACAGCAAACGGTTTAATGCTGTCAAAATCCATGTGTAAAATTTAGATCTGGGACATCTAACAATCATTTAACAGTACCACTCCATCGATTAAACATTAAGAATTGGTATACGATACTGATTAAATTCGAAAACATGGTGTTTAGATGGGAATGTATCACATATCTTCAAAGCAGACACATACATCTATCCAAGATAAACACAAGAAAAACAAATTTTACGCTTCAATATTAACAATAATAATAATCTCTTACTTTGGGGAGAACTTTTGAATCAAATATTGGTTGACCCGGTGCTAATGGTGGCTTGAAATTATTTGTATCCAAGTCAAGATAGGCAATGCCACCATTAGGTGGTAAACGGAAAAAGTCAAAAAATCTTGAGTCCATTCCAATTAAGTATGGTGAAGGTGATTGAATCACATGAATGCAGCCCATATATATGTATGGAATATATACAACTGTCCATTTCAATGGGAATATCATCTGGAAAAAATTAACAATTGAAGAAACGAGAAAAATTATGACGATTAAAAACAGCTATCAATTGTTTTTTAATGATCTACATGATGGACTGCTGATCTAAGTTACAGCAACCATTAAGAACCAGGAAACACTAAGCAAGTGTTTCAGTCAGTCAGTTACAATGTAGGACCAAGCACATATATGCATCGGTCCAAGTTGCCACGCCTAATTAGCACAGCAAGACGAACACGGGATTCATAGAAGTAGTTAATTCAATGATGGTAGTATATAAAGGAAAGATTTTATGTAAGAATATAGTACAGAAAGAAAGAATTCGTTCGTAAAACAAAAGATATGAAATAATTTTAATCTCAGGGAAGATAACGAGTGTGTACACCTACGCCACTGTGACCGATTCTGCGCGATGTCACTCAGAGTCTCCGACCATTGTTTACGAAAGTCGCGCGGACCCCAACCGAGTAGTCTGCATCTACCAACATGGCTCAGGATAGAAGTTAGTGACTTCAAGCACTGTTTCATCCCAGTATGAAACTCCTGAGTGGCAGAGAAAGGGAATTATTGAACAAAGGAAATTCGATTTTAAAGGGAGTGCCTAACTTTAAGACAAGGCATAGAATCGTCAACATGTACAACTTTAATCAATTCGTAATATTTCACTTCTATAAACTATCTATTTATAGAAGCTACTTTATGACCGGTTAGACACTAGCTGGGAATTCATTGAAGTTATTTTCTAAGGTTTTTTCGATATTATAAGTTTTACTAATAGGGTCTCACTATAGAGACATTGTAGCAATTCTTAATACATTATTTTATACGAATTATTCTAGCTTCAGGACAATTAGGTACTCTATACACTAGATATTTAACCTTGTTAATTATTCATTTTAAACATTTTCCATTCATTCGTGTACGATAGTACATGACTATCTACTTATGTATATTTTACACGTGGTTCACTTTCATTTATATACATAAAAAATTATTGATACTTAAATATTTCACGTAAATAGTAATGATATAATCACTTATATTCTTCTATCTGAGTATCAATGAAACATATGTAGTATCCGAAAGAGATTATGTTATGGATAACTGCTAGGATTTATTTATGGACTGTTGTTATACATATATTTTTGTTGTGTAACTATTAAGTAACTAGATCATATAAATCTATATTTCTCCTATCATAAGCTTTAATTTGACCCATTAACTATTATTATACAACTTACTATTCTTAATTTATTTTGTTTATTAGTTACAGGCTCTGACACTAACGTCCACTTTTAGCTTGTTGATCTTATATAACTGTTATTTTTTTCACTTGATGGTATGATGCAGTCTGGTCTGTTTGTATATAAATCAAGTATGTCTGACATATACGATTCATACAATGGAGGCTGAGACTGTGTTCTGGAATGAACCGGCAGGACTAGGAGAGAAGGATCACTAAAGATTCAGAGTTGACGCAAGGCTTCTAGTGTCGGTTGAAGTGTCATAGGCTTAGCACAGGAACAAGATCACATAAGTCGGTGTTCTGATTGGCGATTTTGTCATGGGATAATTGGCAAGGGCAATATACATATTAAAAACTACTTTTTTACTTTACTTATTTTATTTCATTGTCATTAACATAATCAAATTGAAGTATAATATATACATGAGGTTATTAAGGTTTTTATACATTTCACTACCATCATTCATTATCAATCAATGGGGTCACAATTAGTGGTTATGATATAAGTTACAGACTGCATTATAATTATTATTATTAATGAATAAATTAGACATAAACGAGAGTTGGCTAGTTAAAGTGTGGATGAATTCGAACTCAAATTGAAAATAATGTAAATTGATGAAAAGTGAAGTTGGACAATAGATTATTTAATTTGGCATTTTTCGCGATGTTAATGTACTTTAAAAATTTTCCAGTTGAGATTTGTGCATCTCAGCCCAAGTTGATCGATAACACGCGCTTAAGTCATCGATCAAAATTCCAACTATAATATTATTTTACGTCTACTATTGAGATGGTGGAGAAGATCTATTACTGACTGACAACAAATTAGGAAAAGTGAGTCGTGTAACAGTAGTTAATGTGTTCAACGAAAGCTTATCATAAATGGAATATAAAGAAATAGTAATTCAGTTATTCTGTAACCATTGAAGAAAAATATAATGAATAATCATTCGAAGAAACCAATTCCAACTTTTACAATATTCATTGTGTTATTATACATATATACATGAACCAAGGAATTTATAACCTTATAGCATCCTTTGTTAAAACTAGACCACTCGTTAAAATACATACCATAAATAACCGTGATCTTTATCTATGCTATTAATATTATTATAATCCAATCATATTTGATTGAATGATTGGTCGTGTGATTAGATGTATTGATTCTACCACCTCCGCCATCATAAACAAACCATGTACAATGTAATGAACCATTATTTCATATAATCGATAAATGGAGTACAACGGGCATATGTAACGCAATATTTATAACATCAAGTGGTTAAAGATATTACACAATTATGTAAAATTCGAGATATTTTGGTATTGTGAATAATAGATCGTTGTTAGTTGGTCTTTTGAAGGACAAACTATATGATACAGATTAATTTGTATCCATGTATACTTTACTAAAATTACTTTTAAACATATAGACAATTCATCAAATATATATGGTTATTCAGATGGACAATCTCTACAAAACAGAATATGAGTACTTCTATGAAGTAGGGTTGATTGATTCGTTGGACAAAGTCGTATGGCTGACTTTACAGGGATATGATGGCAGTAAGGTTTCCCTCAGATAATAAGAACCATTAGAGACGTTAGCATTTTTACAATGAAATGATAGGACTAAGAAATGTTAGTCATAGAAAAAGTACACCTTACTTTACTTTTCATGATAAAACATTTTAGATTATGAAGCTAACACATTACAATCTTTTTACAGAAAGATCGTGTGGACCCCAAGGAGTTGTCTGTTTTGAATCTGAGGTTAAATTTCTAGATTCTCAAAATCCCTATTAATCCACTTTTATTTTCAGATCTCTAAGAAAGAAGTGTTCTTTCACGATATGATCAACTGGAAAGTGACTATTTCTCGCCATACCTATCTAATAGTAACTGAGATCATCTGAGAATTGGTTACTCACGAGATTGAATGAATTGAAATCAAAGACAAGATTATTAACAAGAAGAACAGATGTCTTTTCATTTAATAAAATGATATTCTTATATTATAAAATATTAACACGACAATGTCACGGATAGTTTTAGGAAATCAGTTTACAGGTCACACACATATATATATACTCTCTCTAATCAATTAAAACTTGATTGTTAGACCTAATTATTTTGGGTGATATCATTTACCCATCTACAAATTCTATTTTATCAATGAACTTGTAAAAATGTTATCTACTATGGTGGATAGAATAAACTTAAATAATCTGTACTATTGTAAAACATTAAAAGTTTCAAATGGTCAGAGTATAATATTTAAAAAAAAGTGACATTTATTTACATATTTCATTGAACTAATTATGTACTAGTAAATCTACAGTTTTCTAGTTCTTAATAATGACATCCTGAAATACTTAGTTCATAATGAATACAACTGTCTAATCTTTATCCTAGTTGTTTTAAAACAAGATTGATAGATTAAGAGTAGATTATTATTGAGAGTGAATATGTTTAGCTTTGTAATAATAACTCATAATAATACACAGATAAGAATAAATGTATTTCTAGCGAAAATGAAATCTGAATCATTAACTTATATATCAAATGGTCAAGATATGTGTCAGCTCCCAAATGCCCTGGTACGGTTGAAAGTGAGGAGAGTCCACTCGCCCTCTCGAAATGCTCTCATATGGCCACGCATATACAACCACTGTCAGGGAAGTCCTACTCACTGATTTCTCTCAATGAGGGTGTTGTTTAAGAAATTGAGAGGACGAGAAGCGAATGTCCGATGGAGGCTTTAACCGAGTTGATGAACACGGTGGATCCCTCTAGAGGAGTTGGAAAACCCTGATTCCAAACCAATGGTGCATATGGGCTCCAGGATCCTGAGGGAACAAAGAGCGTATGAACTAATCGTTGGTCAGCGAATACCATGGGACTACATCTCCTGACGTCGCTCCACTGTCTTGTGGATTAGACCTTTAGGTCGAAGGCTCCAGGTGTGGCCCCCAAGAAAACGACCTGCTTCGTCGGTTTGGGCACCCGGGTAGTATCACAGTCCACATACAAATTAAGTGACTTGTGTGGCGCATATGTATTCAGTGCCCTTTTGTACCAATATTTGTGTTCAAATAAATAAGTAAGATACGTGTACTTGGTTTCCTATCATAATTATAGTACTCACTTGTCCAAAACAAAGAAAGTGAGGTGGGACTCGAACCTGTGACTTATTGACTTAAATTCGAATACCTTAACGTTTGATCCAATTCCTCCACATATAACAAAAGTGATCAATCTGTCAATAGCTTTTTAGAATTCCTAATATATAAATTCAACTAACATTTTTGAGTACAGCTTCTCACATCAGATGAATTACTGATTGAAATAAAAATATTAAATTGTAAATTTTCTACAATGAACATAATAACTTCAGTCATTCACGATATTAAACTGTAAATCTAATGACAATGTTAAAATGAGTAGATGCTATAAGTGAATCAATTAATTTATCATTAATTATTTCAGTCATTCGTTACACAAATTTGCCTCAGAGACAAATGAGATATCATGTTGGTACGACAAAATAAATAGTAAAGTAACTGAAATAATATCGTAGCAATAATAGTAAGAATAACTGACGACTGAGAATATATCTTGAAAAGACAAAATAATAAAAAAAAAACAAATTTGTTCCAAGGAACATTGGGATTGAAGATTTAGAGTAGGTAAATGCTTAGGCTTTATCGTTACCAATTTCTGACCTATTTCATTCAAAGTCTCCAATCATTTATTGAAGAGATTCTGCAAACGTTAGCCAGATAGTCTGCATTCCCCTCCCTCGGTATTTACTGATACACATTCAAGTAAAATTATACATATATTGATATTGAAAACAGTCTAGTAATATTAATACCAATAATAATAATAGTAGTAATAATAAACTTACGTATATTAGAGCTTCACCAATATCGCTCAATACTGAATGTCGTACAGATGACATAAGAATTTTTTGTTCAGTAAGTAGTTGAACCAATAACTGAATAATTAAATCCACACTTAAATTATCCAAAAGACGAAAGAATGATTCACAACTATTGAAGGAGAATAAAAATAGGTGAACAAAGTGTATCTGTGAAAGTAATAATAATAATAATAATAATAATAATAATAATAATAATAATAATAATAATAAAACCTTAACCGGTTATTAATAAATATTGACTGACATAATGATTAGCTATAGTAGAATGGATAGTTAAAATATGATATATGAATAACATTAAAACAATTCTTCATTGAACTATACAAAACAAATAGGATTTGCAAAGTAACATAGATGTAGTATGTGTATATTACAAGGTTTCTTAATCAGCTTAAAGTTACAATTAATCTGTTTTTTATATGAATTCATTTGTAAGATTACAATACATGTTATATTGTACAGTGCCCGATCTTATCAATGATACACAAACTTTACCATATGTAAGCTCAATCGGCTATTTCAGTGAAAATGAAGCTTTTTTGCTGAGCAACTGATTCCAGAATTAACTGTACACTCACTCGTATATATATATATATATATATATATATATATATATATATATATATATATATATATATATATATATATATATATATACGTGTCCCATAGAGATCCAAACTAGCTACTTCCAACAAATGAGTTGTGTCATACTAATTAGAAAAGAAAGCCATATATTGGTCAGTCGCGTGCACTTATCATTTTGACGATGTCCACTGAATCATCTTTCCCTTGAGAAAAAAATAAATATAAATTTTTGGGTTCAGCTGTAGGATTAGGGTACATTCATCAATCTTAACCATTGTATTAAAAAATATACTATTTTCTCTTCATGTTCCCTATCTTTTCTCGATCATTTAGAAATAACCACCATTGATTGAGATATGAAAATTATTCTTTATAAAAAGAAAATTTGCAGTTGATAAGATGCTTGAAAATAAGTTGAATTTATACTATTCTGCAGAACGTGTACTTCTCGCTGTATTTAAATTTACCAAGGGATTAAAATACATAAAATCTAATCTAGTACCAGTGAATGTATGCATCTTTATTGAAAGAAAAAAATAATGGAAAAAGAAAATGAATACATAGGGTCTTTTCTAAAAAATTCATAATTAACAAGGTTTAAAGCACCAGTTATGCTATGTTATCCAAATCATGTATTAGTTTTAATTGCGAACTTGATATTATCATTAAGTAGGAAACCTCAGTACAGTATATATATAAGCATGGTGTGGTTGTAGAGTTTGTACGCTTTTCATTATTTAAATAATGAACTGATCGTGGCTAGACAATCATTGAAAACCATGAAGCACTGCAGAGCTGTTTCATCTTAGTATGAAACGTCTCACTGGCAATCACATGTGATATCGAAGGTCCTGGATTCAAAACGCTGTAGTGGGGTCGCAGAAGCACATTCTCATTGAGGAGTCTCATATTAAGATGAATCGACTATATAGTACTTGCTGATTCTCAATGGTGGTCTGGCTAAGATCACTTTATTGTTTAAATTATTAATATATATATATATAGGGAAAGTATAAGGAGTCAGTACTCCTCAGTTAACATGTAAATGACGAGGGCAACAAAGAAATGCTAAGACGATGATAGTGACCCCAAATATTACTGTTTTCTGAGAAAAAGTGTAGACGGTAAGTAATCCACGATACGTCAGATATATAATCCACCAACTATTCATAAACATTATCCAACTGAGAAGAACCTAATCGGTTACGTATCGGGTAAATATCTAATTACATAAATATTCAAATCAATCCTATCTTTGTAGTTAAAAGCATTTGATAAGACAATGAATGATCTGCAGTCATTACGAATTGAACTTCGAACTAAGGGATAGACTAAAGTAACTGGTCTGTTAATCAATTCAACAGTATAACCGCCACAATATATTGTTGAACACCAGATTTACCTGACGTTGGACAATCTCCAAATGAGTGTCCCAATTGTACCTGGAACAGATATTAGTTAGACATTTACGCACAAGACTATACTAGTCAATATTTAGATATTTTATCAACCGAACTATGAGTAATCTACTTCGTTTACACTATGATTATCATAACTGTAAAGCAAATAAAACTGATGACTAGGGCCATGGAACTATTGGAAACACAAATTTTTGCAATCATGATTTACAGCTAAGAAGTACTGTTTTACATCTATGCAAAAGGAACAACTTATGATGTTGGCAGGTCACAGATTGAATTAAGGCATGCTGCAGCACACTGATTGGTTTATTATTAATCAAACAGCACCAAAGGATAGGCGAAGATGAGCCCAGAACCTTCTAGTATGTAAATATATACATTACCTTAACTTCAATTCAAATTTAGTTAACTCGCTTTTTATTTGGGTATATAATACTTTACTGCTTAAATGGTGATTTGGGGACCAATCTAGTGAGGTAAGGTTTCCGAAGAATACTAAATCATACATATAACTTGGTCCGATAAGAAGAAAACTTAATATACGGCAAAAAAAATTACAAGTTTAATATTGTTCAAATTTACACCAAGTATTAGAGAGGAGAACAACGCACATCATCACTACTAATCATCAATCATAACTGTAATCGATACAGAAATCAGGAAAACATGTCAGTATTTCCTACCGATCATCAAGACAATTGCATATTAGTCCTTTTGTCAATAATAAAAGTGCAATTTAGTGAGTACACACACATGAGCACAGATTATGTGTGTGTGTGTGTGTAATTATGTAGATAATTAATTACAAAAAAAATTATAATGATATTGAAATTACAATAAAGATAATGCCAAAGAAATATATATTAGTTGCTAGAAGATGCACACATATACACAAAACAAGTAGTATAGAATAAAGTTCCATTTGTATTTAATATTAATCATTGTGTATTAATGAGCATAAGAATATAAGACGAATATGTATTGCTTTGAGTCAAATTTGGTTTATTTATTTAATGTTTATGGTGCATATTTCATAAAAAGACAATGGATCATGGGATAGTAAAAAAATATGACAAATTCAACAATACATAAATATACTCATGTAAATATATGTACGATTATTAAAGGTAAATTTTACATGGTAAGTGCATGAATGTCTTTTGTTAGTCAATCAATTTATAAGGAACGTAGAACTTTGAATATTATGTTTATTGATTCAAGTTGGCACATTCCACATCAATGTAGTGAGATGAAATTGTCAGGGTGAATCTCAGAGTAGTAACAGTATTAATGGTAGTAGAACAGTTTAGGTTCAGACGATATGGTTCGAGATAGATTCATGGAATAAAATATAATGTGAAATGGAAATGTACCATTTCAACCGATTCTGAGTCATATCATCTAACCACTGGGTAATGATAATAGCATGGATCTCGATCATGTAATTTAAACATATCAACACAGAACGATCTAACAGTCAATAACTTCATGAACTGTTATCACACGTCTATGTTTGGCCATCCCTAGCTTTCTTTCAGTCTACTTCTAAATCAATTAGTAGTAATGTTTCTTTTTTAGTGTTGTATAATGCTGAGTAATAAATGTTTCTCATTCTCTACTTCATTCAAAACTAAGGACAGAATTAACTACTTAAAAAGTAGACTTATTTAAACATGAATTAAATTAAGTAATCCAAAGTTTATGTATGTCAACTATGGTCTTCGGATTGAATTTAGTCAAGTGTACGCTAATCAATGCTTTGTCAACTAGCTACACAAAGTAAGACGATGAAGAGTTAATAAGAGTACCTCTCAACATATTGAATAATAATGTACACAATATTACGTATATAATTAGACTGATTCAGAAAAGAATATGTAGGCGTGGACCTTGATTAAGTGAATAACTAAAAATAATCACCATACAATTGCATAACACAAAACATAACATATCAGTCAGTCAGTCAGCTACAACGACTGACATAAGTCTGTTTGATACATATTTTTGTCTTTCAGTTCAAAGTGTCAAAATTGTAGATAACAGATATATTATCACGCCTTACTAAAGTGAAAAGGAATTTTAATTTCAATGTTCAAGTAATTGATTTGTGTTGTTAACAAACAGTATTTAGATGATACTAATTCAAATCAAGTTATGTAGAAGTTAAAAGGTTTAACAGTTCTACTACATATTCATTGATTCCTCATCTATCTCTATTCAGTATGCATTTATCAAATTGATTTAATGGAGCATTAAACTGAAAAGAATAAACAATAGTCGATAGTGGCTAGCAGTGGAATCCAGGATGCACGTTTCGTCCTACTCAGAACTCGTTAGCTGGATGTACCTGCATCTCAGAGTTGGTGTCCACTCTGGAACTCGAACCCAGTACCATTTGCTTCAAACGTCATCGCATTATCCGCTTAGCTACTGAGTCCTCATAGCCACTTGCTTGTGCAATCGGGTGAATTTCAATTCACTTGGTATTATTTGGCTTGTATCTTCCCATTGAGGTTTAAGACTGCAATTGATCAGTCTGTTATCGGCATATGTGTATACTGTGCGTATGCCTCGATATTGCCTTAATTCACAAGCTTTTTGTTAGCAATGATGGATAATGGCTAGCAGTGGAATCAAGGATGCGCGTTTCGTCCTATTTGGGGTTCGTCAGCCGGATTTACCTGCATCTCGGAGTTAATGTTCACTCTGCGACTCGAATCCAGACTGATCAATTGCAGTCTTAAACCTCAATGGGGAGAAACAAGTCAAATAATACCGAGTGGATTGAAAAGAATAAATGTTAAAAACTACAGTAAATACACTAAATATTTGTTCAAATTAGCGAACATATTTTCTTAAGAAACTTCACTAAGACAAAAGTATGAAGAGTATACCTACCTTGAAGAAGATGCATTGGTGTCATCTGGACGTTGAATTAGAATAGGAGCAGCACATAGCTAGAAGTTGTTAAGAAAGGTAAAAGTTGTACAGTATGTTAATAATTGAACAAAACTATTATTTAGTAGAAAATACAGTCAAAAATATTTCTTTTAGATGAGGTTTATGTCGCACAGAGGAAGAATATGGTAGAAAATAACAACAGGAGCCATGGTCTGATAACCTGTCAATCATATCAGATGTACCACCTCTGAAACGCTAACCAAAGAGACGAAATGGGTCGACGAATGCCAGTAATATACAACTAACTTCTACGGCTCAACGCCATCAACTAACTGCTTCTAATTTTATTCAGTTCTACAGTCTCAAAATAATTGAAGTCACAAAGACTAATGCCCCAAGATGGTGATCCCAATTGAGTTATCATTACTATGTCCGAACGAACACTGAGAGAGCTCAAGACTAGCCGCAGAATGTTGCTACTGAACATGGACAATTCTTCTGAAAAAATGGTGATTGAACAGTCTCCGAGCATCCTAATCTTCAGGATGCCAGGTTTTAAATATTTGATCTTTGATAGACAGACTAACGATGCGAGGATATCAAAGAAGACCTACATTGGCGTAATTCGCTCTGGCCTTCATCATACATCGACTAATCTGGACTGCTACCTCACAAACAGAACAAACACAATCAGTCATAGCTGAACTCCTTGAATATTCTCAACAGTTCGCCACAAATTATAACAGTAATTTGAGTAGCCTTCGGTGTCATCACACAGTAAAGCAATATTACCCACATACTGAAGGGCGATGGATCCACACTACCACATACCTTCCCTCAAGGCTGTTCCCAGAATGTCATCCGCGGTTAAATTCAAGAGATTGAGTATACGAGCGTAATCCCATTGCTGGATTGGAATAGCAGAGAAAGATTATTGTATACCCTCATTAAAAGAGGTGTTTATGTATGGATAGCTCAAGATGTTGATAAAAAACTTATACACAATTTTCTTTAATCGATAATCTTAAAGCAAAATCCTGACTAAAGAATCTATCGTTCAGTGAAGAAAATAACACAAACCGTATCGAATAAAAACCCACAGGTTTTATAGTATGCTGTCTACCGTTTCACATTGTCTAAATATTTAATACAATTAGAAAGACAACATAACCTAGCTAAGGAAAAAAGACTTACATCAACAGATATACTTGGTATTGCTCGATCAGGAAAAGGAATTTCAAATAAGAAATAACCTAAATACCTAGATATGAAAAATGTTTCATACAAAATTCAAATGAAAACAAATATAGATAACTACTAAAAAAATACCATTCTTAATCAAAATTACAAACAAGCGAGCTGATCAATTAAGAAATAAAAATTTAATTTTATTGATATCACAAACCGACTTAGGGTGGATATCTACTGAAAACCAGGAAGTACTTGGCAGCTACTTCATCTTAGTAGGGAATCGTCAACAGTGAATTTTCATAGACCCACTATAAAAAGTTGACCCCAATGCCTTCAGTTTCGCACACGAACATCTGACAACTCTAGACCACTGAAAGCCGGCATTCAGTGGAGTAAATGTCTAAAGTAAGTCAATTTACAATATTGCACGAATATCTTTCATTGCTCGCGGTGAACAGCTATCCCACACTCGACATTGTTGAACTACATTGGTTAAGGGTTCGCAGTGGCAGTACCAACTAAGATCAGTTCGGGATTTAAAATATGAAAAAAATATTGTCGGCATTTATAAAAAACCAGACAATAGACAGAAGGAATGAATATTTATTGTGAAAGATTACAGAGTATTTGTACAATACGTATACAAAGCTTTCGATTATCCATTAGCATCTTGTGGTGTGTTCTGAAGTCTGAACTATCTTCTCGTCTGGCCTTCTAGTGTTCCGTCTACGACGTGTTTTTCGTGTACTCCTCTATACTCCTCTACTCTCCATCTGACGACTGACAGCCTCGAAGTTGTGTTCCGCTACACATCTACACACAATCATGTGAGTAGCATCCATCACAGTAGCAGTTCTTCTTGTCTCCTTTTAAATTTAACTGGCATAAATATTGAATTGTTATAATTAGGTAGTAGTAAGGTTTAGTCCAATTATTGTTGTGTTTTTTTTTTTCAAGTAACGTATAAATACGCGTCAATCTGAACCACTATAATCAGAGTTTTCCTCCTCTTATTATGGACATTTTGTGATATTTCTAACACCCTATTTCATTAACTTCATTAACTAACGGATATCAAACTTTTGTTTATAAAAAAAACGATACTTTTTGTTGTCTTAGTCTCTTCGCAATTGGTTAAATAGAATGAATTCCTTTTTTTCTGAATACTACAAAGCTTGTTATTCATGTTTTGTTTAAACTTATCGAAATAAATTAAATGTATGAATACACTTTGATATACAAGTGTATATCGATTACTTACTTACTTACGCCTGTTACTCCTCGTGCAGGAGCATAGGCCGTTCATCAGCATTATATGTTGATGATATGTATGATAAATATTAGATTTTGACAAAAATATAGGAAAGTAATTCTTACCGTTCAAATGGAATATTATCCAAACTACTTGATAACAAACATCGACTGTATAGAAATCCCAAAAAATTAGAAAATGGTAAAGTGAATGACCAACGAGAAAGTATACAAAGAGTTTTCGTCACACCAATAACACGATCACCAACACGTGATGCTAAAAAATGACGTTGTCGTTTAGCTATTGCCTCTTCATTAGGATCATATTCATGATTTACTGAATCTGTACTAGATCTGGAATTAATTAACTCTGGATCAACTCCTAAACAGTAGCATTTATGTAGATCTAATTCTTCAATATAAGGTTCATAGAAAGTAAGTGCAACACCATAAAGCTAGGCGATACACACAGAAAAAAAAGTAAACAAAGAAATGTTATTATCAGATTTATATCATGATATCGAATCTATGATGTTTTATTAACGTAAACCAATCAAACACAGTGATGAATTTAACATCAGAATTAATCAATCATAATCATTATTTTGAGACTGATGCACCGCAATTAATTAGTCACTGAGTAGTAACCAATATCATATTTGTACGGTGGCGCAAATTCGTGGGTTGGTTGAAGTTAGACATTAACACCATTGGATATATATATATATAATTTAGTTTAATTAATAATCTCGCTCGTCTATTCTCTCGAGTAGCTGGGCTTGTACATAAGAAGAATGTGCATCAGTATCAACCCGCGGACACCGTACGTCACAATAATCAGGATAATGTCAGTCAGTCAGTCAGTAACAGCGTAGAACTTCGTACGTACGTACATCAGTTCGAGTTGCCACACCACATTAGCACAGAGATGCAGTTGTCGATTCAAATCCCGTAGTGGTAGAGGTAATAAGAGTATAAGCAGTAATCGGGAAGATTAGGGTTTGGAGATGTTATCCAAAGAGTATAATCCAGTGAAATAAATTTGGAAAGAGGAAAACAGGGACATGAAGGATTCAGAAGATTAGAATTTGGGAGAACACAGAGAGTGGATGCACCTGCGCCATTGCAAACGATTTTGAGCCATGTCATTCAGAGTTTCTAACCATCGGTTGCTGTCATCGCGCGGTCCCCAACCAGGTAGTCTACACCTACCAATATGACTCAGTCTACTTGTCAGTGACTTCATGCACTTGTGCTATGTTTTGGTCTGGCCGCCTCTAGCTTTCTTCCAACCTACTCCGATACTAAAGAACATCGCACGTCGATACAGTCGGTCGGTTGGGCATACGTAACACGTGTCTCAGCCATCTCAACTGATGAAGTTTCAACTATCATCAATTGATTTGCCATCCTTACTTATTACCCATTTCCTAACAACTGCATTACTTACTTGATGGTCCCATGATATACGAGCAATGTTTCGAAGACACCTATGATCAAATACTAGTAGCCTACGGATATCCTCTACTCTTACTGGCCATGTTTCACTGCCATAAAGTAGGATGGAGCGAACTGCTGCGCAGTAAACACGTCCTTTGGTTGATAGACGGATATCTCGCCTACGGCATAAATGACGCAAGTTGGCGAAAGTAAGGTAGTCGAGCCTTCTGTATCCGTGCTGAGATTTCATCACACTGTTCCATTTAGTCGGACAACGCACAAACGACAGTCTACTTGGATCCACTCTAAGAGAGCTAGTTCTGCCCTAGGACTCAATGCTATACCTACGCCGGCGAGGCCACGGGAAGCAGAATCTGGGCTTCCAGATACACAAAGTGTGAATCGAGTTGGATGTTTATCTTTACATGGTGATGTCAAATGAATGACGCTACTCGGATCCTGTATGCGCGTTTCGGAGACGCAGCACACATCGATGGCGCGAGTTTCTAAAGTCCTAGCTAAGGAAGCCTGTTGTCCTGTTTGGCAAAGTGTTCGGACGTTAAAAGCTCCTACGTGTAGTTTAGAGCGTGGTTTCAGGAGACCAGGAATAACGTAAAGCGTACTGGGATCGTTTGCCCTAGCGGTGCGGAGTGATAAAGAGACATGAGGAGGGTTAGTCATGGAGATAAGAGACTTATTAGGAGGTGTAGGAAGGATTTGAATGTGACCAACATGATCTCGTGTGCTGTTACGGGTATGAGGGCTGATGTCACTTCCCGGCTGCCCACACCGTGGAAGGGTATTTCTTGAGGAACCTGAAAAGGAAATTGGATTAGTGTTGGTCTTGACGACCTGGGAGCATGACCGCAGAGCCCAAGAGACAACTGCTTGAGGCCGGTCGCGCACGGCCTTTTTGTGGAAGGTTTTTGACGTGTTAGCTCCGTTCTTCAAAGGGCCTTACCGCTTGAGACGGAAATCCGTGAGGTAAGGTGAGGTGTGACATTTTTAGGGTCGACCTTTTCTGACCCCACCCCTCCTTGTGGGAAGGCAGTATCGCTGCAGATGCTGGTTGTCTGAGAGAAACACCTTACTGCTGCCACACCCCTCTACAGTCAGCAGTACGACTTCGCCCTCAGACCTTGAGTTGCTGCTTTTAGTCTTACTGTTCACCAATCGACCTGCCTGGCATGGTAGAACCTACAGGAACATATGTTCCAGCCAATATAGCTCGGTTGGGTCATCACGATAGGCAAGCTCGACCACCGCGTCAAGGTAGAAGCTTCGGTTGGGATCAGGATAATGAAAACACAAAACCGATATAACTATTCTTCAGAGAATTATTCTGCACATTTCAAAGGAGTATCTAGTAAACAGTTCAACTATGCAATAGAATGCTATATTTTTACCGATGAAAAAGTAACGATCAGTTAGCTAAAAATAGGTAACTCAGTTTTGCATCCAAACTAAATCATTCACTTACTTCCTGAGGTTTTCATGCACTATGGTCAAGTAATTTACTCAAGTTATTTCTTATTTACAAATTAGATAAATTAAAACCTCTTGTGACTACACACTCCAAGTTCTGTTATTCTAATTAGAGGTTTTGAAAAGTAGAAATTACTGATACATATCGATCGAGTGAAAAATGAAACAATAAGAACAGAGTTATAGGATTTACTAACAATAAGGACAGATGTCATAACAGGGAAAGCAATTTAATTTGTAGTACAATAAGTTTAAAACGCTTAAACAAGTTAGTTATCAATCAAGTGCGTATTCGCTCTACTCATCAAAAATATGAGTTTTGAGTTGTATGTTAGAATGCTATATATATTGCGGAAAAAAATCATACCAACCTTTTGGTAAGCTTCATTTGTAAGCATAAATGTGAAAGAATTAACTTCAGGTGGATCTTGATTCACAGACCATGATTCAATTGATGCACCCCATGGAAGACAGAAATTGGCTACTTGAAATATATCCGGATCTAATGGAGCAACTTGAGATTCTTTATTTTCATTAAATAAATAAAAGTTTTAAAGAAAAAGTTCAGTTTAAATTCTAGAGTAGAAAGTAACAAACAATTTACGCCTCTGATGGCCGTTTTTAACAAAAAATAAGTCAAGATGACCTCCGATAACCAAATATAATTAACGATGTAGAATGTTAGGGGAACAGAAAAAACAATTGCTTAATATAGTGTCTATTTTATGGTGATTCACTGAATGAAATCGATTTATAGTATCAAGCATTTTTAACGTGATAAAAACGATGAAAATTCATAGGTATTTTGTTTCTTATTTAAAACCACTCCTTGTGTAATTTTCGGATGAATTAACCAGGAAACTCTCACTGTACAGTCAGATAATTTTTATCAGTGTGAAATTAGGATGTAGTGTAACCAGAAGATTAATATTTTCAAGAACATGTAAATCATCAAACTTGAAAGGTAGATTAACGGACGTCTCTCCTCACAAATAGTTATGCGTAGTTTAACTTCTTAATATTTGTTGCCTCAGTCGAGAAAGGAAGCTGTGATTCATTGATTTAGAAACTTCCATTTTAACTAGTTGGTAGTAGGACTCTGACTTAACTTTTCTTACCTGGGACTAGACGATCAGAGAAAATCTTCCACACAGAAAACTACAGACAGGATAATAAAAAAAATACAAGAGTCTTCAAATGAGTACGTTAAAACTATAATAATCTGCTAAGTAGACTAACAGTTATTATTAGAGGAGATGCATTCGAAGTTTGAAAATACATTATTTTATTAGTATCACAGTTCCCAATGAACAGTGCTAATGATAAACAATTTATACTTCAATAGTTTGTACATTTTTTATTTCAAAAAGGACAAAAACTGCAACCATCCGTTTATAATAAACGATTAACTAGAAAAAAATATCATGTTATTTAATCATCAGTGTTAATAAAGGCTTTGTCTATCACATCATGAAGCGATTATCGGAGTAAGGGACTTGACATCTTGATGAATTATTTTCGATGTTTAATAACACTCTATGTAATTTATTGCATTATCAACTACGAGATTAGATATTAAATTTTTATAATCAAATAACAAAGCGATGGGTTACCACTGAAATCAACAAATTACGGTTTTACTTACGATCTGAGAAAACTTTTTTTGATTAAATTAACATACCTGGTGTAAAATCTGAACAGGTTTTATCATCCATCCCATTGTTGAGTTGGTCACACATTTCAGGAGGGTCACTAGATGGTTTGTTAGGAACAACCAAGGGATACTGCGAATTTTCATTATGTATACTGGGATTTGAAAAATTGTAATCAACGCTTGGAACTCTATACCAATATAATACCTCAGGTTTGTAGGAAATTATACATTGTTTTACAAGTGACTTGCGATAACAAATATAGGCTTTTAATCTGAACTAGAGATAGTAATAAAACAGATAAAAGGGAATTAATCATATGAACGAAAATTGTAATAAAAAGAAATGCATAGATTTCGTACTGAAATACATATAGAAGTATCAGTTTAACGAAATTTACGTTGAGTAATTTATAATTCAACAATTATAAATCTAAACAATATTAGGCTACAGTTCTAAACCCACTACACATACATCAAACTCGAACTCAACCAAGAAATCCTGTAATTCGCGTGGTATTTACATCGAATATCTGGGTACACTTGTAGTACAGTGGCGAATAAATCGCACTCAACATAGCAATTTCAAGAACATAATACAGAACCCAGGAAATGCCAACTATTAGCGGCCATATGGATAATGTAAATCAATAAACTGAATTATAGGTATCCTGTGTGACTAGTGACGAAGAATTGATTGACATAAATGGTGAAAAAATAGTATGTGTTGTGATCCCAGTACTGTAGATAAAAAAAATTTGAAATTATGTTATGATCTTCGTCATTATATGTGAGTAGCGCAGGGAGGATCGTTAAAATAGATCAGTAATCTGAAAAAAGTCAGTCAGCTACAACGTAGAACCAGGCACATATATGCATCGGTCCAAGTTGCCATACCCCATTAGCAGAAAATGAACGCCAAATTCATAGAAGTAGTTAATTCAATGGTGGTAAAATATAAAAAATTGCATATAAGGATATAGTACAGGAAGGAAGAATTAGTCGGTAGAAAGAAAGATATGAAGTGATTTTAATCTCATAGTTCGAGGGAAGACAGAGTGCATACACCTACTCCATTGTGATCGATTCTGAGCCATGTCACCCAGAGTCTCCAACCATTAGTCACACGGTAAACGAATAAGATTACTTAAGAATCTCGCTGCAATCATAAACTGATCGAAGTCCGGCCACCATTGAAAACCTGGAAGCACTGGACCGTCGTTCTGCTCTAGTATGGGAATCTCAGCCGTGCGCATCCACGAACCTGTACGCGGGAATCGAACCCAGACTTAAGGTTCCATGCACGAACACTTAGGCTCTGGACCACCGAGTCGATATCCAACAGTGTTAATCTCTAATTCCAATCAATTCACAACATTCTGCGACCATCTTCCATTGTCTTCAGTGGGTAACTACTTCATACCCAACACAGATTAGCTCCACTGGTCACGGCTTATCACTAGAATTCCAGGAATCGCCTTTTGAAGGTACTCATTAGTGAGCATATGATAACTGCCAGTAAGGGGTTGTGGAGATTGTTGAATATGATTGAGAATTGCGTGAATAATTCATTCGTTTGACCGTAGTAAGATTTTCTGGAATATGAGATAAACGTCTTTGAAAAGGCTATTTTTGAAGAAGTTTCCTACCGAAAAGTCTTCGAATTTTGGTTACGGAGATACTCAGTATGAAGTCAACTTTGGACTGGACTTCAAGGTATCCCATCTATGAACCCCTAGAAATATTACAACTAAATTATGCAAAACTAGAACTCACTGAACTTATACATATAGGTTCCGTGACTTGTCGGTAAGCTGGAGGACAAGTCTCTTGTTTTTCCGGAATGATAATACATAGATCAGTTACTGCTAGGCAGTCAATGCTGTTCTCGGCAGTACCTCGTAGATATGATAAAAACAAACGGTTCGTTAAAGAACTGGGTAAGTCCGCAGCACGACCTCCAATAGTTCTTGACAAAACCACCGCGTTAGTTTTAGGGCATTGTTTCTCTCCCAAAGTGCTATTGATTTCGGAAATAAAAATCACTGAGATTTTTCAAGAGACAATGAAATCACGATAATTGGAAAAAATGACGAGATAAAACAGGAAATTACCGGACTTAAATCACAAATGATCCTAATGCGAATTATTTGAAAGTAATTTGCCTTAAGACAACAATACAAAACTTAAGTTCGCGAAAATAAGGAGCTCAAAGATATCATTCAGCAACTTAGATTTAAGCTTCCAAATAAATTTTCATCGTCAGTTGTATATCCAACTTAATGGTCATCTAACTTCCAGTATAATTATCAAGAAACATGAGCAGTTTCCTCAGATACCTTTCTGTACTCTTCAAACTGTCAAAACGTTTTATGAAAATCATATCACATTAAGCTGCGAAACGTCAAAGATATAACTTTCTGTCCATTACGACATCACAAAAATACATTTATTGCTGAAGTATGGAGATACTGACAATAATCTTTTCTATACTTCATAAATACAGCCAGATATTTTTTCGTCTAAGGCACATAAATTTGCCAGGGACCACTGTCCTCAAAATACACTAGAATACAAGTTTTTTGCCATAACGTGGGTCTTCCTCGAACATGCGATACATAGGCACAAGAAGGCACAGCCCTATAATATATTATAACATCCTGCGAATTCGGATGCAATTTATGAAAGAAAAATAGTTGCCTAAATGGTGTAGTGCTTAAACCTATAGTACCAGACGACCAGTCTTCGCATATTGGAGCAGAGCAAAATGGATTCACTTGCACCAGATATATCGGTGGGCCGGGATTGGTGTAGACATAAACAAAGCCAAGAAACTGGTTTTACTTATTTGAACAAAACGCGCGTTCAATGCGTAGCTATCACCATCTGAATCTTCGCAGAGTATTTATGCTGACTAATCAGATTAATTTTCCAACTCGTGATACGGCTTTGCTATGTCAATTATTATTTCTAATATCCAGAAGTAATACCTACGAGTAGTTTAGGTGGAACGTTTACTTAGAAGATATTTAGTCGGGCAGATATTATCAATCGATGATGGGAATAACTTCGCAGATTTTAACTGGCTTAAGGACAAAGCGTGTCGCAACGAATTTGCAGCTCAATACCATTTTTAGTCAAGGATCTGGCGGAAACCTTAGAGTGCCAGAACATCAGTAAATCCAAAAACTTCATGAGCTAAATTTGTAGTTAGACTGTGTTCTAATCCCAAACCAAACAAACAAGATAGATTTTGTGTCTGTGTGAAATCCCATAGACAAAACAGGAAAATATCCAAACTCTAGAGGATTCCTTTAAGGTTTAAGTCTCTTACAGCTGAAGATAAAAAGCCCTATGTGGCAAGGTGGCGTGAAAGCAAAATGAAATGAAACGATCGCTTCTGATGCAGATTTTATCCGAAGCATAACCCCATAAGAATTCGTTGTTTATTTAAAGTACACTACTAAACAAATCGTATTATTGTTAATTGTAAGCATTTTTATAGTGTATATGTCAGGAAACTTCAGCGATATATTTACACTGGTCCTAGATAGCCATTTCAGTGCTCCAGTATCCTGAGGGAACAAATGGTGTATGAACCAATCGCTGGTCACCGGCTACCATGGGACTGCATCTCCTTACGATGCTCCACTGCTTTGTGGATCAGACCTTTAGGTCAAAGGCTCGGGGTGTGGCCCCCTAAGAAAACCACCTGCTTCGGTCTAGACACCCGGGCAGTATCACAGCCCACACACACAAGTATGGTGTGGCGCATATATTTTGGTGCCCTCTTGTACCGATATTTATGTGTTGAAATGATAATAATAATAGATAGCTGAATCATAATAGAATTTTGCCGACCTAAACACGAACATTATGGTAACGAATGATGTGTATAAAACTTAGTGATATAATAAACCTTTCGAAAAACTTGACTGTCTGAAAAAAATTATTTAAGATAATGATGATAATAATCAACTTTTAGATATGGAATCACAATATTTATGATCTAGTTCCCGAGTAGTAAGGCTTTCAACAATCATTTTCAGGAACTGGTTGAATTTTCCGAAAATTCTAAAGGTAACCAAATTCCTGGTCGTGATAAGACCTCGTTTTGCAAAGCGACCAGAAGTGAGTTAATTTAGTCGGCTTGTTGCACAAAATCAAGATCGACTAGCGAATATTAATGCAAAACTAGGCAAATAGCCCACTCTTTAACCAGACATAACTAAATTCAGTGTACAAGGAACACCAAGTAGACATAATCGCATTAAGTCTACAAGTTAAGGGTTGGATTTTACTGAACGGAGGTAGATATGAGAGATAAAGAACATGCACGTGAAACGTTGTATAAATAATAGATAATAAACGTACTCGATATCTTTTATAAATGGTTGATCTCGTCCTCTACGGTAACATATACAAGCCTCCTCTCCAAAATTCAAAAGGATGTTGGCTTTGTGTTTTCCAGAGACACTGTATTTAATACATGTATACCCTTCCGGTATTTCTTCTTTCTCTCTTAAACTAACAATCTAGAAGAACTTGTTGGACAATCAAAACAATATACCCCACCTTAATATCAACAATAGGTTCAGGGAATCGCGTGAAGTCAATCGAAGTATTGGGAGCGATTATCTCCTCAGCATGTGTAAGGATCTTGAACAAGTAATAACTAAAATTTATTATGCTAACCTTGGAAACGTCATATGTACTTGGATTCTTAGGCAAGCCACAAATCACAAAATATTCCGCAAGACGTTCCGGAAGACTCTGAGTTTTCATGATAATAGAATTTATTATTGAACTTCACAAGTCATGGATTCCCATCATATCGTGTGGATGAGTTAATAGTTCAAGCTAACTAGACCGATCACCTTCAATGACCCGCCTGTAAACGTTAAAGAATTCAACATATTTAAAAGGAATATCCGATTTCTTCATATCGTTTATTTATAGACCTGTTTACTTCGACTAGCCCTTGAGTTAAAAAAAGGCACAATATAAGTGATACGAGGTGAGGTTATTGTGTTAGTATTGTGACAATAATTCTAGAAAGCTTAAGGTGTATACAAGTTTTTTCCTAATATTAAAATGCCTTAAAGGACCAAAAAACTAACAAGAAAACTTGCGAGTATCACATAAAACATGAATCACAATTCATTATTTTTGTTTTTCTCGACAAGTTTTCACAAAAATAAAATATATGTATATAGTCAGTTGAAAAACCTTGTAAGCAATAATAATTTATAGCATCGTAAACACCCACAAGCACCTTAACTACTTGCTTGGGCTCGGCTGCAACACATACCTTGTGGACAGTACTCAGAAATTTGGGACACAGAATATTAGAATGGGTTGTGGCCATACCTTCTCTTTATGAGTAGTCAGTATTACCTCATGAAGAAATTTGACATGTTCTTAAGCAGTCAGGACCGTTTTTCGCTACAATTTACCAATGCTTTTCGCTCTCCCGTTAAGTGTGCTCAAGCTCCTACCTAGATAGAATGAGGATCCACCGCATCTAGATACGGAGACCTGTCGAGTGAGCTCTTCTTGTATTCCATCCACAACCATTTTTATTATTTGAGCTTGAGTTTGCATGTGCTTGAACTTATTAAGCTCTTTAATCACCTGGCCATCAGGCAGTTTTATTTTCATCAATAATATTTTATCTATATGTTTTCATATATTTATTCCTGCGCTCATATGGACGTCTGATTAATAATAACGATACTACAAGCATTCGGAGTTTGACAACACCTTAACCAGCAACAAGATCGAAAAGCGTTTGGTCATAGCTGGCTAGTAATTACAAAGGATATGTAGCACGGCGTACCCACATGTGATCTGGTGCCGATGCGTGAACGGGAGCCTTAACCTGGGATGCGTCCGGTAAAACTAATGAGGTCGGCATCAATGTCGAGGACTTACAGAACTATTTACTTTGGGGACTTATTTGCCGCTACAATCACGTGACGACTCATGTAAATACTTTCCTTAACCTACCAAACGTAGGTTACTAAAAGCGCTCGATAACTCGTTCTTATGCTTTGGTGTATATGCTTGTGAAATCACATTACTTTATCTTCGTTCTTACATTCTTAACAATCAGCTCACTGGTCAACACATGCCTTGTGTCATATGCTAGTCTGTCATTTGGCGCGTGTTCTGATGAATAAACTAATGAGGCGGCTTCGTATTCCCTTCTGAAAATTATAGACCGTTGGGAATGGCAGTAGTATCCATCAGGTTGATTGGCACATAAGGTTTAAGGACAGCTTTGAATATATCTCGCAACATAGTAACCGATCATGTTTTCTCGCTCAGAAGGAGAATGGGTCTTTCCACCCATTTGATAGCACCTTAGATAATAATGAGTATTGAAATAAGTTGCTACTAGGTGAAGAAGTGTGGTTTTTGTACTTGATGATGATTCGTTTGTATTTGACTGGGGGTGTATTACCAATCCCAAACTGCACATTCGGTTGTGCTTGGTTAGAACAAGAAGGTTCACAGAATTGGTTTCCTTTAAAAGGTGGCTTGATATTCGTCAGCTCACATTTGTCTGGGACCGTGCCCAGGCTTAGGAAATGCGATAGAATCACAGCAAGCGGTGTTGCAAAGACTGAAGCTGCTTCACTTAGCATTAGATGATGAACCATTTTCAGGCTAGAAATGTCCTTGTTTAGAAACTACAGTTTTGATACCTAAATCCGGAACTTAGATTTACCTCTGGGACAACTTTTGGGTTACAGGTAAAGCTCTCGGTAATGCAATTTGTGTGAAACGACTGAAATTTTCAGGAACACTGTGTTGTCAGGAGTTCTGAAGCATAATGGTCCTTGCTGGCTCGGCTTTAAGATCTAACAACTGGGGAACTCTGGATTTAGTTCATTGGCGAGACTGTATATGACAGAATAAGCTTTTCTATTGAGAGACAAATTTATCGTCCGTTTGTATTCCGCCTAATGGTATTCAAATAGTACAACTCCTTTCGACTGTAAGTTGCTTATACTTTTTGAGGGACGTTTGCAAAACAGACTAATTTTTAGCCTGTAAGATAGTGAGGATTAAGAGATCTTAATGAGCGTCGATCACTACACTTGCAGTGAATTGTTTTTCAAGGTGCAAGTCTAACGCCCACGATTAGTTGGAAGTCTTAGCACAGTTGATCAAGAAAAACTGAAGGCTTTGAAGGCGCGAAAACTTTGTACCCAGTAGAGCTAGGGTTTAGATGTTATCAACTAGTAATCCTTTGGTTTAGAGAACCAATCTAGGCTTGCGGTGTTTTTTTACATCGAGTTTCTGAGTTCATGTCTTTAAACAGTTGAGGTTGAAGAAACAAGACCCAATATAGCTGTAAACTACATCTTACGTGAATCCAGAGAACTTGACCTTATAATGATAGATGCCACCTAATATAAGGTATGTGTGTGTCCGAGACGAATAGAATTTGATAATTCCTCCAGCCTATTATCGTCGTAGCCGATGTCAGCTGTTAGCTTCCTGTAGATGACACTAACTAGACACCTAATGATTTTAGAAAGTCTCACTGAGCATAATACAGGTAATCGAAATTGTTCAACTCTTGAGTATACACTTGGTGTGCCATCAAGCAGGACCATAGGTACGCGGCTGTTCCGCCCTCTATTCCTGTTTTTCTGTCGTCGCAAAAGAAATCTAGGTTGATTATGGCTAACTTCTGTACTATGATCAGATATGCTTATGTTTCCGATATTCCTATCAGATAAGTATTATCAGCGTTGCTAACTTTACACAACTCATCCATTTCGCTCACTGAACTCGCAGCGTTTGAATATAAATCAATGATCCTTTTGATTTGAGAAGTATGAATGTTCTTGTCCAGTACAATTGAATAAAGATTATGTGTATGAATAGGCAACCTACATACGTGTGGCTTTCAAAGTTGGTGGTCTTTGTCTTTGAATGCAAGTGGATTCCAACTCGCAACCTAGGTCACTTGGCACATAAGCCTCAAGAGTAGCAGCTGATGTTTGGAGAGAAGGGATCATAGCTGTCTTTAAGGCTCGCAGCTGTTGAGAAATTGTCGCAAAACGTGGTTGGTTTTCAAGATTCTGGGGAAAAATATGGTCCATTTTATTTGACAGTCAGATTACGGCTCAGATTCCCATGTTTTTCGTTGACTGGTCGGAGATCTGAGGGGCTGAGCATTTCTGAAAATGAACTTCTATTCTTTATATTCATATTGATGGGTGTACAATCTCCTACAATAGAATTTTTGAGTATCACAGTGTCGACAGGAGAGGCTGTACTAGGGCACACAAGTTTGCAGAGAAGGCCTAACACTACCGATGTTACGATGGTGCTGGGTTTTATCTTATCCTCAGTGATGTCAGTGCTTATTCCACTAATACGACTGTCATTGAAAACATGGACTGCTAGTGCCACTATCAGAGAGACTCAAACATGTCTTTCAATATGCTCCATTTTCTCCGAATATAAAGAGACATTTCTGACCCAAGGTACTCACAACAATTTCAGGACAAACACATTATAATCAAACCCTCGTTCGCACTCTGTCTTCTTGAGAAAGTATGTGAATATTTCGGAAAGAAAAGATGAGCCATCCTACAAGTAGGTTACAAGATTGTTTTCGTTTTCTCGCGCGCTTTTCGAACGGGAAGTTTAGTCCTAACGTGATTTGCATTTATCAAACTTTTGCTGTGTTCTTACGCAACAAAAGTACCATTTCAGTTCTAAAGAATCTACCCTGAGCTATACGTTCGGTAGATTACTTTTTTTTGAGTTTCACTATATTTAATAGTTACCTGTGGTTTTGCCTCAGCTTACTATTCGGTTTTTTTTGTTTTTCACGTATAGACTAGTTTCAGTTTATATCACTCGTTTTGTCCATTTTTGTCCGTTTTCAGTGTGCTTTTTAGTGTTTTTTTAAAGGTCTTAGGCTCTTGCAAGCATCTATAACATAATTTGCTTCAACACCGTCATGAAAAACTCATGCAAACGTCCGGGATGCCGTTTTGCTGTCACAACTGGCATGCAGTGCGACAACTGCAAAGGTTGGTTCCACGAAGCATGCACAGATCTGACAGCAACTGCTTACAACAGACTCAGCAAGTCAGAGCAAAAGTGGGTGTGTGTCACGTGCAACACAGACTCCGTAGTCTTGCTGAGTAACATCATTGTCCTACTGACAGGTCTTCGGAACAAGTTGTCAGTTAACTTGGAAAACGATAGCAAAAAAACTGATATACAAACAAGAGCGTGCAACGGACTCAAAAACAGGGATGTCGATAGGTATTCCATCGACGGCGCATCCATCAACACTAACGACGACGTGTCGAGGCTCAGTACCATCATTACGTCGACGGTACTGAACTCCCTAGGCAAACTCGGGTCTCCCAGCTCAGGGTCCCCAAACACAACAGTGGTTCCCAAAAACCCTGCAGGTGATTCGACCCACGTTAAGAGAGCCCAAAAGAACCAGGCATCACTGCCTAAGCCGAGCAACCCAAGTGTTGGTGCACGGAAAATAACTGGTGATTTAGTCGCACAGTCTACCCCCAAGACTGTTCGTCCGGCCAATAAAGAGCCCATGATTCAAAACGCACACTGACCTCCAAACAACAAGTTACTAAACCTGAACCCATCGTGAAACCTGGTAAATTAACAACAGTTCGTGACGATTCTCTCATTATCATGAACCTCGTTGACAACCCTGATCTTCCTCTCAGTCTGCAGGACAAAAACGACAGGATGCTCTGGGGTGAATTGAACAAGAAGCTTGAACTTCCTAGAATAGAGCCTTTGACGGTCACCCGGCTCACTCGAGGAAAGGATTCTAAGCATCTAAATCACCCGAGGCTTCTCCGAGTAACACTTAAGGATGCTACCGACGTAGAGGACGTCTTGCTAGCAAGCCACTTGCTGAAATCAGATGGTAACGTAAGAATACTGCCCGACATACCGTACTCTGAGCGCAGTATCATACGAAACGTCCCTAAAGAATCTCGCGAGAAGTTTTTCCGCGGAAGAAACATAATTGTCCAAGGTATACCGGAAAATGCTGACCCTACCCAACCAAATTCTGACATCAGGGAATGGAAATTCATCAAACAGTCCTTGAGGCTCAAACACATACTGACTCAGCATGTGACGAGACTAGCCAAGAAGGACGGTGATCTTAGACCCCGTCTAATGAAGATAACCTTCCCATCTTCCCACATGGCGGCTGCAGTTCTGGAAGCATTTCGTGCTAATAGACGTCGATTGCCACCTGGAATCCACATGCACCCGGATAGGCCATACGAAGTTAGGACCAAGAACAAAGGCAAGTTGGAGCTGACCATTCCACTTGTGGACTGTCTAAACGATAAAAAAAACGTGTAAAGGACAGGGCCTACCACCTCGGCAAACCTCACATAGGTGGGCTACCTGTCCATTCACACAAGGTTCATACAGAAAAACAGGACGAAGCTCACGCGTTCCAAATTGAAAGCATAAACTGCTTATATATGAACGCCGCGAGTCTACCAAACAAACTGGATGAACTACGTGAACTTAGCAGCGCTAATAAGGCCCATCTGATAGGAATATCTGAAACCTGGATATCTTCTCAGTTCTCGGACCAAGAGTTAGCATTGACTGGGATGACTTTGTTCCGCAACGACAGAAAAACAGGAATTGGGGGCGGAGTAGCCATATACATAAGCTCTTGCTTGGAGGTGCACCAGGTTCACAACCTCGAGTTTAACAATCTTGAGGAATCCATATGGTGCTCTGTAAGACTGTCTAGTACTTCCAGGTGTCTAGTCGGAGTCATTTACAGGAAGCCAACTGCCGACACCGAGTACGATAGTCGTATGCTGGAAGGACTATCCCGCTCTATCCGTCTCGGTTTCACACACATCCTGATTCTAGGGGACTTTAATCTCCCTAGAGTCAACTTCGCGGAACACACGTACACTGGAGGCGACAACTCAATTGAAGCTCGGTTCTACAACCTCATCGATAACTTGGGCTTATATGAAAATGTGAGGTCGGCAACTCGTTGGAGAAACAGTCAGACACCATCGCGCTTAGACTGTGTATTCACTAACGAAGAATTCCTAGTCGACAACCTCTCAATCCTGGCTCCTCTGGGAAAAAGCGATCATGCCGTCATAGCCTTCAGTTTTGTCATCAAAACTAAGCTAAGGTATCCCAACAATAATCTGCGTTGGAATTTTAAACGGCTGAACGTGCCAGCTCTACATGACTATCTACAACAGGTCGTTTGGGATGTTCACCCTCAAATCGATGTGGATGGTCATTGGGACTTTTTACTGCACACGCTCTTATGTGCTACAGACCATTCAGTTCCTCAAACGGTTCCCAAGAGCTTCAAGCCACCTACAGTAATCAAGAACCGTACCCTTCGCCTCCTAAGCCGCAAACGGCACTGTTGGGCGGAATACAAACGAACTAATAACGATGGAGCGTATAGGCAATACAAACATATCAGGAACACATGCACGAAGGCTATAAGAGAAGACAGGCTTCAGTACCAAACAAAGCTTATGGACAAATTCGCCTCTAACCCTAGAAGCCTATTCCGTTATGCAGCCTCTCTTCGTCAAGCCAAAACAGGAGTTTCTCAACTGCTAGGTCTTAACGGCCCGACCAACAACGATGGCGACGCCGCTAACCTTCTGGCGGCCCATTACTCTCAAACATTTCAACCGGCTGACATCAACTTTATTGACGACAGTTTCATCTCCAACTCCACAGGACTTTCTGAAGTGGACCTAAGCGCTGACTTGGTGTTCCGGAAATTGCAGCACTTAAGACTTGACACTTCTCCTGGCCCGGATATGGTTCATCCTGCCATACTGAGGGAGGCAGCCTCAATCCTGGCAACGCCGCTTAGCGTGATGTTTTCACACTCGCTTAGCCGAGGCAAATTACCGGAAAACTGGAAGTTGGCTCACATCACACCAATTTTCAAAGGTGGTCGACGCAATGAACCTTCAAGTTATCGGCCGGTGGCTCTTCTGTCATTACCTTCAAAACTCATGGAGTCCCTGATATGCGACGGTTTAAATGACTATCTACTGTCCTTAAATTTCTTCTCACCCCAACAGCATGGTTTCAGGAAGGGTTACTCCTGTATAACCAACCTGCTGACTGCGGTGGACAAATGGACAAGCATCCTCGATTGCAAGGGAAAGGTTGACGTCATTTACCTTGATTTCTCAAAAGCTTTTGATAAGGTTAACCACTTATGTCTTATCAACAAGCTCAAACGACTAGGTATCAAACCACCTCTAATCGATTGGCTTACTTCATACCTAAAAAATCGACACTTTAAGGTTAGGGTTAATTTCACTTTATCTCAGGCTATGGAATGTCCTAGTGGGGTCCCCCAGGGCTCAGTACTAGGGCCTCTTCTCTTCTTGATCTACATAAATGATCTTCCTCAACAGGTAACGTCAGATTTATTACTTTTTGCCGACGACGTGAAACTTTGGAGAGAGATACGCAACCAAGACGATACACAGGCACTTCAGGATGATCTGACGCGACTTCAAAGTTGGGCAGACGATAACGGACTTACCTTTAACACTTCAAAGTGTAAAGTAGTCCATCTGCGACATGTAGCAAACTACAGTTACAACTTAGGAAACTCCTCTCTAGTAGTATCCCAAGTCGAAAAAGATTTAGGAGTCCTGGTGCCCCATGACTTAAAGTCTTACGCTAACTGTGACAAAAATGCCTTCCGAGCAAACCTTGCACTGGTAACGTTGAGGCGCATTTTTGGACAGTTTGACGGAAGAACTTTCCACACAATCTTCAATAGTTTCATCCGTCCCCATTTAGAGTACGGAAACATAGTACTCCCCCCTCACTCCAAAAGGACAAGGTCACTTTGGAGCGTATCCAACGGCGAGCCACGAAATCAGTTCGAGGACTCAAATCTAAGCCTTACGAAGAACGCCTCCGTTCACTAGACCTTTACCCACTAGAATATAGGCGTCTTAGAGGTGATTTATTAATGGCTTATAGTATTCTTAACACTTCTGGACATCCTCTTAAACACCTACTTAAGCTTAGTTCGAATAATAACCTAAGGGGTAACACCCAGAAACTGGAAACACAACATAGCAAGACGGAATGTAGACACAACTTCTACTCCTTAAGAGTTGTCAAAAGCTGGAATTCGCTGCCGGCCGAGCTAGTCCAAGCGACTTCTCAGGAGTCCTTCAAGAGGCAACTTGACCTATTCTTAAGGACCAAGGACAGCATCACACTATGATTTACCAATTTCTTTTCCTTTTTATTGTTAACATACCTAGGTTCCTGCCTGGAGGATTTGGTGATCCCCTGCTACTAGACACGGAAGCCTGTTAAGCGAAAGCTTCTTCTATTCCGTCCACAACCATTTGAACCATTTGAACCATTTGAAGATTAGGATAGCAAGTGTGTTATCCTTAAATGACACCACCAAAAACATGGAGTTGCGGGCTAACATCAAGACGGAACGGTGAATAAAAATTAATTACTTTACTCTATCGAATAGAAACTGGATTGGAAATCGGATGGGGCGCTCCATCTAATAGACAAGGTCATTGTCAGTTACTTTCTGGCTCCGGCTCAGGTCTTTTGTTATTTTAATTGATAGTTTATGCAAGTTTTCGTGATATGTTTTTTATTAGGTGCAAATCACCAAATTGTCATTGAGCTACACTCATGAATGTTTTGATAAATCTTAAGCAAACGTCTTGATTTTTTGACGATATTTTGTTTGTCACCAGTCCATCTACTTAGCACGACTTGTTCCATCCAGTATGCCCTGATTGGGTCATCAAAATAGGAGAAGCAGATCACTTCAGAGTAGCAGATATAACATGGTAATAACATCAAAGTTATCAAGTAATGGAATTATCTCAGGTCATTTATCATATTTATACTTTTTCTCGGTACTTCTCATGAACACATGTTTATCACCATTAAGTGACTTAAGGCTTGTCTTACCAAGTAGATGAAACATTTTATTTTCAGCTCTCAGATAACGAACAATGTATGTGGAAAACCATTTTCTCTTAAACACAAACTTAATTGCTTACAGTTGTATAAATACGAACCGGGATTAGTAAATGAAGATATATAACACCCTGGATTGTTGTTGTCTGTCAATTCAGCCCACCTGATTCACGTTGTTTGGTAGTAGCTGTAACCAACTTGTTCTTTTTGCTGGGTCTACTTGTTTATTTGTAATTATGATCCCCTCTTTTTTTTCTCGATAATTATTTCGGACATCTTTTGTTTATTTGTCTTAAAGCATTGGTTTTATTGGTGATTGAGCAGACCGATTTGTTTTTGATGCTGTAACGTCCATGAAGAATGTAGCACTCACCAGCATTATCTTAGTTTATCATGCTATAACTTGTGTTGTTTTCGCGAATAATTGTAAGTCTACACTTAGTACATCAAGACAGTTGTAGATGTTCTGCTTTCTAGTTTTGATAAGCTGTGCAAAGAAAGGCATGACAAAGGATTTGTCGCTAATTATGTAGTGGATGATATTACAATTCGTGAACAGTTAGTGTTATCGTGGCCTGGGATTTAAATACCTCTTCGTTTTATAATCCTCCAAGGAATCCGAAATTTGTATTGTGTCCTGGATTAGTCATTCATCCTTCCGGTCGTTTTGTAAAAAGATCATTTCCAGAAGGTCTAGTAAGTTCTGATCTTTGTAATCAAACTACAATAATATTTTCTGTGAAACAAAATTAATACTTGCTAGAAAAGTTCAATTTAACAAGTAAAGCTCTCACTTGATAGTCCTGTCATCCACTTACAATGCTACAAATATTCTTTTTGGAGCAGAAAGGAATCTTTTTCGCACCTTGTCTAACTACCCAAAGTTTTTCAGACTGGTTTTTCTTTGCTATGTTATTAAAAGCTAAAGCTATAGAATCAATTTGCACTTCGCTTAGTTAGAATGTGATGATTGAAATGAGCCAATGTATTTTCTTCCATTGCCCCTTGAAGGCTGGTCGCTGATAAAATCTTGGTCCAAATAACATTGACTCTAAGCTATTTTGTATTATTTATAATACCTATAAAATGCTTATTCAAGAAGTATGTGTGCAACTTGTTGCTGTCGTGTACTTTTGATATGTAAATTCATGCCTTAAAGGGATACAGAATTCAAGTGTTTAATCTTGTGCATCTACGAAGTAGTAGTCAAGTATGGTAAGACTACTGAGGACCTAATGCTAGCATTATATAATTTCAGAAAAAGTAGTAGGTTCTTTGATATGAACTTTCATTGAGCGAGTGAGTGAACTGGCATATTTCATTCTTTGTTTTTCTCAAGACCTGGCAGTATCTTCATATGCCCTTGCAGGTGTAAATATGGCGATGCATTTGTAAGCTTAACGAGGTCTTGTAGATGACGTTTCAGTTGGCGGTCGTCTGTGCTGTCCAAATAACTGGTACTATAAGAGCACATAAATGTAGAAATACTCGGAGTTGTGGTTTTGAACGTAGTTTCAGGAGACCGTCGATAGAATTTTGTATGATTGGATCATTAGTATTGATTGCAAGAGCGGAAAGTTGGGATCAGGGAAGGAACGTTTACAATAAGGATAGAAATGTTAGGAAGCAATAAATAGATTTTGTTCTGTCCAATTCTTCCAAGTTTAAGTTGTTTTATATTAATAAATTCTTATCGCGATGTGTAACATAAATATCAATCAAAGTAGTGTGTATGCTTATTTTACATTTCTTTTTCGTGAATAAATAGGCTCTCTTTTGGTTATTAAGAGCTAATATCCACTTTACTTGTCCTAAAAATGCCCATTTGTCTGAATCCTTTTATCTTCAATTGGAACAATGGATTGAATCGTTGGAGTGGAACACAAAACACGGGCGACAAGATGCTTTAAAGAATCAAGATGGTGATAATATAGATTCAACTAGTATCGGAGAAGCAGTGAGTTTAGTTTTGAGACGCTAATCTCCTTATTATGTAGTCGATTACCATTGGAGTGTTGTTTACATTTGAATACAGAAAGTGTTTTAAACAATAATCGTGGAGTATATAAAATATAGCTGATTATGGTATCTGCGATGCGGGTCGTTTCATCCTATTTGTGACTTGTTAGCTGCGTTTACTCGCTTTCTAGAGTTAATATTCACTATGGGGTTCGAACCCAGTACCTTTCACTTCAAACGACAACACGTTATCCACTTAGCTATTAAGTTCAGTTAGGCACTCACTTGTGTAATAAGCATGAATTTTCATGTAATTTTTAGTGGTTTGGATTATCACAACTAGTGACAACCAGGGTATGTAATTTGAAGACATATCATTCACAAATCTATATAATATTTTAAAAACGATAGTCTATTGCCATTAGTTTAATTAAAACAAACTACTTATTCGGTTGTTTGAATCTATTGAAGTTTTACAGACAGACATGTTCAATAGCCTTCAGTGAAGTTATCACATAACCATTTATCTTTTCAGTTTTTAATGTGTGAATTCTTCTAATCGGCAGTTGTTTAGTTGATACAAATGATGTAAAGTCCCATCAAGGTACATTATCATATATCATTGGTAATTTAGAACGCTGTGAAAGATTTACTCATGCCAATGAAGGTCAAGATGTAAAAACCACTCTAAAATTAGGTGATTTCCCTTAAACTGTTTCTTACTTCAAAAAAGCCAAATTATGTCTTAATAATACCAGTTTAATTGATTTTCACTCCTTAAATTATGTCTACATAATGCTATTTATTCTATTGTATAAAAATAATAAATAAGTATATGGTTATTACGTTGTATTAATATTTTGTGAGAAACTTATAAACCTGGTTGGATATATATCACAGAACGTCTTCGTAAAATATGAAAGCCATACATTAAATACATCATTTGTACATCGTCCATCAGTTGTCTTTTACATACTTCATAATTCTTCCAATTCTGTTTTTACTCCAATTGCAATCTGTTCCCCTTCTTGTTCTTCTCAATCTAGCCTTCTTTTGACAGGCTTTCCACTTCAGACTGCTGCTACATACTACTTATATCTGTCAGCATAAGTGGCATGAATCACAATACTACGGGGTTGCCGAAATTGAAGTTAGTAGAGTGTTGTTCGAACCTGTGCCTTGAAAGCTGAAAGCTGACAGCTTAACTGCTAGGCCACCGCTTCACAAAAGGGCTAGTTCAGGATGGAACTATTAAGTGTACACAGTAAGCACCTTTGTATATATCTCAGTATTTTGCGAACTTAACGAGAATACCTTTCCATTCAAATATGCTTGCCACATACTGTTGTATTTGAATATTCAATGCATGAGAATGATGGTACGATCATCTTATGCTGATGTTCGTTAGAGTGATCTGCTTAGCAGTCAGAAATATTTCTACTTATGTCCTACTTATCGAATGTTTTCAGCCGTATATTATAGTTTCTGTCGTTTATCCAAAAGTCACACTACAGTATAATAATATTAACAAGTAAAATACTTAACCTCTTTAATTTATAGACTATTTGTGTTGTTTTTATTTGTTGTCCCTTAAAAATAGCCTGATGAAATCTTACTGATTAACTGCTCGAGTTCTTACATTGGTCAGTCTAACCACTGGAGTTTATCTGGATATTTACGAAGAATTCGCATTACTTGGAAGCTGAGAAATGAAACAGAAGTTACAGATCTTACGACAATTACAAATACATCACTGTCGAGTACTTCTTCCTCTTCTGTTATCTTTTTGAATACAAGTTTCAGTGACTCTTCACTTTCATCAAAATCCCACTTAAACAATCTGAATGATCAACATTTTCTTTCCAGATCAGGCATTAAATTCCTTGTGCGTATCTCTTCACATATGCTATTTGTAGGAAATTTCTCTATGGAACGCCGTATGTTACTTGATATTTTTCGGTTTTAATCAACTGTTTTTTTCATTTTTAGTTATATTTAGTAGACATCACATCAAAACCCCTCAGGTAGACTGATGTTGTTTCTGCATAATTCATATAAGTGAATATATACAATCTGATATAATTTTAATACAGTTATTTTCTTGTTAACTATTAGATTTATACCAAATCCCCCATTAATGAACTGTAAATTTCTTAGAAGGTGGATTAAAATGTAGACAAAATAAAAATCTTAGACATAGTCCTCTCTTTCTCTCTCCCCATGATGTATCTACGGTATAGGTACAAGTCTGCAAAGGTAGCTGTGATGACCTTGCCATTCTGAAATCGCTTTTCTTTCATCGAATGAGAAAAAGTTACGATTTAGTAAAAAAACATATTTCGCTACAGAAATTATGAAATATGTTAGTGGTTTCGAAAAGTATATTAATTCCCCAACGGTCAGATCAATATTTCAAAATAGTTTTCATTAAAATATCGCTAAGTAACGTCATTTGTATGAATGCGAGTATATCCATGTTAAATGTTTTTTTTCCAAATCCTACCAATAAGTGGTTTTTAGTAAAAGGTTGTGGAGATTGTTGAATTTCAGTGAAATCTCGAACCGATCTAAGTTAGACCACCATTAAAATCTTTGAAGTACTGAACGGCCGTTTCTTTGTGGTATTGAACTCCTCAGCAGTGCACATCCACTAACCCACTGTGGTAATCAAACCCAACACCCTTGATCTCGCGCGCAAATGCTTAACCTTTAGACTCTTGAGCCGTTATTCAACATTATCATTGTCTAACTTCAACTAATAAATAGTTTTATAGGAATTTTTATCATCGTTCAATAAATTTACTGATGAAGTTATAAAAAGGTGATATGTATAAGTCATGCATATTTTACACAGATTCATTCCCACCAATTTGTTTCCCGGTTAATGAATCACTAATCAAGTGACTTGTTTAAGTTTACTTACAATAAACAAAGTAGAGTACAATAAAGAAAAACCCATTGATTTACATGTTATATACAGTCTATATAGAAAGATATAGGCATATAACATGTACACACTGTCATTCTCATTTTTTTATGTAGAAAAGAAAGGATTCTTTTTCTATGTAATGTAAATAAATACAAAAGTTATGGTATATGGACGAGTCAATATACCATTAAGAATGAAATATTTGATTTTTTCTTTAATATTCAAATATTACTTATAGCAAGGAGTAGAAATACCTTTTTATATACTGTTTGAAATAAACAAATATGGATAGTAGCTAGCAGTGGAATCCAGGATGCGCGTTTTGTCTTATTTGGGACTCGTCGGCTGGATGTACATACATCTCAGAATTGATGTTCACTCTGGGTCTCGCTTCAACGTTACTGGTTCCTGATAGCCACTTGCTTGTGCAATGGGGTGAAGTTTACATTCACTTGGTATTGTTTATTATTATTATCTTTACTTATAATGCTTGTGAATTAAGGCTATATCGAGGCAATACGCATAGTATTCACATATACCAATAAGAGACTGATCAACTGCAGTCTAAAAGTCAATGGAAAGATTCAAGTAAACAATACCAAGTGAATTTCCTAGTATACACCCTTTTACACCTTTGTACAACACCATAAAAGTCGAGTTAAGATCCATCCTATGACCTGTTTCAAGTATGTATTTGGCAATAGAGGATGATGGATATTTATCCTCTACTCTTATAGGGTCATTTGATTCTATTTGTCTGTGCAACCATTTAGGTACATGTTCATACACCCTAATTTTGTGATCGCATTTACTCCTCTCTATTTATATGTGGCCGCACACACATACACAATTATATTCCTAAATACAGTGAGATGTGACGAGATCGTTTTTATGTCTCTTAGGTGTTCGATGAAGTGTAGACCTTGTTCTGTACTGTCTGAAATGTTTCAAATGATGTCGAAAAATTATTTTTTGTCATCATACATTAAAAAATGTTATCTTAAATGTGTTAAATACTCAATTCTTTCTCAGTAGGTTGTATATATCAGACAAATCGATACTATTTATTAACTACATTCATAAATTCCTAATCCTAAAACTAATTTTCACTTAGTGATACACTACATTTTATGGATGAACTAATCAGTTAGCATCTCTGACATTTTTTGCGCGAAATTTGTTCATCCATATGGTTACAAAGCATTTTTACATTATAAGTGATGTTGATTTGTGATGAAAACTTTAACCTTAAACCCCTAATCCTTACTTTAAATCCTTTGTCCTAACTAGGAACAATGTAGGGACTTAGAATTTTGTTATTTTTCTTTGCATGCTCTAAGGTCATGCTTGCAACAATATATAAACAATGGAGCAGTAGCTTACTGGTTAAGGCGTTTGACTTTCAAACACTAAGTCATAGATTCGAAAATCATTCCATCTACTTCGGTTTGGACAGCTGCGTTGCAGTATCCCACTTGATATGTGGCTCATATTCAAGTACCTGGAGAATAAGTTAATTTGACTAATATAATATAAACAGATTTGTCCTACTACAGTTTTGAATAAACTTATGAAAGTTCCGTTTACAATAGTGCAGAATCATACCGTCTAACCAAGTAGAATAAAGAAGGGGACTTCAAGGAAATGGGAGATTTATTAGTGTAGAGGGACCTTTATCTAACTATATGAAACTCAGGATATTGACCATGAGCTGGGAATTTCGGCAAAAAAACGAGATGGATTACTAACACCAGCACTTAAGTATGAATGCGGTAATGAAATGACGGTGCATGAATGTAGAAAACATAAAATGGTGTGATCTTTCACTGCAATGTTCGCTGAGGTTAAAATTATTGCTTAGTGTTGGAATCACAGTAAAACTTTGTGTCAAAGGTCAGGATTATGATTGAATTAAGACTATAGTTAAAATTATGTTAATAGTTCGGAATAGGGGTTAAGACTGAGGTTAGTTTTATCAAATTAAGTCTAGATCCTAATCTTTAATCGTAACTCTAATCGTATACTCTAGCAGTTCAGAATCAATATCAAGCGAAGTTAATCAGTCATGTTCAAAGAATATTCTTTCTGTAAATTCTTTGACTTGGTATTGTAGCTCGTTTCTGATTGGCTAGGATGAGTGATTTTCACAAGGTCATTCGCTAGTATAGTTTAACAACTACAATCCAATCTCCCCTTGATTCACGTACGAATTATGTGGACTGAAGTGTAATAATGTATAAACCATCTGATCTTTCTAGTTCTTGTAGATCCCATTTCTTATTTAGGGGATCTTCCTCACGTTTTTTTAAATTTGGAACTACACTTTAGATTATCTATCCCAAATCACAACAGTTACAATCATTCACAATCATGTATTTCAATCGTAAATTTTAGAGAAAGCACTATGTGAATTTTTCTCTGGATTTTGGTGTCTTCAATCTTTTTCTACTTCTAATACTGCGTCAACTAATCATTATCACCAGGACAACCAAAGTACTCTTATATCACCACTAACACCATTACCCAATCAATATAATATCTTGTCAAGTAAACATCCTATTGTGTTCAAGCTACAATGCTGTGTGATAACCTTCCAGATTGTGATTTGAGAGTGCCTATGAATGAAGTTAATTTATCACAGGATGAAGCAAACTGTAATATGATCCCATTAAATTATTCCCTGAAAACATCTAAATTATGTAAGTTACTATTTTGTTTTGTTTTACCAGTGTAGAGTTATAAATGAAACATTACGTGCATACATGTTCACCTCATAAGTGAATTCATTGGTTTTATTTTGATAACTAGTGATACAGTATAATTCTCTTGGCTAAATCAGCTAAATAGGTTCGAACATATAATCTGATACTCATCAGTTATTTGGTTAATTCATAGTTTGATCAGCGTTGTAGTTGTTTCATGTGATGAAAGGGTGTTTGTTTGTGAAGAAAGCAGGTGGTCTTGAGTCATGTCACAAGTATTCCGGCGTTTCCCTACACCATGATAAAGTACTTCTATGGGTACCTTGAAACGAGACTGGATTAGGATTGGTTATGATGAGTTGGGATTGTGATTGCAGTAATCTAGGGATAACGAGTTATCTGTATTCATCCGTTGACCAGTCACGGCTTGCTTTCACCTGACACACCTAATATCTGTTCTTTGGCATCTTTTTCAACTACGGTAACAATGAAAAAGTCACATATCTTCATAATTCTTCTTATTGTGATGAAACCAGGTTACACACAGGGAAACATATGTTAGTACTCATTTTTTGTGGATTATTTTTTTCTGGTTAGCGTCTTTTTAGCAAGTTCGTTTTCTACAGGATGGGGTCGCTAACCCTATACCCAACTCTCCTCCTTTACCCGGGCTTGGGACCGGCAGTAACTCTAGAAGAGGTAAGATCATGTGTAGTATTCATTTTTTGACAGGGGAAGGTATATAGACGAATTTAAACATTTTAGCTAATCAGAAAATTGTTGGGCTACGAAGTAATTCCTATTAAAATAGTTATAAAATTACAAACGATTAAAAACTTGGGCATCATTAATAAACACTTATGTGTGAATTATTACTTATAGTAAATGAAAATGTGTTGAAATTACGGGCGAATAAAAATATTTCCATTTACCACAATATACTACTGTTATACAATAATACAACCTGATACGAGATTATACTACCTCTATACTGAATACTCGGTCGATAAGCTATACACAGACTGGAATCACGTTATATCAGATAATTGATTTGCGACTGAATCTAGTGAACTAGAGTAATAGATCAAACAAGAGATTTATTCGACACAAACACTAGTGCTTCATGCACAGTGAATCCCGAGTAGCAAAAGATGATAGAAGAGAATTCATATGTTAACTATTTAGTAAGCCGAATGTCAGTCTGTCGCCTTTCGCTAGCCAATCACATCTTACTATTCCATATAAGACATGTCGTAAGATTTTCATTGCCATGTGACATCGGCTATAATGTAACGATGCTTTATGTACATGGATGAATGAATTCCGTGCACATATCCACAGGGGACTATTTTACCTCTGTTTTTTTACGTCCATAAAGTATAGCACCAAGAATTTTGTTTATCCGTTGTAAGTTTCAAGTGTATTTAGTTTCAACTGTTTCTTCCCTTAAAATTTCCCATCATCATTCCAGCTTCTAAATAACAAAATATTGATAAACATTCCTCAGTTTCTATATAACTCTCAACAAGTTAAAAGCTAACCGTTATGGCGTCGCGAATTTCGCGCTAAATTCTTGATGACTGCCATCTTAAGTCTGATTGGTTCGTCCATATACTTTATTCCTACCACTATTATTATTATTATTATTTCTATGCGTGTAAATGAATGGTACTTTAAATATTTGTAATATTTATTGTGAAATGAATGTTTATAAATTGGTATTTCTTTTTCATGCTCTACACACATGTTTGTGAACCCGTCAGCTAAAGACGATCATTGGATATCTAAATTACCATGGATAGGTAAGCATGAAACTTCTGTTATTGTAATCCTTCTTTATGTTTCCTAGAAAAAAGATAAACCTCTCAAGATGTTTCATCACTACGTTAGGCTTTGTTTCTGTTCTAGATATATTGAAACTAGGCTACTCCCTCATTAAGCCTAGCTTCGGTCGCATAATTTTTACTTTAGATAACAATTTAATCTATATTCAGTTTTTTCTTGAGATAGCGGAGATGATTTGTAGATCAGTTGAGTTATTTCGCCAGCAACAACCCTAAGAACTTACAAAATCAACTGTATACAAATTTTATGCAAAAGGACGAGAACACATTACAGTACATTTACAGTGCAGAATAATGAGGAAGAATATCTAATAACTATCTTTTAAAATAAGGGATATTCACTCGTCTTCATCAGAAAATATCAATCCAACTCATCAGCAGAAATGAAATGAAATACAGAAACCAACAAACGGATCATCCTATTTTATGTTGAAAGCATATCAGAAATTAAAACGAGATTGTTGGAGCCGTTTGGAATAGGTTTGCAGTGAACGTACACTAAGGTGGGGAAGACTAGTTCACTGTTTAATGCTAAATTAGTGTCTTAGTAAAATATGAAAACCATATAGTACATACTTCGTTTGCACATCTTTCATCAGTTGTCTCTTACAAACTTCATCGTTCCTTCATTAATGTTGTTATTACAATTAAACTCTGTTCACATTCCTGTTCTCCTCAATTCCATATTGTCAATATTCTACTACCAGGCATTCTACTCCAGATTTGTGTTACATACTACTTTTATCTGTCAATATAAGTAGCGTTACACCACATGGGTAACACATGAACCGGGGGAAACACGTCAATCAATATTATGAAATCATAAGGATGGAATGAAAAAAAGAAAACAAACAAACATCATCAACAAAATAAACGGTTCCATTTGTGAGAAACACTACATCGGACAAAATAGACTCCTTTTCATCTACGCTTGCATGAACATCAATTAGCGATCAAATGCCGTGACATATCTTTCCTTATATTAATACATGTGCACAATTATGGACACACATTCGATTTAAAAAAATTATCGAAATCTTGAATAGAAGAATACTAAGATCTGAGAATTTTTAGAGTCTTGGAAATCAAGTCAACCAACAATCAATAAACACATCAAAGTCGATAAAATCTATCAACCAATCAGAGAAAAATCATGGACAAATGTAGGACAAGTAGGAGATTCAATAAAAACAAAAATACAAACAGTTACAGATTAAATGTTACTTACTTACGCCTGTTACTCTTAATGGAGCATAGGCCGCCGACCAGCATTCTCCAACCCACTCTGTCCTGGGCCTTCTTTTCTAGTTCCATCAATTCTTGTTCATTTTTCTCATGTTTATCTCCATTTCCCGGCGTAATGTGTTCTTTGGTTCGCCTGGAGCACCTCCGAGGGCTACTGCCGGTCCCAAGCCCGGGTAAAGGTGAAGAGATGGGCATGGGGTTAGCGACTCCATCCCGTAGAAAACTATCTCGCTAAAAAAACGCTAACCAGAAAAAAATTATTCAAACAGATTAAATGTCAACACTAACTAATCAAGTTCGAGGTCGACAAGATAAAATGTTAGTCACATGTGAAGAAACTCGAATACCTCACTTATACCATAAGTTTATTTGCCTATGATGTTGTAATTCAGTAAAGTAATGTAAGCTGCTTCATTATTAAACTATCCAGATAAGCGAAACGAAACTCCATCAAAATTAGTCCTTTTGTTTAGGAAGTTGAAATTAAATATTTTCACATGTAGAAAAAAACTTATTGATTGTTACATCCTTTTGCAAATCGATCATGATAGCTTGTTGTATTACTATGATAATAAATATGGACTAAAATCGTATCTAGTTGAAATGTGTCAATAGTTCTGCTTGTAAAACTTGCTAGATGGATATATCAACAAATGGCAGCAATTCGGTGTTTATTTATTTGATTGGGACTGTAATCTAGGATTCGGTAACAAAGTAGATGAAAAAAGTAGGTGAAAATTACAGAAAAAACCCCGAAATATTAGTGATAATAATAATAGTCTAGGAGGATTTGTGGAGACTATAGATTTTTCGTAGTTTAAATCAAGAACTGATCCTAGCTAGATCACCATGGGGAACCTGTAAACACTGAACCACAGTTTTGTTATATCATGGGACCCCTTAGTTCATGATTTAAAACTACAAAATTCCTACTTTCTCCACCAACCCCTTTATTATACTAATAATAGTTATGTGCTGATTAGTGACTAGGTTCATGATGGAACTCCTGGAGTTCAAGTGCAGTCCAATCAGTGTCGAGTGTGAGACAGTTATCCATCTCAGCCAGTGGATGAAGGTTGCGCAACTTCGTAAATTGATTGAGGTTAGACTTGTACACCATTGCACGCTTATGTTATTAGACATAGGGCAGACATTTCAACTTACGTCCCTATTGGATATACTTGCAGAAAAAGCTACACAAACTGCGACTCGTGGGATTCATATACACATCGGGCAACCCACAAGATTTAGTGAGCCTCGAAGTTGGAACTCGAGTAGTCCACATTACAATAGAATGTGGGATCATTAATAGCAAAGATGGATAGTGGCTAGCAGTGGAATCCAGGACGCGCGTTTCGTCCTGTTTGGGACTCGTCAGCTGGATATACCTGCATCTCAGAATTGATGTCCACTCCGGGACTCGAACTCAGTACCGTTCGCTTCAAACGCCATCGCGTTATCCACTTAGCTACTGACTCCTGATAGCCACTTGCTAGCCACTATCCATCTTTGCTTATAATGCTTGTAAATTAAGGCAACTGGAATATTCAGTGCTATTTATAAGGAGTATTATTCTTCTCATATTAGAATAAACCTAAATCCTATATAACAATGGACACAGTTTGACTTTAACCACACATACATACAAGTAATGTTTACGTGATGAGCAGTAGATTTAACGTCCAATTATAATTCACTGATGATCTACCAAGGGATCGTGGCAACTTTGTTGTTCTACTGCAGCATTAATTTGGATGTTCAGGTTGCAAATAACATGGATAGTGCCTGATTTTGTCGTAATTAATATGAAATTAACAAATCAAAATATATATAGTTACAATTGGAAATATAAAGCTATGGATCACTGATTAAATATGTTCGACTTTTAACTACTAAGTCATTTATCTGAACTTCATCTATTTTGATAACTGAGTGGGGTATCATCACGTCTAACACTTGAACTGTACATAAAGAGTCCACCTAAAGGACTTGGGAAACCCTGATTCTAAACCAGTGGTGCATATGGGCTCCTGGATCCTAAGGAAACAAATGGCGTATGAACCAATCGTTGGTCACCGGCTACCATGGGACTGCATCTCCTGATGTTGCTCCACTGCCTTGTGGATCAGACCTTAAGGTCGAAGGCTCCGGGGTGTGCCCGCTAAGAAAACCACCTGCTTCGGTTTGGGCACCTGAACAGTATCCCAGCCTCCACACAAGTCGAATGATTTATGTGTAGCATATCTGCTCAGCGCCTCTTTGTACCGATGTTTATGTGTTTAAATAAATAAATAAAAATAAACACATGGAGTATATGTAAAAATTAAGTACTTGAATATGTACCTGATTAGTGCGTTGGTATGAATCACAGTTATAAATAGGAATTCTTCGTTGCTTTTTTTTAACCGAATGAATTTATTTCTGGTTATTTTTTATCTTTTGTTTCATTCAAGAACCTGTTTTTCTTTTTACTCTTCTAACCAAACTAGTTCTTGCACCGGTACCTGCTATATTAATCTGTGCTCTAATACGTATATGTTCACAGAAACGTCAATTAGACATGATTGAAGATAATAATAATCATCATCATTATAATTTTAATATAAATAATCTTAATGAATGTTCAACAGTAATATCCAGTTCCACAACAGCAACAACAACTACTACAAATCATTGTGATAAATGTTTACATATAAAATACAAAAAATTACCTAGTAATTATTTTATAATTAAACGTAAATTACACAATTATCGAGGAAGTATACCGGGACTATTGAATCGAATAAATAAATTATCTAGTGTTATTGAAGTTGATGATGAAATTGATCCCAATATAGATCAACAAGTGAATATATTGAAAATGAAACCATTGAATAATACTACTACTACTAATAATAATAATAATGTTAAAACAAAATTGGCAAATAATCCAAATCATTGTGATAATTCATTACAACATTGTTATTCCTTACCTGAATTTACTATAAAACATGATGATAATGATGATGATAAATTCAATAGTGATTTGATGTGTTATAGTGTTAACAATGTGATTATTTCCAATCGAAATTTTCATGCAATCAGTACTTGTTCAAGTCGTGAAGCAAGTTTCGATGATGATGATGATAATGATGACAGGATTAATATCAATCAACATCTTATTACACATTATCAATCGATAGAAGCATTTAATAAAAGCAAAAGTTGTGATAGTCTACATGAAATAAGTACACAAAATGAAAGAATGAATTATTTATCGATTTCTCCTTGTTCTTCCACTTCATCATCAATAGATCGTCATAATGATGAGAATAAAAGGAATCATGTAGTAGGTTTTCTTTTTACTTTCTATTCATTGTATTTTATGTTTTAAGGGAGTTTTACAAAATTAATGCCGAAACGATACTGATAAGGTTTAAAATAGGTGAATGGTGACTAACTGTAAAATCTAGGAAACACGTTTTATCCTATTTAAAACTAATCAGAGGAAAGTACCGTTATCCCCAGTACCTTTACACTGAAAATATCATATTCGTTTTTTCTTTACAACAGAAACAGTATATGGTACGATGATTCTGTATTATTGCTCAGATTTCTCTGCTATGTCAGCTATTATCCTTTGATCTTATTTAACTAATACTGAATTAATTAGATACCTAGTATTTATTTGTTTAAACACAAACATTGTCAGAAGGGGTTTTGTGGAGATTTTAGTAATTTCAATACTTGAAATCATGAGTCTATTGAAGCTATACCACCATGGAAAACCTGAGAGCACTGGACGGCCGTTTCGTCCTAGTGTAGGACTACTCAGCTATACGCATCCACGATCCCGCCCCCGCGAGATTCGAACCCAGGACCTATCAATCTCGCGCGCGAGCGCTTAACCATTAGACCACTGAGCCGGCATCTAACGATATCTAACCTCAACTGATCCACGAAATTACGCCACATAAACATTGGTTCAAGGCTGCACCAAACATATATGCACCACACAGTGACAAAGAGGTTGTGATGATATAGAGAGTGTAAAGTGAGTATAATAAACGAAAATTAACAACGAACAGAAATTAGTGTATTAGAGTGAAATAATAATAATAATGGTAATAATAATAATACAAACAGTTGAGTTAGGAAAATACAACCAGAAATTATTCTTTCTGTAAAAGAAGTTACTTTTACTTTGATGAAGAAAGTGACAGCAGGATCACCACTGACTTCTATTCCGAGTCATATTTGCAAACATCTCAAGAGGGCAAACAGAAACACGAAGGTAGTAATCGTCCTACAAGCACAAACTTCCTTCTCACACATGTGCACACACACAGACACACACGAGTAAGACATTAAATGTAGATCGCAGTAATAATTATTAACCGAATGAAGAATAGGGAAATGTAAATTTAACAAAGACCTAATACCAAAGTTACTCAATACTTATTTGATATATTGTGGGGACTAAACAGGCCGATGCTTTCAGCTTTTTAATGGTGGCCTAATTGCGATGGATTCATGATTTCAACGATAACTAATTAGTAGGACAGAGGTACATTGAAAATTAGTTACTAAGATTACCAAACAGGTTACGTAAGATTAGAATTCGAAATGTCAACAGAATCGGAATTTGAAAAAAATTAAACGACTTGAAAGGTTCTGAAACATGTAATAATATCGAAGCTGAAGTTCAGGGTAGATTCAAAGGCTGTTTATACTTTTTCTGTATATAGAGGTTAAGCTTTTTGATGTGTATTCTTATGGCTTCTGCTATATGTAAGAGTCAGATTCAGGAACCATAAGGTAAATTTGATGGAATTTCACAAATAACCTTCAAATATGAAGTTTTATCTTCGTGATGACCAATATCGACTAGATAAGTCATGATAGAGCTTCTCATTAATTTCTTTTCTCCTTCGGTCAACTATGAGAGGTGATGTTTAGAAATACGATGATTCATTGATCTCATTACGCATCTTGTATTTGATCCAACTTACTTTAAGTTCATAGAGATGATAATTCATTTTTACAACTAGAAGATTATACAAATTTAACCGATTTACTTCTGATCTAAGCTTCCAACAATGATGAACTAAGTCAAAATGTAGTAACACTGTATGGATTTATTAGTCACAGCTTCTCAACATGATGTTAATGATCTTAGTAATAAAAAAATAGCATTTAGCTTTTCATTACCGTAGAGTTACCTAACATGTCATGAAGCCAAAATTTAAACTTTCGAATAATCATTGTGTCACATGATCGTCTGATTCTGATGCTGAATACAAAACCTACTCAAATCAACTACTCCAGTAAGAAAACAAGAAGTTTTATTAATTAAAATCAAATCAAGCATACATCTATCTCACTGATTAAAATCATGAGTCAATTGAAGCTAGACCACCATGGAAAACCTGCAACCACTGGACGGCCGTTTCGCCCTAGTATGGGACTCTTCGGCAGTGCGCATCCACGATACCGCACCCCGTGAGATTCGAACCCAGGACCTATCAATCTCGCGCCAGGCGCTTAACCAACTAGACCACTGATTCGGCATCCAACGGTGTTAATGTCTAACTTCAACCAATCCACAGAATTGCGCCACCGTACACCATTGTCTTCAGTGAGTTAATATCTCACAACAGACCTGGTTGAACTCCACTGGTAACGGCTTCACACTGGAACTACAGGAGTATCTCTTGAAGTCAGTCATTAGTGAGCAGATGACATCTATCTATCTTAAAATCTTGAGCTATATTTTTAACCGATAATGGCGTTTGTTTGCTCATCATTTGGCCTGTTTAGTCCTCACAATATATCAAATAAGTATTGAGTAACTTTGGTATTAGGTCTTTGTTAAATTTACATTTCCCTATTCTTCATTCGGTTAATAATTATTACTGCGATCTACATTTAATGTCTTACTCGTGTGTGTCTGTGTGTGTGCACATGTGTGAGAAGGAAGTTTGTGCTTGTAGGACGATTACTACCTTCGTGTTTCTGTTTGCCCTCTTGAGATGTTTGCAAATATGACTCGGAATAGAAGTCAGTGGTGATCCTGCTGTCACTTTCTTCATCAAAGTAAAAGTAACTTCTTTTACAGAAAGAATAATTTCTGGTTGTATTTTCCTAACTCAACTGTTTGTATTATTATTATTATCTCACTTACTTACACCTGTTACTCCCAATGGAGCATAGGCCACAGACCAGCATTCTCCAGCTTAATCTGTCCTCTGCCATCCTTTCTAGTTCTATCCAATTGTTCTTCATACTTCTCATATCTGTCTCCATTTCTCGACGTAATGTGTTATTTGGTCTTCCTTTTTTCCTTTGGTCCTGAGGATTCCATGTGAGGGCTTGGCCTTGTGACGCAGTTGGGTGCTTTCCTCAATGTGTGTCCTATCCACTTCTAGCGCTTCTTCCTAATTTCTTCCTCTGCTGGGATCTGGTTTGTTCTTTCTCACAGTAGGTTGTTGCTGATAGTGTCTGGCCAACGGATCCGAAGTATTTTGCGTAAACAACTGTCAATAAACACCTGTATCTTCTGGATGATGACTTTCGTAGTTCTCCAAGTTTTCGCCCCATACAGTAAAGCTATCTTTACATTTGTGTTGAAAATTCTGATTTTGGTGTTGGTTGACAGACAGTTGTTTTGAGTTCTATATGTTCTTCAGTTGTGGATATGCTGCTCTAGCTTTTCCGATCCGCGCCTTCATATCTGCATCAGATTCACCGTCTTATTTCACTCTCTTACACTAATTTCTGTTCGTTATTACTCTTCTTCTGTATATATTCACCTTTGTTTTAACTATCTCTTCGCAACCTCATTGTATTTGATGTCGCTCCCCCCATGTACGAATGTTTATGTGTTCAAATAAATAAATAAATAATCTAAATTAGTGATAGTATAAATAATACCTTTTCATCTTCTTGATAGGATATATTTAGGTTAGTTGAACAATATTATTATTATTATTTTTTTCTTTCTATATCCTATTTTCTTTTTTAATGAGAAGATTTTATCTGATTCCCCCAGTGACAACAATAGTCAATTCATCATACAAAAATTTCCTAAAACAATCATAATATCCAATCAATATTCTAATAATGAATCATTATCAAATTTCAAATTGAATATGAGCGCTCAATATAATAATCAATATCATGATCATGATGATGATGATGATGGTAGTTGTGGTGGTGTAATAGAATATGATTATTATAATCAATATCAATCAAGAAATCATTCATTATCTGATTCAACAACATGTAATTCTCAACAGAAATTCAATGATTTACCATTGAATTATACTTCATCTTTGAATACATTCGATGAAATACCAAGAAAACTTTCAACATTGACAAAATGTATAAAGCATATTCATCAATTCATGAATTCTTCATTTACACTTGGTAATTATTTAAAAAATAAACATGTATATAATAGTCAAACAAAATTATTAATGATGGAATCGAAGTATAATATATATCATAATAGAAGTGAGTGAATAATTTAAAATTATATTGTAAATAATATATTAAATTAATTAATGACTCAAGATTTGAGAGAAACTTACATACATACTTACTTACGCCTGTTACTCCTCGTGGAAGGAACATAAGCCGCCCACCAGCATTCTCCATCCAACCCTATCCTGGGCAATTCTTTCCAGCTCCTCTCAGTTCATATTCATCCTTTTCATATTTGCTTCTATTTCTTGACGTAATGTGCTCATTGGCCTTCCTCTTTTCCGCCTTCCTTCCGGATTACAAGTTAGGGCTTGCCTCGTGATGGAGTTTGACGACTTGAGTAATGTATGTCCTATCCATTTCCATCGTCTTTCCCTAATTTCTTTAGTTGGAATCTGGTTTATTCTCTCACACAGTGGGCTGTTACTGATGGTATACGGTCAATGGATGTTGAGTATCTTGAGTAGACAACCATTTATAAATACCTGTACTTTCTTGATGATTGTTGTGGTAGGTCTCCAAGTTTCAGCTCCGTACAATAGAACTGCCTTGACATTCGTATTGAAGATTCCGCCTGTAGCTCTTCTAGAGTTACTGCCGGTCCCAAGCCCGGGTAAAGGGGGAGGGTTGGTCATGGTGTTAGCGTCCCCATCCCGTAGAAAACTAACTCGCTAAAAAAACGCTTACCAGAAAAAATACTTTGAGAGAAAGTATGGAATATTTTAGTTGGGGTCCCTTTATTTTGTCGTCATTTGAGATCGCATGATGTTGTTGATCAGCTCACCACTTTAGTGGCTTGGGATCTGACTCCAAGTAGATGGTATGGATGATTGTTAGTCGCGACCCGGATAGCTTAGTGGTAACGTCTCTGACTGTGAAGCTAGGTGACACAGGATCGAATCCGCCAGGGAGCACCAGTTCCCTCAAGATTACAGGTACACCTTGCTGACGAGTGCCAAGTAGCACGAAACCCGGGTCCAAGGTTTCCTGTCGACTACCTCCAGCCGCCACCTAATATATATATCTCGCCTATCCTCTTATGTAGTCATCGACTTAAATTGTGTTAGTCAATAACGGAATTAAATAAGTCAAATAACGAGAATGGACTTTTGAATACATATATTTTTTGTATATGGAGCGAATGGAGTAGAGAGAAGTGAAATGACGCGCAGTGGAGATGGTGGGTAAGCCAACTCCCCTTTAGTCAAGCGTTAATCAATATTTATAGTCACACATAAATAGGTTACAGATATGTGATGAATAGGATAAGAAATGTTCACACATATATGCGCTCATATAAAAACACTCAAGATTGGTAAGCGAATAATTAACAAGGTCAAAATATGACTGAGTAGATTGGCCTGTTCGAAAGCCAGAATAAGATATATATGAGCTTAACGTGTCAACCAACACTACAATATAATGGACAGCTCAAACCAATTAGACGATTTGGACTTTGCAGATGACCTAGTTCTTCTATCCTACACACATGAACAAATGCAGATGAAGACAACTAGTGTAATAGCGGTCTCTGCATCAGTAGACCTCAACATACACAAAGGAAAAAGAAAGGTCCTCAAGTAAAACACGGAGGACACCAAGCCAATCACACTTGATGGCGAAACTCTGGAAGATGTAGAATCTTTCATGTATCTGGGATGTATCATCGATGAACAAGGAGGATCGGATGCAGGCTTAAAGACTAGAATTGGCAAAGCAAGGACCGCATTCCTACAGTTAAAAACATATGGAACTCAAAACAACTGTCGACCAATATCAAAGTCATAATCTTCAGTACGAACGTCAAGACAGTTCTACTGTACGGAGCTGAAGCCTGAAGAACTACTACAACCATCATCAAGAAGGTGCAAGTATTTATAAATAGTTGTCTACGCAAGATACACAACATCCATTGGCCGGATACCATCGTTAACTGCCTACTGTGGGAGAGGATAAACCTACTTCCAGATGAAGAGGAAATTAGGAAAAGACGTTGGAAGTAGATAAAAAATACATTACGGAAATCATCAAACTGCATCACGACGAAAGCCCTAACGTGAAATCTTGAAGGTAAGCTGAAAAGAGGAAGGCCAAAGAATACATTACGTTGGGAAATAGAAACAGATATGAAAAGGATGAATAAAAACTGGAAAGGATTGTTGAGGACATGGTTGGGAGTAGAGTGCTGGTGGGTGACCTATGCTCCTCCACGAGGAGTAAAATGCGTAAGTAAGTCATGTTTGCCTTATTTTCTTAGTGCTAATAATCAAATCCTATGGTTTAAGTTGAGTTATGGTTGCTAGTTGAGATGTTAGTGGGTTCAAAGTAGTCGATAAGAAACTCTGAATCATTGGAAGTTTCGTGCTATTTGGTACTTGTCAGCATGTTGTACTATTAGTCGTGGAGGAACTCATATTCTCTGGTAGATTCGGTCTTGTGTTACACAGATTCACAGTAAATATATACGTGCTTTTTGTCATGCTACTGTAATTTTTGCATAAACAATGTGACACAGTTGGACGGGTTTAAACTTTTTTTGTGTTATATGAAAAACCCATCTTAATGGAATCCGGTAAACATCTATGATTTATAGAAGACACCTGAGATAGGGATGAATCTCTATCGACTGATATGGCTTGAACACTATTACATATGCTTGTCCACCTACTATTTCGGTGTGCGATGATAGCTAGTGTAAAAGCAGGTTGGAAGAAAGCCGAGAGTGGACAAATACAAGACACGGCATCAGTCCACAAGGACACTGACCATTAGACTTAGCCATGCAAGTAAGTGCAGATTACGTGGTTGAAGTTCATGTGATTATCGTAAGCAATGGTTAGAGACTTTGAATAACATGACTTAAAATCGTTCACAGTGGCTCATTTGTGTTTAATATTTGTCCTCCTTTAGATCCTAAATTTCTAAATATTCCTCATATTTTTGTTTTACTTCATTGATTTATATTTTCTCGAATAATGTCTTTGATAACTAGTGTTTCCTGTCACTATTAATACTGTTATTATCTCTGCTACTCTGTGATTGGTTTTGACTATTTCGTCTCTCTATGCTTTGGCAACTTGAACTGATCTCCACATATTTCAGGTTCCACGTTCGGTTTGTCTGACTTATGGCGAGCTATACAACAAATGTACTGATCGATTATAAAAAATAATTGTTAACAGTGTTACGAACACTTTCAATGAGAATTTATTTGTTTAAACAAATAAACATTGGTACAAGAAGTCACCAAATAGATATGCGCCACATAAATCACTCGATTTGTGAAAGGGCTAGGATACTGCCCGGGTGCCCAAACCAAAGCAGGTGGTTTTCTTGGGGGGCCACACCCGGAACCTTCGACATAATGGTCTGATCCACAAGACAGTGGAGCAACGTAATGTAGATGCAGTCCCATGGTAGCCAGTGACCAACGATTGGTTCATACGCCATTTGTTCCTTCATGATACTGGAGCCTGTGTGCACCATTGGTTTGGAATGAGGGTTTTCCAATCCCCTTAGGTGGATTCTCCATGTCCACCAACCCGGTTAAAGCGCCGGACATCCGCTTTTCGTCCTCTCAATTTCGTAGATAACACCCTCGCCACGAGAAGCCAATGAGTAGGACTTCCCTCGCAGAGGCTATATACGCGTGTCCATGCGAGAGCATTTCGAGAAAGAGAGCTCTTATGTTTTTAATGATTGTCTAACTTAAATCGATTTGTGATTTCAATAAACAGATACTGTTTTAGTTATTATTATTATTATTAATCCAGTTTATTATTTACACTTTTATTCAACAGATGATTGATTTCCTACAGATAATATTCAACTTCCATCTTTTTATGTCGATAAATGAAAAAAAAAAACTTCGAAACCTAACTTATTTGCATTATTGTACTTATTTTCCTGATGTTTTGAGAATCCTAATTTTTCTCATTAACAACTACTGCTGATGGGTATAGTTATTTCATTGTTTTAACCTTTTTTCGATTATACTCTTTAATCTCACATTATTTTTATTTCAAACATTTCTAAACTTTGTTTTTATATTAGACCTTATGATCAAACCAAATATGAAATTGCATTTAATTCTATTCTCATCATTCTACACAATTCTTCTCAATGTATTTTTTAAAGTTTCTATTGTTGTTGTCGTTTTTTTTCTTCTTTTCTTTTTCTGTATTTTTGTTTACATGTTTATCCTGAATCATTCATATTTTACTGATTTTCTACTTTTATACATAGATACATACATAATATACATGCACATACATACAGACAGACAGACACACACACACATACAACATGTTTCTTTTCTCCAGTTTTGTTATTGTATTATATGATTGATTTCATTTATATCGTTAAGTGTATATTCTCTTGTTACTAGTTAATAAATATGTTCTGTTGTTTTGTTTTTTTTTTGCTTTGAAATGTTCCACACACAAAAAATATTTTGCATGATTAACATTCAGTATTATTTTGTCTATGAAATTAGTTTTAGAAACAAACAAAGTGTGTATCTTATGTTTTATTTACTCCCCTATATACATACAAATTCGAATCGATGTTTTTGTTGTTGTTGTTGAGGTATTGACGAAGAAGAAATCAAAATGCTTACAATATAACTATAGTGATTTATTGTTGAGATTGTATTTAGTTGTGAATTTTTGTTAACGTTCGATTTTCATGGGAAAAATGTTACATACTAATGTATTATTTAGTCTTAGATAGTAGGTGAACATTCGCAAGGTCAATGTAATGTCACTCAAAGGTTGCACATAAATTATAGTTCTCACTGATGATGGTTCTTGATGAGAGAATATTTTTATTTATAGAACGACGACGTCAGTATATATATCACAACAATCGAAATGATGAAGGTCAGTTTTACTTAACACTGTTAACAACTTATGGGTTAGGGATAGATTTTTCGGTGAGACTATAAATTATGGACGACCTTTTAGCGACGCTAAAGTGACATTGAGAATGTTCACCTAATAACTATGATCAAATGAGGATTATAAACCGATGCGAGGATTTAGAATTACGATTTACAGTTGATGGTTGAGGTTATGAATTCGATTTAGGGTTTTCACCATGAATTACTGATATCATCTATAATACCAAAACTCTATTTAGCAAATTAATGGGTGAATTTCGCGCCAAAATCCGAGACTGGTTGTCTGAAATCTGATTGGTTCGTCCATAAATTATCATATCGCCGATTTTCCATCTGTGATCACGTAGTTGAGCAGCAATTTGTTGATCATTAGAATGATTTATTGCTTATTATTAAACCAGCTCTCGGTTAAATCGCTTGACAGGAGAGGATATACATTGTTTATCAGTTTAGTTTATCGTACACAATGTACGAGACACATATATTCAATTCTAGGACGCAAGTACTATCGACAGAATTATAAAATGTGAAACGAAAAGTGTCACAAGACATTTATTGAATGTGTTGTATCATTAAGCTCGGCTTATTACCACGTGATTTATTCGCCAATCGAAATACGACTTATTCAATCTTAGTACTGTGTCAAACAAATGACGTTCGACTGGTATGAGCAGCTTAGCGTCCCTATTTGTCCTTTGTGTTCCTAGCCCGTCCAGTCGAGTCCAGAACGCCAATAACAACTTCCACTGTGTGAATCATTTATTTCAGACAATGAATTATCAACCGGACCAATGACTCATGGGACAAATACGAACAGTCTAGAGTCCTTATCGGTCCTGCCTGTTAAGTCCAGGACACTAATCTCAACCTCCGCCATATCAATCATATATTTCAAACATACTTGCTTTATATAGTAGCTAAACAGACCGCATCATACCATAAAATAGGAAGTAACATTTATACAAGATCAAGCCCAAAAGTCGCTGTGAACGTGGGAGACGGTAATTAATAAATTGAGCACAACTTAGGAACAGTAAATTGTGAGATGGTGGAGCACACTGGCAGCACGAAGAAGTGAAGAGAAATACCTGAAGGATGTATTTCAGAAGAACGGCTACCCAATCAACTTCATCAAAAAGTACCAACCGCACGCAGCATTAGAACTCAAGTCAAGCACAAAAATCAACAAAAGGATCACCCTACCATATATACAAGGAATATCAGAAACCGCAACAAGACTGCTGAAAACCTTCGGGATAGGTGTGGCACACAAACCGACAAAATCACTACAATCAATCCTATGCAAACCAAAGGATGAAATAACAAAGGAAAACAAATCAAACATCATCTACAAAATAAATTGTACCAACTGCGACAAACACTACATCGGACAAAGCGGACGCCCCCTCCACCTTCGCCTACATGAACATCAATTAGCAGTCAAACGCCACGATATCTCTTCGCTTATATCAATACATGTGGATAACTACGGACACTCATTCGATTGGAAAAATGTAGAAATCTTAGACAGAGGAAACTACAAAAACACCAGAGAATTTTTAGAAGCCTGGCACTCAGGTCAATCAGCAATCAACAAACATACTGAAATCAATCCAATTTATCAACCAATCAGGAAAATCATGCATAAATATAGGAACAAAAACCAAACCAATGGGAGACACAACCAAAACAAAGAAGTAAACAATGACAAATTTAAGGTCAATAAGAACCAATCAAATCGAGGTGCACAGAACAAGCTGTGAAACACATGGAGAAATTCGGACACTTCACTTCCATCTGAAGTTTGTGTTGATGATGTCGTTCAGAAGAACGATGAAAGCTCCACGACCAAACCATCCAGCTCAGAGAACAAAACTCCACCAAAATAGTAAATTGTATCATAATGGTATATGCGTGAAAATTAAGCTTATAATAAGAATACAGATATACAATAGGAATATATATATGTATAATATTAGTCCATCAATAGTTCTCAAAAGTTACTCGTAATCTTATTCTCACTAGGATATAACAATGCATTTTAGAAGTCGCTACAGATTTCTAGCAAGAACATGTGAGATTTTCGAAAGTTCTGTAACACTTTACGGTGGAACATCAGATTTTATGGTGACATCGACATGGCAAACAAGCGAAATCCAAAAAGTAACAAGTTATTACATTGTTTAGAGTAATCCTTCAACTCAATTACCTTCCCTTTCTATACATCTTTCCGGAATTTCTTTTATATAGTTCCCAGATCATTGTTTTATTATATGGACCCTTCAACTACTTTGAACAAAGATGAAAAAATCTCTAATTAAAAGTAGAAAAGAGATCAAACATATGTTGATTGTTATTAGCATCAATGCATTTTTAATGAAAATAGTTTGCTTTAAATCTCAACCGATTATAAACTATAGACAAATCCGCAGTCAGTCAATCATCATTAACGAAGAACCTGACACAGATGTTCATTGACCAATGTTGTCAAACCACAATTAACACGACGAGAAGAAATTAGCAATGTGTATAAAGCATGGACATCAAAATAATATAGTATCAATGACAATATCAACGACTGAGTATTCGGAATAGCGAACGAAGTGACAGTGAATAAAGGAATAAGTGGATTCAAGATTGAGAAGATAAAGGGTAAATGTATACACGCTACTGTGAATGATTCTGAGCCATTTCACCTAAAGCTTCTAACTACTGACTGGAGTTATCGCTTGGACCCCTGTTATATCCTAACGAAGAATAGATGAATAGTAATTGTTAAGAGTTATTTATGAACTATTATAACCTATATTCCTATTGCATAATTAATAAGTAACTATATTTAAATGTATATTCAAATTATTATAAGCTTACATTTAACCTTTCGACTAGTCATATGATTTATTATCAGTTACAATCTCTCACAATCACAGCCACTTTGAGTTTGATTATGTATAAGTGTTATTATTTTATCTTATGGTATGTGGTCTGGTTTCCTTGTATACAAACCAAGTATGTCTGAAGTATACGATCTATACAGTGGAAACTAATATTTGCTTTGTGGACTTGACGGGTAGGGCTCGACGAGAATAACCAATAGGGACTCTACACTGCTCCTGCAGATCAACGCTATTGGTTTGACACAATGTTCTAATTAGCAATTTAGTCACGTGGTAATTAGCAAGGAAGAAGCCATAATAATCCCAACTATTTAGTCTGTATCTACCTAAAAGACCAAGATCAACAGTCAATGACTTCATAGTCTGATATCATGTTTTGGTTTGGAAGCTCCAGCAAAACTCATCGGTTACACAGAGCCAACATATACACCCCATTCTCCATATTATTTCAGCGCTCAGTGTGATCATTAAAGCATAAACACTCTAAGGTTCTTGTTAGCGTTAATCAGGTTCAACCAAATGATAGGTAAATATTGAAAGTACAAAATGGACTAGATCAAAATATGATGAATATTCTTTTACGATTGCTTACAATAACCCGACTAAGATAATACTTTAATCATAATATGGTCTCAACTATTGTTTGTACATGTCAATTATTGAAAAGATAATGTTAACATTGAATAGTGTTTACCAGTTTCTGACTCACAACTGGACAACATGACAAATTAAACAGTTTTCAATTATTAATCAGAAATGTCAACTGTTTCAACACTGAATTCTTCTTCTTCTTCATTAGTATTATTATATACTATAGACTAATTATTATTATTATTGCCAATAAGTTTCATTGAAAGAGAATCACTATTTACACTGTTGTTATTCTGTTTTATTGTTTGTTTCTTGCATTTCACAATAATGAAATATCTAAATGCATAAGAATAAATTAATATAGAAAAAAAGGAAAAAAAAACAAACGGTTGTTACCTTTTTTGTTGTCAAGACTTAAGT